ACTGATTTTTCTTGAGGAAACTATTTCTGCCTTCTAGCATTGGCTTCCATCTGTTGGGTCCTCTGACAGCCCCTGTCGATTGCCCAGGAATGATTACAGAGTAGTAGCTCTTATCACTGGCTAAGTCTGCGACCGCATCTGTATTGTTTCACTTTCCCATCATCTGGGAAAGATGTCAACAGAGGCTCATAGTACATGGTTTTCTATTGATTTTGGTGGAACTAAATGAATCATTTTCTCTCACTTTTGCTTTTATGTATACTTAAAGTTTCCTGTTCTTCGTAGTAAAATATTCCTAAAATTGTGGTTTTCTGTATTTTAACCCCTGCCTATTTCATTATTTTTCTATAGTTTTAGGCCTTCTCTGTTTGGACAGTCTTTTTCTTTTTTTTTTTTTGAGACGGAGTTTCGCTCTTGTTACCCAGGCTGGAGTGCAATGGCGCTCACCGCAACCTCCGCCTCCTGGGTTCAGGCAATTCTCCTGCCTCAGCCTCCTGAGTAGCTGGGATTACAGGCACACGCCAACATGCCCAGCTAATTTTTTGTATTTTTAGTAGAGACGGGGTTTCACCATGTTGACCAGGATGGTCTCGATTTCTTGACCTCGTGATCCACCCGCCTCAGCCTCTCAAAATGCTGGAATTAACCGGCTGGACAGTCTTTTTCATTGGCTTGCTTTTAGTCATTTAAATTACAATATCAGGCTGAAGTTAGTGATTTATCTTGATTGTTACAGATCAAACTCCTTATTCTACTCTTTTCCCCCTTCTCACTACTGTATTTGACTATTCTTAAAAAACATTTGCAGTATCTCCTCCTTTTCCCTCTTGACATCTTTTTTTGTTCCTTATTTTTTCATGTCTTAAGGTTTTTTCCCTACCTTAAAGTCCCTTGGTCTTTTAGTTGTAGTTTTGATTAAAGTGGATTTTTTTCTTGGGCTTTTAACTAGATTTTCTTTTCCTAGAGTTCTTTGTAGGGAGATTGAAGATCATGATGACTGACACTTGGGTCAGTGGCCTGATTACTTAGAATAAGACTTTGTGTGCCGGACGTGGTGGCTCACACTCATAATCCCAGCACTTGGGAGGCCGAGGAGGGTGGATCACGAGGTCAAGAGATGGAGACCATGCTGGTCAACGAGGTGAAACCCCGTCTCTACTAAAAATACAAAAATTAGCTGGGTATGGTGGCGCGTGCTTGTAGTCCCAGATACTCGGGAGGCTGAGGCAGGAGAATTGCTTGAACCAAGGAGGTGGAGGTTGCGGTGAGCCGAGATTGCACCATTGTACTCCATCCTGGGTAAGAAGAGCGAAACTCCGTCTCAAAAAAAAAAAAAAGTTAAAAAAAGCGTAAGACTATGTGAACATTGAGTGGCTTGATATAGCATTTAATTTAGCTTGTCCATGTTGCTACTGCCACTTGAAGGCTGTTTACTGGCTTAGAGGCACTGTCCTGAATAATAACAAAATAAATATAAATTAAACACCCCATGTATTCTTGTGTAGTGCCCATTTGAGTCAAGATCTGAGATCTGGGTGTCCTATGGGGGAATACTATTTATAACTCGAGAAACAATATTTTGCTAAGAGATATGTTGATTAGATTGGAGATAACTACTAGGTCTTTAAAACATACTTTATATGTGCCACGTAATTCCTGTTTTTTTCTGGGTTCACTAAAATGTCCTGAACCATGATACCCTCTGTGCATTAGAAAAATAAGCTATGACTCCTGGTTGGCACGAGAAGACCTAGATTCCAGTTCCACCCGAACTATGGCCTTTTGAAGTATGATTATGTGCCCTACTTCCTTAGCTGTCAAAGAGGGGCAGTAGTGCATAAATTGAAGTGAACAAGTAGATATGGAAATATCTTGAAAATATGAAAATGCAATCTGGACATGGTGGCATGTATCTATAGTACCAGCTACTTGGAAGGCCGAGGCAGGAGGATCGCTTGAGCCCAAGAATTTGAGGCCAGTCTGGGCAACCTTGTCTCTTAAAAAAAAAAAAAAAAAAAAAGACCAGCGAGGTGGCTCACACTTGTAATCCCAGCACTTTTGGAGGCTGAGATGGGTGGATCACAAAGTCAGGAGTTCAAGACCAGCCCGGCCAACATGGTAAAACCCTGTCTCTACTAAAAACACAAAAATTAACCAGACATAGTGGCTGGTACCTGTAATCCCAGCTACTCGAGAGTCTGAGACAGCAGAATTGCTTGAACCCGGGAGGCGGAGGTTACAGTGAGCCAAGATCACGCCACTACACTCTAGCCTTGGCGACAGAGCAAGACTCTGTTTGGGGTGGGGGGATGAAGACAGTCTGAGTAACAGGGAGAGGCCCTGTCTTTACAAAGATAATAACAAATATTAGCTGAATGTGGTGGTGCATTCTTGTAGTTCCAGCTACTTGGGAGGCTGAGATGGATGATCACTTGAGCCTGGGAAGTTGAGGCTGCAGTGTGACGTGATGGCACCACTGCACTCCAACCTGGGTGACAGCCATCATATCACCTCAGCCATCCCTCCCGCCTTACCTTCTGGCGGTAGCTGAGACTCTAGGTTCATGTCACCACACCTAGGCAGCTTTTTTTTTTAAGAAAGATGGGGTTTTGCCATGTTGCCCAGGCTGGTTTAGAATTTTTGGGCTTATGTGATCCACCTGCCTTGGCCTCCCAAAGTGCAGGGATTACAGGCATGAGCCATCCTTCTGGGTCACCTTTTTCTTCTCTTTTAACAAATTCAGCAATTTTTCAGTCCCAGAAATCTGTAAATACATTGTTTGTGGAAAAATAGAAGGAAATGGTATCAAAAGATGGTTTCTATTAGGAATGGGAACAGGTAGCAGTTGTTCCTGCCACTTCAACAATCACAGGCCCAGGACCCTTTAATATAAGAAGCTTTTAGTTCCTGAAATGATTTCAGAGGCCGTTTTTGTCTCTCTTTCAAAAAAAAAGTTTTTTTTTTTTGAGAGATAAAATATTGCACAGTGACAGTTGCAATTTTGAAGTTTTGTTTAGACAGAGTCTTGCTTTGTTACCCAGGCTGGAGTGCAGTGGCATGATCTTGGCTCTTTGCAACCTCCACCTCCTGGGTTCAAGTGATTCCCGTGCCTCAGTTTCCTGAGTAAGTGGAACAACAGGTGTGTGCCACCATACCTGGCTAGTTTTTTTTGTAGTTTTCTTTTTCTTTTTTTCTTTTTTGATACAGAGTTTCGCTGTTTTTGCCCAGGCTGGAGTGCAATGGCGCGATCTTGGCTTACCGCAACCTCTGCCTTCCAGGTTCAAGCAATTCTCCTGCCTTGATCTCCCGAGTAGCTGAGATTACAGGCATGTGCCACCATGCCTGGCACATGTATTTGTATTTTTAGTAGAGACGGGGTTTCTGCATGTTGGTGAGGTTGATTTTGAACTCCCAACCTCAGGTGAACCACACACCTTAGCCTCCCAAAGCACTGGGATTACAGGCATGCGCCCCAGTGCCCAGCTATTTTTTTTGTGTGTGTTTTTAGTAGAGGTGAGGTTTTGCCATATTGGCCAGGTTGGTCTGGAACTCCTGGCCTCAAGTGATCCACCTGCCTCGGCCTCCAAAAGTGCTGGAATTACAGGTGTGAGCCATCATCGCACCTGGCCTCAAAATGTTTATTCCAGTCTAATCATTATTAAGGAAAGAAGCTCTGAAGAGTCAAAGATTAACTTGTAATTATAACAGTTTATATGGGTCCTTTCTTCCCCCGATAAACTGTCCTGACTCAGAGTTGTCTGGTTAAGTGCCTCTTCCCATGAGAAGTCCACATAATTTAGATTTTCTCACTTTTGGTTTGGTTATTTGGCTTAATGTTTTCCTGTAGGAAGCAGCCATATTTTTACCATTTCCTTAGAAGAATATAGGTGCTGACAAATTCCCTGCATCCCCAAGTTCATTTTGCTTGGGTCTTAATCTCTTCGTAGTTTTCTAGGATGCTGATTGCCAGCCTTGTTGATGTGGGACTGGCTTTGAAATCCAAGACATCTTTTGAGGATATCAAAGTACAGTAAAGGGTGGAAATGATAAGGTTGCCGAATACTTGGAGAGTATCACATGATGTTGATATGCCTACTGTAGTGATTTTTGAGCCTTGGAAATGTAGGCTTTTGATGTAGCTGTCACGAAGGTGAGGCTCAGCCCTGTCTGTGAATTTCTCCAGAATGATTTGGTTTCGGTTCCCAGTATCAAAATAGATCCCCCCTCTTTTTTTGAGACAAGAGTATCATTCTGTCTCCCAGGCTGGAGTGCAGTGGTGCGATCTTGGCTTACTGCAACCTCTGCTTCCTGAGTTCAAGCAGTTCTCCTGCCTCAGCCTCCCAAGTAGCTGAGATTACAGGTGCCTGCCAGCATGCTTAGCTAAGTTTTGTATTTGTAGAAGAGACGGGGTTTCACCATATTAGCCAGGCTGGTCTGGAACTCTGACCTCAAGTGATCCACCTGCCTCAGCTTCCCACAGTGCTGGGATTACAGGTGTGAGCCACCCATCCGGCCTCCCTGCTTCTTTATATTCTACCGTCCTCCCAGTCTCACAGCTTCTTTAAAGTTTCCTGATATTGAGAAACACACTTGATGTAAGACACGATTAAAAAGAATCCAGCATCTGGGGGAGGTGTTAGGGAGTTGAATGTTGTTAAAGCATCAAGGAGAGAGGAGTTTGACCTATTTTGAGCTCATCTGTGACACCTGTTTCGTTTAGAAAACTCTAATGACACTAGTTGGCAGAGTTGCATTTTTGAAGTTGTTTCCTTTAGACACAGTGATAGTCATCTGTCTTCTTTTAGGAGGTGATTGTCTAGGAGTAACTATATGTGCACTCTTAGTACCGTGTCACAACCACCGTGGAATCCACTTACAGAGAAGATTTGTGGAGCGCTTCAGCCTGTTTATGGTGTTACTGAGAAAGGAACTGTGGCCATTTGGTATAATTCTGGACAGAAGACCTCTTGTTTGTATTACATTGAATTAGAGGTCAGTATTTGAAATTTTCTCTTTGAGTGGCTATTATAAGATGATCCTGTAATAATTGATCACTATGAAATTAGCCGACTACATAGTATCTTTCAAAGATGAGGTAAACTGTTGAACTTGTGATTATGTGGTTTCTGGTATGAATTACTGAACTGATGTTTGTTTTTATGTGCATAGATAAGCCTATATGCTTGATACTCTTTCAATTATAAACCTGATGGGTTATGAGAGATCGTAACTTGGGCTTCATTAAGTGAAGAAGGCACTTTTCTACTTTATCTTTTTGTTTTTTTCTTTTGAGACAGGGTCTTGCTTTGTTGCCCAGGCTGGAGTGGTACAGTCATATTTTTTTTTTTTTTTTGTAGAGAGGAGGTCTTGCTATGTTGCCCAGGCTGGTCTCGAACTCCTGGGATCAAGTGACCCTCCCCAATCAGCTTCTCGAAATGCTGGGATTACAGGTGTGAACCAATGTGCCCAGCCTAGTATCATATTTTATACAAAATACATTTTATACAGTTCACATATTCTGTTTCATGTCTTCTCTTGTCTCTCACCCCAAGCACCTGCTGATTATACCTGTTTATCTTCCCCTCCTTTTACTTCTTAGCTCCTGTTTATTCTTCAGATCTCAATTTAGGGATCATTTTGTTTGGAAAGCCTTCCTCAATTAGGGCTGTGCCAGGGTGCTCTCCCTGGCACCTGTACTCCCCCGAGACATCTCTTATTATGCTTCATTGTAGTTGTACCTGTACTCATCAGCGGCTTTGCTACCCTGTGAGCCCTGCAAGCACAGGGACGAGCCTTGTTTGCTGTTGAATCTTCATCTGATAATGCTTTTAAATTAATGATGATAAAGGACATCCATACACCAAAGCACAGTTTTTTTTTTTTAAAGGTGTGGATGTTTGTTTATTTATATATTGTGTTTAACTTGAAAGTGAATGGCTTATAAAATAGCATTTGTTCTGCTCAGATTTTATTTTACAGGGAAATACATACTTCAGTTCTGACTCTGATTAAACAATCAGAGGGCTGGTGAGACACATAAATGCGATGCGGTTAGTAAATACTTGTGTAATATAACGGTTGGACTTTGTCACTATCATTATAGCTTCTTCAAAAAACATCTCCTTAATAAATACTTTCCTGCTTCTACGTACCCATTATTACCATATATTAAAAATTACTACATTATTATAGCATTATGGTGTTATTATAACATACATTCACATAACATGGTTGTATTATGTTTTTTTGCATACATATTCCTTAAGTATTTTTCCATTATTGGGCATTTAGCTTATTTCCATTATTCTTTTTTCTACTATCTACTAATATAACCATAAACTTTATATAGCACTTCTTTTTAATGCTTTTGTTATTTAATGCTTTTATTTTTTTGAGAGAGGGTCTTACTCTGTCACCCAGGCTAGAGTGCAGTGACACCATCATGGCTCACTGCAGCCTTGACCTCTCCTGGGCTCAAGCCTTCTAAGTAGCTGGGACTGCAGGTGTGTGCCACCATGCTTGGCTAATTTTTGTGTTTTTTGTAGAGATGGGATTTTGCCATGTTTCCCAGGCTGATAATGCTTTTAAATTAATGATGATAAAGGACATCCATACACCAAAGCACAGTTTTTTTTTTTTAAAGGTGTGGATGTTTGTTTATTTATATATTGTGTTTAACTTGAAAGTGAATGGCCTATAAAATAGCATTTGTTCTGCTCAGATTTTATTTTACAGGGAAATACATACTTCAGTTCTGACTCTGATTAAACAAATAATAAAATGAGGCAACCGTGATACTCAGACGGGAGAGACACTGACAGGGTGTATGGATGGTATCATTTTAAATAGGTTATTCAGGGAGGCTTCTCTGAAGAGGTGACATTTGAACAAGGCCTTGAACAGGCTAAGGAGCCACACAGAGGTATGGGAGTAGAGTTTTCCAGGCAGAGGGAACATCAGGTGCAAAAGTCCCAAGGTGAAAAGCCTGTAGATTTGGTCAAGGAACAGTGGAAAAACTCTGGGAGAACAGTAGGAGATGATACTAGGAAAGAGCGGCAGAGGCCAGGTCATAAAGTTCCTTGTGGACCACACTAAGACCTCTGGCTTTCATTCCAAGTATAATGCCACTGGAAGGTTTTCATCAGGGTGTGACAGGATCTGATCTCTGTCTTAAAAAGATCACTTTGGCTGCTGTGTGAAGGTTAGACTGCTCTCTTTACCGGCTGGAACCATGGAGGGTATTGAAGAGAAGAAGAAGGTTCCTGCTGTGCCAGAAACCCTTAAGAAAAAGTGAAGGACAGAGCCGAAGATCAACTGCCTGAGAAAGAAGTTTGCCTAAAACATGCTTTGAAAGGCAAGAAGGAAGCTTATCTATGAAAAAGTGAAGCCCTATCACAAACAACATAGGCAGATGTACAGAACTGAAATTCGAATGGCGAGGATGGAAAGAAAAGCTGGCAACTTCTATGTACCTGCGGAACCCAAATTGGCCTTTGTCATCAGGATCAGTGGTATCAATGGCGTGAGCCCAAAGGCCAGAAAGGTGTTGCGGCTTCTTTGCTTTCGTCAAATCTTCAATGGAACCTTTGTGAAGCTCAGCAAGGCTTTAGTTAACATGCTGAGGATTGTGGAGCCATATATTGCATGGGGAACCCAAATGTAAAGTTAGTAAGTGAACTAATCTACAAGCATGGTTATGGCAAAATAATAAGCGAATTGCTTTGAAAGATAACACTTTGATTGCTTGATCTCTTGGTAAATATGGCATCATCTGCATGTAGGATCTGATTCGTGGGATCTATACTATTGGAAAATGCTTCAAAGAAGCAAATGACTTTCTGTGGCCCTTCAAATTATCTTCTCCACAAGATGGAATGAAGAAAAAAACACCCAATTTGTAGAAGGTAGAGATGCTGGCAACAGGGAGGATCAGATCAACAGGCTTCTTAGAAGAATGAACTGAGGTGTCCACCACAATTATTTTTCTAGTCTGGTCAGTTAATAAACAGTGACTGCTCTCAAACTGAAGAAAAAGAAAGACTGCTGCCAGTCAGAGTGGAAGCAGGCAGACTGACGAGGAGCTGTGGCCAGACTCTGCAGGGCTGTGCTGTGGGCTTGGGTTATCGTGATGGTGGTGGAGGCGATGAACAGTGTTTGGGTTTGCGATTTGATGAAGTGATGTGTTCTGAGGCAAACCACTCGCTAAACACATCACTAAACACATCAAGGCAAACTATGAGTTAGTGTTTAAAATGCCTTTCTCTTCAAAGCATTTCCTAGATTCTTTATCCTTGAAATTCTTCTGTTGGAGAATGGAACCAGGAAAGATAAGGACTGGGGCTTGGTTGCATTGTGAATCTGCTTGCTGATGGAACAGGAAAGATGGTGTGACAGCAGATGTGCATATTTTCCTCTATAATGGTCATTTACTTAATATAAAAAATATGTCTGAAAAAATGTATGCTTGGGTAAGTAATATGCTGAATTCGGGTGTTTGGTGTGATTGTATTAGGCTAGACCTGTTTAGTAGTAACTTAAATATGTTGCAGCAATGATAAGGAATGTAGGGGTGCCTTTCTGCTGTTATCAGAATCCATTAATAGGTTTTACTATGTTTGACTGCCTTTTATTGTTGGGCTTTATGGTTCATACTGGAGGTGCACGTGTAAATGACTTCTCTTCTACTATGGTTTCTCAAGGTCTTAAAAACAGTGTTGGCTGGGTGTGGTGGCTCACACCTATAATCCCAGCACTTTAGGAGGCTGAGGCAGGCAGATAATGAGGTCAAGAGATCGAGACCATCCTGGCCAACATGGTGAAACCCCATCTCTACTAAAAATACAAAAATCAGCTGGGTGTGGTGGTGTACACCTGTAGTCCCAGCTACTTGGGAGGCTGAGGCAGTTGAATCGCCTGAACCCAGGAGGCACTGGTTGCAGCAAGCCAAGATCGCACACTGCACTCCAGTCTGGCGACAGAGCAAGACTCCATCTAAAAAAAAGCATTGTTGTATTTTGAGTAAATACCTGTTTATTCATAGTAAGTATAGATGTTAGACAGGTTATGATTTACTTTGGGTGGGATTTTACCTAGGTGGAGCACTGGATCATGTTCTTGAGCCGTGTGGAATTTTGATTGGCTTATGTGAATGCTTCACACTGCTGGCCACCCTTTGTTGCCTAAGCGGTAGAGATGTAAGCTCATCCTGGGTAAATTTTTTAGTGTACAAGATTCTTTAAAAGTGGCTGAAGGTACTTCTCAAGCCATTAAATTGCAGTGAACTGTCTTTTTTTTCTTTAGCAAAATTTGGTTTTGGGAGTATGACATTTAAACTTGTATCTGCTATTTGTAAGATATGAAGTGATAGTATGAGTGTTTCGGGGGTTTTGGTTGTTTTTTTAGTGTTGGGATCTTTTAGGATAGAATCCCTTTTCCTTAACCACTTAAAGCTTGAGAACAAAGATTTGGAAGCCTTCTTTGGGTAGCAGATCATTTTATTAACCTGATAAAAACATGTTTGTTCAACATATTTATTTAGCATAATATTTATTGAATAGCTACGGTCTACCAGGCAGTTTATATAGGTTTAGGATACATCAGTGAACAAAAGAGTAAAAACTCCAAACAAACCTAAAATCCCTGCCTCTGTGGAGCTTATATTCTGGTGGAATCTAATAAGTAATAAACAAGAATGTTATGTAGTATATTAGAATATGACAAATGCTATGGAAAAAATAGATATTGTAAGGGAGTTTAAAGGAGGTGGAAAGATAGTGGTTGTTGCAATTTAAATAGGGGGAGTCAGGATAGGTCTCATAGAGAGGGTGATGTGTGAGCAAAAGGCTAAAATGTATGGGAGTTACCCATGCGGAGTTCTGCAGTGTGAGCTTCCCAGACAGGAGAATAGTCAGTGGAAAGGTCCTAAAGTGGGCACAAGGAAGACAATGTGGCGTTTTTTTTTTTTTGAGACTGAGTTCCGCTGTTACACAGACTGGAGTGCAATGGCAGGATCATGGCTCACCGCAACCTCCGCCTCCTGGGTTCAAGCAATTCTCCTGCCTCAGCCTCCTGAGTAGCTGGGACTACAGGCACACACCACCATGCCCAGCTAATTTTTGTATTTTTAGTAGAGACGGTTTCACCTTGTTGACCAGGATGGTCTCGATCTCTTGACCTTGTGATCCACCCGCCTCGGCCTTCCAAAGTGCTGGGATTATAGGCGTGAGCCACTCTTCCCGGCCAGACAATGTGGCGTTGTTTTTTAAGATGGAGTCATGTTCTTTTGTCCAGGCTGGAATGCAGTGACACAATCTTGGCTCACTTCAATGTCTGCCCCCCGGGTTCGAGTGATTCTCCTGCCTCAGCCTCCTGACTAGCTGATACTACAAGGGTCTGCCATATTGGCCAGGCTGGTCTTGAGCTCCTGACCTCAAGTGATCTGCCCACCTCGGCCTCCCAAAGTGCTGGGATTACAGGCATTAGCCACTGCACCTGGCCAATTTTTTTCTTTTCTTTTTTGAGACAGAGTCTTGCTATGTTGCCCAGGCTGGACTGTAGTAGTGGGATCATGGCTCACTGCAGCCTTGACCTCCCGAGCTCACGTGATCCTTCCACTTTAGCCTTCTGAGTAGGTGGGACTGCAGGCACACACCACCATGCCTGGCTAACAGCAGGTTTTTTGGGGAAGATCAAGAGCTTACTTTGGACACACTGAGGTTAACGTAGTATTAGATACCGAAGTGGAGATGCCAAATAGACAGTGTTAAGATGGTGTAAGAGTCTGGAATTCACGTGAGAAACCTGGATTGGAGATACATAGTGGTGATTTTGTGGCAAATGTAAGTAAAGCTGGGAAACCAGAAGAGATTATCAGTGAAATATGCAGAAGAGAAGAGAAAAAGTTCAAGAACAAAGTCCTGGGACATTAAAAAGTCTGAGAGAAGAACAGTCAGCAACAAAAGCTGATGAGAGATCATCAAAAAGGAGGAAAACCAAGAAATCGTAGACCATATTATATGGCATCCTGGAAGCCAAATGAGAAAAATGTATTCAAGCAGGAGGGGCAGATGAAGTGTGTCAAAAATCTGCTAAAAATCGGCTTAGGACTGAGAACTGATCATTGGGTTTAGCAATGTGGAGAGGTGATCGTGGCAAGATTAGTTTCAGTGGAGGGTTTGGTTCAACATCCTTATTGGAGTGGGTTTAAGAGAGAATGAAAGGAGAATTTGAGAGAGTGAATATAGCACCTTTTTGAGGATATTTGCTGTAAAGGAGAATAGAGGAATAGGGTTGAAACTAGTGGAAATTCAGTGAAGACATAGAAATAGCACACTACCTTAAAATCTGGTATAATTTCAGGGGATTAATGGGTCCCCCAAATCCCTCTGTGAACCTGCAATTTAAAAACTGCTTGTCAGTAAAACCATGAAACAGTTTTACCTCACTTCCCTCCCTTGAGATTTCTCTTTTATATTAAGATGTTGCATGGTTTGGTAATTAGACCTACTACAAGGAATGTGAATTCCTATGTGTCTTCAGTTTTCTCTGTAAGGAATAGGCCTTGGTACAAATTGGCCTTCCATTTTTGGAATCTATTTTATGCTAAGTATTTACCCAGGCATTCTACACAAATTTAATCTTTATTGCAATCCTATGTAATAGATATTATTTTCCCTATTTTATAATTGTGGGAAAATGGAGGCACAGAGAGATTCAATAACTTTCCCGAAGTACCTCAGCTAGGAAGTGGCAGAGCAGAGTTTTATTTTAGTTTATTTTTTATCTATTTGTTTTAGGACAGAGTCTCACCCTGTTGCCCAGCTGGATGGCAGTAGGACAGTCATAGCTCACTGCAACCTAGACTTCCCAGGCTTAAGCAACCCTCCTGCCTCAACCTCTGGGACCACAGGTGTGTGCCACCACACCCAGCCAATTAAAAAAATTTTTTTTTTAAATAGAGGCAAGGTCTCATTATGTAGCCCAGGCTGGTCTCAAACCCCTGAACTCAAGTGTTCTGCCTTGTCGTCCCAGAGTGCTGCGATTACAGACATGAGCCACAGCACCAGGCCTCATGGTTCTTTAATTGTGGATGCTAATCAAGTTTGTGAATGTGGGGTAGATAAGTGAGGTATAGGTAGGTTTTGAAGGGCAAGTGGTGCTTAGGAATTCTTTGAGATTCAATTTAAAGATTGTCTGAAAGAGAAAGCGTTGTCCTCAGAGATTGCTCTCAGATAACATAAAATAGATATAGTAAGATTATAATAGTTTTTATTCTAAGGGCTTGAGAATAGCTTCTTTTCCTCCAGCAGAAAGGTAAGCATCCTGTTCCATTGTGTGATAGTTGTTGGTTGGCACACAGATCTACTTTTTCTATTTCCAGCAAGTGAAACCACTTCCTCTCCACCTGTACTTTATTTTCTGGTCCTTTTGACAGTTGGGCTTGATATTTTGGTATACCCTGGATGGCATTGTTCTCTTGACTCAGATGACCTAAATTATTGGGTGTTTATTGTAGAGTGGTTCAAATATGCGTTTGAGGCCCTAGAGTTAAAAATGGATGATTCTGAGTCAATGTGGCTTGAAGAGCATGTCACTGAGGATCTCCTAGTCTGGTGGGATGCAGTGTTTGCTCTGCTCCAGGTCGCATACCCTTTTTCTCTGCTGTTTGTGCTCAGGCATGTGCTCACTGTAATGTCTACTCAAAGCCAGTCTCATTAAGACCAGCCAAGGCCAGGAAGTAAGGAGGAAATAATACATACGAGGGTGCTGGAGCCCAAATAGATTGTCCTTTACCCTGAGGTACAGGTCAAATTAGTGACAGAGCTGGCAGTAGAACCTAGTCATCTTAATGCCTAAATTAGTGAGACTTAGGCATTTTTTTGAGACAGTCTTGCCACCCAAGTAGCTAGGATTATAGATGCACTATACCACACCTGGGCTAGTTTTTGTGGAGACAGAGTTTCACCATGTTGGCCATGCTGGTCTCAAATTCCTGGCCTCAAATGATCTGCCCGCCTCGACCTCCCAAAGTGCTGGGATTACAGGCATATGCTGCTCCTGGTCACTAAGTTAATGTTTTTTTAAATAAATGAATGGAAGCACTTTTATGTAATCATTACTTTTGTGTAATCATAAATTTTCATCGTTATCATAATGAATGCATAATGTGTCATAAGTGTTTTCTGTTTTTTTTTTTTTTTTTTTTTTTTTTTTTTACTATTCTAACACTGTGGATCTTTTTATTTGCCTTCGGTAAATATTGATTATCATTTTTCTGGGCACTGAGGAGATGATAATGAATAAATAGAAAAGAAATCTGTTCTCAAGGACCATATATTCTTCTTATTCTTTTTTTTTTTTTTTTTGGAGATGGAGTCTTGCTCTGTTGCCCAGGCTGGAGTGCAGTGGTGTGATCTTGGCTCACTGTAACCTCCATCTCCTGGGTTCAAGCAACTCTCCTGCCTCAGTCTCCTGAGTAGTTGGGATTACAGGCACCTGCCACCACACCCAGCTAATTAAAAAAAAAAAAAATTTTTTTTGTGATGGAGTCTTGCTCTGTCGCCCAGGCAGGAGTGCAGTGGTATGATCTTGGCTCACTGCAACCTCCATCTCCCGGGTTCATACAATTCTCCTGTCTCAGCCTCCCGAGTAGCTGGGACTACTGGCACCTGCCACCATTCCCAACTAATTTTTGTATTTTTAGTAGAGTTGGGGTTTCACCTGGTTGGTCAGGCTAGTCTTAAACTCCTGACCTCAGGAGATCCACCCACCTCGGCCTCCCAAAGTGCTGGGATTACAGGTGTGAGTCATTGCACCCGGCCTAATTTTTGATTTTTAGTAGAAACAGAGTTTCACGATGTTGGCCAGGCTGGTCTTGAACTCCTGACCTCAAGTGACCCTCCTGGCTCAGCCTCCCAAAGTGCTGGGATTACAGGCATGAGCCACTGCGCCTGGCTGGAGTTTATATTCTAGTAGATAAATGTCATCTCATATTTATAATTATTTCCTTAGGATAGAGTCGTAAGTTATGTTACACATAAAAGTGTTTAGTAACTGGAGTGGGCGTGGTGACTCATGCCTGTAATCCCAGCACTTTGGGAGGCTGAGATGGGCAGATCCCTTGAGGTCAGGAGTTCAAGACCAGTTTGACCAACATGGTTAAACCCCATCTCCGCTAAAGTAGACAAAAAAATTAGCCAGGTGTGGTGGTGTACACCTGTAGTCCCAGCTACTTGGAGGCTAAGGCAGGAAAATTGCTTGAACTCGAGAGACAGAGTTTGCAGTCAGCCAAGATTGTACTACTGCACCCCAGCCTGGGTGACAGAGCGAGACTATCTCAAAACAAAAACAAAACTGTTTAGTAACTGTATTTTACTTTTTCTTTCTTTTTTCTTTGGAGACAAGGTCACTGTGGCATGATCTTGACTTACTGCAACGTTTACCTCCTAACTCAAGTGGTCCTCCCTCCTCAGCCTCCTGAGTATCTGGGACTACAGGCACACATCTCCACAGCTGAATAGTTTTTGTAGTTTTTGTTGAGATGGGGTTTTGCCGTGTTGTGCAGGCTGGTCTTGAACTCCTGGGCTTAAGTGATCCCTCCTGCCTCGGCTTCCCTAAGTGCTGGAATTACAGTTTTGAGCAATCACTCCTGAGCCACTGTATTTCTGAACATCAGAGTCATCTTTCTTTTAAACTCTGTAAAAAATGAAGTCTTTTATAGTTATCTTCTTTGCTTAAAATGTGGTGTTAGCTCTCTCACATACAAGTGTTGTCACAAATTAAACTGAGTAGGGACCTCTGAAAGGAAGTTTAAGTATCATAAATTCTTGATAAGTAAATAACTTTTTTATTAGATTGCTAAAATATATAAATAGATCTTGTGATTTTTGGCATGCCTGAGAAAGTTTTCAGGTAATTTATTATAAATTTAACTGCACATCAAGAAACATCTTCTTAGAGCTGAATACAGCAGAGAGACTTTAAGACAACAGTCTATGCAAGGTCATCACAATGAGAATTATTTTGATACTTTGTCTAATACATTAGATAAATTTTATATAATGGCTTGAGGTGAGTCAGTTCTTGTTGTTTGCTTAGTGTGGTGAATGTAAGAAATGGAGGAAAAGGATTGATTGAGCTGCTGTATTCTCTTATTCTAATAACACATTCTTCAGGTTAGATGGTATTATTACTAATTTCCAGATGAGGAAATGGAGGTTCAGAGAATTAATTTATGCATGGTATTTCTATTAATAATATCACATTTGGGCTTTAAAGTAAGGTCTGGGTAGTTGAAGCTTTTTCTACCATACCATATACTTTCATTAAAAGCATGACACTTTGTTTTTAGAGTGACCTGTCTCAAACTACTGTTTTCTTTTTATTTCATGTAGGAAATATAATGTTCATTCTCTTCTTTTTTCTTGATATTTTTCTTCAAAAAGTTCTAAAAATTAAACCTAGGATTGGGTATTCTTTTTGCTCTTTCTCCCTTCACAGTTAGCTCTATTATTAAATTTTAATGGTATAAAACATAAGAAAAATAATTGGTGACACTTGGTAGTGTGTGTTTTCTAGAAAGGCAAAGAGAAAATCTGGACTTCTTAGATAAGCCAATACTTTCTAGGAATGGAAGCACCCATATAACTTACTGTTTTAAGTAGGTTGCGGTGTAAATGTTAGCAGATAAAATATTGATAACTTTCTTCCTGTTCTACTTAGAGTTCCTTCAAAGGTTGAAGTGCTTGTTGACTTCGCTCAGAGTAAGTGGTTCTAATTTTTGACTTTGATGTTGTTTTAGCTTTCAGCAAAAGAAAGTATTTAGGTCTGGTGTGGTGGCTCATGCTTGTAATCCTTGCACTTTGGGAGATGGAAGCAGGCAGATAGCTTGAGCCCAGGAGTTTGAGACCAGCTTGGGCAACATAGTAAAACCCCACCTCTACTAAAAATAAAAAAATAAAAAATTAGTTGGCCTTGGTGGTACATGCTTACACTCTCTGCTATTCTGGAGGCTGAGGTGGGAGGATCACTTGATCCCGGGAAGGTTGAGGCTGCAGTGAGCTGTGATGGTGCCACTACACTCTAGTTTATGTGACAGTGACATCCTGTCTCAAAAAAAATTAATAAAAAAATTTAGGGGAAGCTCAAACATTGATGGTTTTTAGAAGAAGGAAAGAAAAGAAAACTTAGTTATAAAATTTGGTAAGTTGTATATTACATGCTTAATAGAATGAAACAGTGTTTTGGGGCCAAGCGCAGTGAGTGGCTTATACCTGTAGTCCCGCACTTTGGGAAGCCAGGCTGAGCAAATCACATGAGGCCAGGAGTTCAAGACCAGCCTGGCCACATGTGGAAACCCTGTCTCTACCAAAAATACAACAATTAGTGGGGAATAGTGGCATGCGCCTGTATTCCCAGCTACTCAGAAGACTGAGGCACAAGAATCACTTGAGCCCAGGAGTCAGAGGTTGCAGTGAGCTGCTATCGCGCCATCGCACTCCAGCCTGGGCGACAGAAAGACCCTGTCTGGAAAAAAAAAAGAAAAGAATGAGACAGTGAAGAAAGTACCCAGTAACTTCAGGTGAATGAAAAAATTAGAAAGTTACCGAACCAAGAAAGGAATTTTAAAGTTTAGGAGATTTATATAAGAAATGGTTTGTGAAAATAGGTAGCATGTATTACTGTGTTATGAAGGATAAACAGATTGAGAATTTAGAGATTATTATAATTGGTATGGAAACAGTTTACTTAATTTGGTGTTTACTTGAATATACTGAAACTAATTATTAACCATGTTTTCAGTGGAAAGATTTCTCAGTTAAACAAAAGTTTAGTCTGGGTTTGAGAGGCAGTGTGACACGATTGCTAAGAGCACAGATGCAGAATCCAAGACTGCCTGGGTTTAAATCTGAGCTCTAGCACATAGAAGGTTTATATTGATAAAGAAGTTACTTAACTTCACTGGCCTCAGCTTCCTCAACACAAAATGGAGATAGCAATAATACCTATCTCATAAAATGGTTATAAGATTTAGATGAGTTAATATATACAAAGCTTAAATGATGAAAGACGTAAAATATTCCAGTGTTTATCAAACACAAACCATGTGTATTTTACTTATTTTTTTGTTTATATGTTGTTTCTTGTTTTGTTTCTTTGTTTCTTGTTATGTTACTTGCTTCCTAGAAAACATGAAATAACTACCATGTGTATTTAATGTTAGGTGCTAGAAAATACAGTTAAGGGAAAAAAATTGTTTTTTTGAAAAGTTTATTTATTTGTTGAGGTTCTAGAGGCAAGATCTTACCGTGTTGCCCAGGCTGGAGTGCAGTGGCATGATTGTAGCTCACTGCAGCCTCTATCTTCTGGGCTCAAGCGATCCTCTTGTCTCAGTCTCCTGAGTAGCTGGGACTACAGGTGCATGGCACCACATCCAGCTAATTTTAATTTTTTTATTTTTTGCTGAAACAGGCTCTTACTTTGTTGCCCAGGCTGGTCTTGAATGCCTAGCTTCGAGGAGTCTTCCTGCCTTGGCCTCCCAAAGTGTTGGGAATATAGGTGTGAGCCACTGTTCCTGGCCCAGAAAAAATATATAAAGAAAGAAGAAATGCTACAACGAAAGGAGATATGGGGCTTAGAGAGTTAACATGATTTAATTCTCCTCAGCTGGAGTAATGAAGTAATTTTAAGGAAAAGCAGATGAGGGTTGGACTGTCGAGGAGTTAAAATACCCACCAATGAATGAGCAATTTCATGTTTATCTCTTTGAGAAGATAAGATAAAGCATGGCTCTATTCTGTATAATAGACTAATAATTCTTGTTTGATTCTTTTAAGTCATTGAAATAATTAGATTTCTCATAGGTTTTAATAATTTGCCAAAATGAAGGCGATAATATGAAATTCCTAGAAGCAGTGAGTGTAAACCAGAGAAGGTAGAAGTGAAATCTAAAAGATGCTGAAATGACGAAAACTGAGGACCAAAGGAAGAAAGATTCTGTTGAGTCTGGAGAACAAATGCATCTCAAATATTCAGGATTGCTTGTGATTATGGCCAGAGAATGGACTGCCTTGAGTGAATGGTTTTAGAAGTGGAGCAAGCTGTGGCTGTGTGTGTGGATTTGTGGTGATGAGGACACCTAGGAATCAGGTACCTGGTTAGATGAGTACATTTTTGTTGCCATCACCCTGGATTATGACAGGATTCATTGAGAAGGAAGGCTATGAGCCGTTGTCAAAGACTTGAGTAAATGAGCGGGAACGATCACCTAGATATCATTCTATTAAAATTCTGTGGCAGTTCTTTTGTGTCATTTCCCCTTCTCATTGTCTTTGACTATCATTGATATCAAATGTTTGCATAGCATTCTAACTTGCTTTAGATGCAACTTTTTTTTTTTTGAGATGGAGTCTTGGTCTGTCGCTCAGGCTAGAGTGCAGTGGCACAATCTCAACTCACTGCAACCTCCACTTCTCCTGCCTCAGCCTCCCAATAGCTGGTATTACAGACGTGCACCATCATGCCTGGCTAATTTTTGTATTTTTAGTAGAGATGGGGTTTGCTATGTTGGCCAGGCTGGTCTCAAACTCCTCAAGTGATCCACTCGCCCCGACCTCCCAAAGTGCTGAGATCACAAACATGAGCCACCGCGCCCAGCCAGTTATAACTTTTTAATTTTCCTTAGTATATAAAGTGGCTGTAGATATTCATTGTATGAAAGTTAGAAATAGACTTAAAAAATAAGAAATGTAAAAGCATTGATAGATAAGTAATGTTAGTTATTTGATGTATTCTCTCAGGCTTTTTTCTTTATTGATAGTATAAGTACATGTCAAAAATGGTACCACATTACTTTTTTCAGTTACTCCATGTTTAGTAAAATGTGAGCACTTTCATGTCTTTCAATGTCAATAAATATACTTTGAGGACTTTTAATAATGATGTAGTGTTCTGTTCCATGATTTGCTATAATTTACTGGCTGAATCCAATTATTGTGGGGTATTTCTGACATCTCCTGTTTTCCTCACTCAGTGTGTATTGTGTGTTTAAATTAATGTTGTTTATAATGGCTACATAATGTTTTGGTGCATGGATGTTGACAGTAGTTAGAGGGTGGCTTTTTAACTCTTGGCCAGATCAATACATCATTTATAGAGGCCAATTCAATCATGTAGTTATGGCTACACACATTAATGTTTCAGCTGTAGGATGCACTTGCAGGGTTTTTGGAGTTTTTTTCTCCAAGTGTGGGGTAGTTGACCATGTCACTCTGGGTCTTTGTGCCATTTTTTAGACCAGAAGATTGATATTGAAGATGCTGTATGTTTAACAGTTTGGAATTTATTGTGCTATGTTTACAGCAAGGTATTTTCATTGTCCCTTTCTTCAATGAAAAAGGGTAAATAATTACAGACTCTCCTCCCTTAAATTATGCATTAAAAGCCAAATTGGGCCGTTAAGTGTTATGAGAATCATGGCAATGGCACATGTGTTGACTTACCTTTTTTTTTTGGGAGGCAGGGTCTTTCTGTCACCCAGGCTTAAGTGCAGTGGCCCGATCTTGGCTCAGTGTACCCTCAACTTCCCAGGCTCAAATGATCTTTCCACCTCGGCCTTTCCCAGGTAGCTGGGACTGCAGGCCATGCCACCATGCCCAGCTAATTTTTTTTTTTTTTTTTAATGAGACATAGTCTCATTCTGTCACCCAGATTGGAGTGCTGTGGTGCTGTCTCGGCTCATTGCAACCTCCGCCTCCTGGGTTCAAGCAATTCTTCTGCCCCAGCCTCCTGAGTAGCTGGGATTACAGGCACGCATCACCATGCCTGGCTAATTCTTTGTATTTTTGGTAGAGATGGGGTTTTACCATGTGGGTCAGGCTGGTCTTGAGCTCCTGACCTTGTGATTCACCTGCCTTGGCCTCCCAAAGTGTTAGGATTACAGGTGTGAACCACCATGACCGGCCAATTTTTGGATTTTTTACATGGTGTTTTGCCATATTGCACAGGCTGGTCTTGAACTTCAGAGCTCAAGTGATTCGTCCACCTTGGCCTCCCAAAGTGCTGGGATTTTAGGTGTGAGCCACCTCACCCAACCAGCAAACTCCTTTCAGCATCTGCTTTCTTTGGATGAGAGCTTTTATGAAGACATATCATCTGGTTATGATTTAATATAATTTCATATTATTGCTAGAGCATTTTAAAGAATGAAATATTTCTTGAACATTTCTATTTAGGCAGATGTTTTGACTTTTAGATCTTTAAATTAAGATGACAAGTAATAGTAACATTTTTGGACCTTAAAATTCTCAAAAACTTTCTTTTGTAATTCAATCAGCAAAATTCTTTTTTATTTAGTTGATATTGTACTAAAGGTGCAGAGCAGATATTCACTTACTCAACAAAATATTTTTTAAGAAGTAAATTTCTTTTTTCTTTTTGAGTCAGAGTTTTGCTCTGTCGCCTGGGCTGTAATGCAGTGGCTTGATCTCTGCTCACTCTAGCCTTTACCCCCTGAGTTCAAGCAATTCTTGCATCTCAACCTCCCAGAACTGAGTATATATTTCAGTATAGTTGAAGTTCCTGCCTTCGTGGAATTTATAAAGATAACAGCTGTCTGTATTTTGTCTTCCAGTCTCTTTTTCTAGTCATATATTACAAAATTGGGACTACTTTACAAAGTTGGGTGTATAGATATTACATAGATACATGTACATATGAAAATACAGACACACAAAATTTTATATCTTTTCTTAAACTGCATTTGCATCATAGTGTCTCACAAGTCTCTAAAAACCTATTTTATCTTTTTTCTGATTGTAAAATTAATATATGCTATTTATAAACTTTACATAATGCAAAAAAATACTTAGCAAACAAAAGTTCCTAATAGTTTTTTTCTGGAGGGTGGGGTGGGGTGGAGACAGACTCTCACTCTGTCACCCAGGCTGGAGTGCAGTGGTGCAATCCCAGTCCACTGCAACCTTCGCCTCTTGGGTTCGTGAGTAGCTGGGATTTCAGGCATGCACCATCATGCCCGGCTAATTTTTTTGTATTTTTAGTAGAGATGGGGTTTCGCCATGTTGGCCAGGCTGGTCTCAACTCCTGACCTCAGGTGATCCACCTACCTTGGCCTTCCAAAGTGCTGGGATTACAGGTGTGAGCCACCACGCCTGCCAAGTTTCTAATAGTTCTAATCTCCAAAATAGTAACTGTTAGGAGTTCTGTGTTTTTTCTCTAAAAAAATGTATGCTATATGCATTTTCTTTTTTATTAATTTTTTTCCCCTGGCAGATGGGTTGTTGCATCTCCTTAGTGGATCCTGACTCCTGTAGTTATTTTCTTTCTTTTTTTAATTAATAGAAGTAATTTAAAAACTCTGCGTCTTGTCCTGAGACTCAGTTTTTAATCTTAATCACAAATCATGAATATTTCCCCAAATAGGTCCATACATAGTCTATTTTTTAACGATTGCAGGTATTTCATAAGAAGACATGTTATTGTTACAATTTGGCCAACTTTCAACTGATGGATGTTTAGATTGCATCCAGTTATTTGCCATTATGAATGATGCTGCAGTTAACATCCTTGTCAATATCTTTTCATAAACCTGTGAATATTTTTATGGGATGAATTTCTAAAAATAGTTACTGAGTCAAAAGTTAGGCATATTTTAGATTTTAGTAGAAATTGCCAAGTTACCCTCTAAAAAAGACTGTACCTATTTTACATTCCTGTGGGCAGTACATTAGCCATAGGTTTTAAAAATACATTGTTTTATTGAGTACTTGCAGTTTGCCACAATGTTGTTCTATGTTACTGTATCCTTCTCGTGTTCTTCATGGAGTAAGTATAGTTATTTCCACAGATGAGGAAACCGAGACCGAGCTAGTACATGGTAGGGCTATAAGTACACTGAGGCAGTCTGCTTTCTGAGACTGTGCTCTCAATCAGTAGGTAACATTTTCTCTAAATCTGGTTTTGGCCAAACATTCAGTGATTTCTCAATATTGAAAATGTAGTTTTCCATTATTGGGAAAGTAAAGCGCTAATTGTACATAAATCCATGGGGAATGACCTGTAGAGAAACATTAAGTTTACCCTGCCCCCATGGCTTCTTTGTGGAGGATCCCTTTTAGTTTGTAATTAGTGGTAGGCGGGTAACAGCTGCCTGCTTGATGTATTCTTGAGTTATGTGTACATGTAGAATACCTGTGTATGAATAAGAATCACCTGTCAAAGAGCAAATAAATATGTGGATGAAAATCTGCTTGGGGCCTTCAGCCTGGAAATCCATCAGCCCCAGAGGCTCTCAGGCTGTTGGTCCCCAGGATAGATCCACTCCGTTGTGCTGTTTGGGTGTCTGCTTCTCAAATACCTTCAACCTTCTTTTTAAAAAAATTAAGCATCCATTCTGTGTCAGGTATCTCATGACAATACCTTACTTAACTATTTCAATAATATTCTGAAGTGAGAATGTTCTTTCCATTACAGATGAAAACACTGCATTCAGAGGTATTGACATTTTGTATTATAGAACTTTTGGTGATAGTTGTTTCAAGCTTTGTTTTAAACATTTTCCAATATATTAGTATACTTAAAAATTAATGGCGTAGGCTGGGCATGATGGCTCATGCCTGTAATCCTAGCATTTTGGGAGGCTGAGGTGGGCAAATTAGCAGCCTGCTCAACATGATGAAACCCTGTCTCTACTAAAAATACAAAAAATAAGCCAGCTACAGTGGCGTGCATCTGTAATCCCAGCTACTCGGAAGGCTGAGACAGAAGAATGGCTTGAACCCAGGAGATGGAGGTTGCAGTGAGCCAAGGTTGCACTGCTGTACTCGAGCCTGGGCTACAGAGCAAGGCTTCATCTCAAAAAAAAAAAAAAAAATTAATGGTGTGGCCCGGGTGTGGTGGCTCATGCCTGTAATCCCAGGAGGCTGAGGCAGGAGTATTGCTTGAGTCCAGGAGTTTGAGACTAGCCTGGGCAATGTAGTGAGACCGTATCTCTACAAAAATAAAATAATGGTGATGGTAGCATTAACCTGTAGTCCCAGGTACTTGGGAGGCCAAGGTGGGAAGATCGCTTGAGCCTTGGAGGCTGAGGTTGTAGTGAGTCATGACTGTGCCACTGCATTCCAGCCTGTGTGAGAGATCGAGACCCTGTCCCCAAACAACCAAACAAACCAAAATGATGTGTTTTACATCTTTAAAATGGCTAAGAGTTTTACTACTTTAAAAATGGTCTGGAATTCAGTGTCTTAAGGATGTCATTCTGAATTAGGCATCTGCCAATCACTTTGTACCTGGACAGTCATTTATTGGGTCTGTTTTTTTTTGAGATGGAGTCTTACTCTGTTGCCAGGCTGTAGTGCAGTGGTGCAAGCTTGGTTTACGGCAGCCTCTGCCTCCTGGGTTCAAGCGATTCTCATACCTCAGCCTCCTGAGTACCTGGGATTACAAGCACACACTATGACACCAGCTAATTTTTTTTGTATTTTTAGTAGAGATGGGGTTTCACCATGTTAGCCAGGATGGTCTTGATCTCCTGACCTTGTGGTCTGTCTGCCTCGGCCTCCCAAAGTGCTGGGATTACAGGAGTGAGCTGCCATGCCTGGCCTGGGTCAGTAATTTTTTTATGAAATACTGTGGATTGGGATTGGAAGTACAGTATTTTAAATCTTCCATATATGATTGTTTTTGTTTTTTCCTTGAAATTGCGTTTTTCCTAGAAATAAAATGCAGCAGCAGTTTACCCTCCAAAACAAAGTCTTTTACTCTTTTTACTCAAATCATTGGGTAAAAAACTTTACTCAAATCAGTGTGAGGTAGTAAACATTTTAGGCTGTGTGGGCCAGATGGTCATAACTACTCAACTCTACCCTTGTAGCCCAAAGCATGGATACATGCTTTTGCAGCAAATGGGTATGGCAGTGTTCCTATAAAACATTTGTAAAAACAGGCTCCAGTCCAGATGTCGCCTGTGGGCCATAGTTTGCCAACCACTGGCTTTTAGAAGATGCCTGATGAACATTTTTCCCCTAAAGATGATGAACTCCGTAAGTACACTGGTTTCTTTGGAACTTGGGGTATGAAATGGATTTCCTTTGTCCTCCTAGTTCACACCCACATTTTTAAAACTTCAGAGCTCTTGTGTAATGAGAATGGAACCAAAGGCTCTTCAGGGGCAAGCGTCAGTGTTTTTACATGTATTCATAAGTGAGTGAATTCACTTTTAAAAAAATCTTTTGTGTTATAAATGGGACTCTTGGGCACCTAGCTGGCCCATAAATTTCTTCATTTTCTTTAACAGAAAAGTTTACTGACCTGTTGTTTATGGTTGGTGCTACCCTCATGTGACTATTTAAATTAACTTAAATAAAATTTAAACTTAAGTTCTTCAGTCACACTAGCTGCATTTCAAGTGTTCAGTAGCCACACATGACCAGTGGGTGCTGTATTGGACAGCACAAGATAGAGAATATTTCCATCATTCCCTAACAGTTCTATTGGGACGGTCCTTATCTAGAATTCTGACTTAAGGGTTAGAGGAAAAAGGACATGGAAGTGATATTAAAGCATGATGAATGAATGATGCTTTTATTATCTTCTGAAGTGGATATTGTGGTTTATGCTCTTTTTCTGGGAAGAATTTTTTCCATGGTTAGAATTAGAGTGCATATATTCCACTTCAAGTATGTAAATAACCAAATTTCCTCTTACTTATTTCTATCTTTAAGGTATAGCTGAAAATAAAGATTCCAGAAACACATTCTTTTTACACTTCAGAGTAGCCATGCATATATAACATTATAATTATGTATATATAATATTATAAGTAATTGTAAAGAAGAAGGCATCATTCAGCTAATGGATGCCTCATGAAGCATGGCTTCTGCACTCCAAATGGCCTGTGACTATGCCAGTGGTCTTTCCGTATCCCTCCACCACATACCTCGTCTCTTCTTCATTACTATTTTATTTTATTCTGTCTTATTTTATATTTGGAGGCAAAGTCTCGCTCTGTCACCCAGGCTGGAGTACAGTGGTGTGATCTTGCCTCCCTGCAATCTCTGCCTCCGGGTTCAAGTGATTCTCCTGCCTTAGCCTTCCAAGTGGCTGGAACTACAGGCACGCACCACCACACCCAGCTAATTTTTTTGTTTGTTTTTTGTATTTTTAGTAGAGATGAGGTTTCACCATGTTGGCCAGGCTGGTCTTGAACTCCTGACCTTCAAGTGATCTGCTTGCCTTGGCCTCCCAAAGTGCTGGCTTTACAGGCCCTTTAAAATTTTTTTTTTTGAGACGGAGTTTCGCTCTTGTTACCCAGTCTGGAGTGCAATGGCACGATCTCGGCTCATCGCAGTCTCCGCCTCCTGGGTTCAGGCAATTCTCCTGCCTCAGCCTCCTGAGCAGCTGGGATTATAGGCACGTGCCACCGTGCCCAGCTAATTTTTTGTAATTTTAGTAGAGACGGGGTTTCACCATGTTGACCAAGATTGTCTCGATCTGTTGACCTCGTGATCCACCCGCCTCGGCCTCCCAAAGTGCTGGGATTACAGGCTTGAGCCACCGCGCCCGGCCCTTTAAAATTTTTTTAATAAAGAAAGCTTTTTATTTAGAAATCACATCCTTTTTGATAAGCATCATTGTTTTTCTTTCTCTTTTTGAGACAAGGTCTCACTCTGTAGCCCAGGGTGGAGTGCAGTGGTGCAGTCTTGGCTTACTACAGCCTTGACCTGCCAGCTCAAGTGATCCTCCTACTTTGGCCTCCCAAGTAGCTGGGACTAATACAGGTGTGTGCCAAAACATCCAGCTGATTTTGACTTACTTTTTATAGAGACAGGGTTTCACTGTGTTGCCCAGGCTGGTCTCAAACTCTGGGCTCAAGTGATCCTCCTGCCCTGGACTCCTAAAGTATTGGGATTACAGGCATGAGCCACTGTGTCTGGCCTCTGTCACTTTTATTTCAACTATTTATTAAACCTTGGATTCCTGGTCCACTTCTCATACCCTGAATCCTTCCGTTCCATTTCCTGAATTGATGACCTAACTTCCTATTTCACAGAGAAAATAGAAGCCATCGAATTAGAGCTTCTCAGTTTTCAACCACTAATGCTACATGCCCATGATACCCAACTACTTATAATTTCTGATGTTGAAAATGAATAATCACTTTATTGAAGTTAAAAAGTTTAAAGTTTAGTTTTCCTTAGCCTTGAATTCAGTTTAATCATATTAGTCTATTCATTAATTCAGTACATTTTATATAAAGGTAAAAGAAAAATACTACAGCTTTTGATACATGTTAATTCAAGTTAAATTAACTTAATTCTGTTTAAATATCTAGTTCTACTTATAAACATAACTAACATTAAATTGCATTTTAAAAAAAATTGGATAAATAAATGCCCAAGAAAGCTTCCAACTTCTTAAAACAATTCCTTTTCTAAGTACTTATATAACTTTTGTAAATTAATTAAATTTCAGGATATGATGAATTTTTCAGCTCCCAAACATGTCTTTCTGTGTTTTCTTGTTTTGATAAATGCTATTCAGTTGTCTAAGTAACCTGGGCTGTGTTGATTTCTTCTTTTCTCCCCACTATATAGAATCAAGTATTGTTTCTTCTTCCTGTATCTCTTATCTCTTCCTAATCCATTATAGTAGTTCAGGCTCCTGTCTCTTGCAACCTCTGCCTCCTGGGTTCAAGTGATTCTCCCCTGTCAGCCTCCTGAGTAGCTGGGACTACAGGAGCATGCCACCACACCCAACTAATTTTTTGTGTTTTTAGTAGAGACAGTTTCACCATGTTGGCCAGGCTGGTCTTGAACTCCTGACCTCAAGTGATCTGCCAGCCTCAGCCTCCCAAACTGCTGGGATTATAGGCATGAGCCACTGTACCTGGCCACTGTTTCTTGCCTGAATTACTTTGTAGATTTCAAACCAGTTGGCATGTTCAAATCCTCTGCCCTTCTAATTTGTTTTTTACCACTGTAGTCCTTTTGATCTTTTGTTTGTTTTTTCTTTTCTTTTCATTTTTTTTTTTTTTTTTTTAAGACCGAGTTTCGCCCTTGCCCAGGCTGGAGTGCAATGGTGTAATCAGTCTCAACTCACTACAATCTCCACCTCTCAGGTTCAAGTAATTCTGCCTCAGCCTCCCAAGTAGCTGGGATTACAGGCATGTGCCAGCACACCTGACTAATTTTGTATTAGTAGAGATGGGGTTTCACCATGTTGACCAGCTTGGTTTTGAACTCCTGACCTCAGGTGATAACACTTCGGTCTCCCAAAGTGCTGGGATTACAGGCATGAGCCACTGTGCCTGGCCTTTGGTTTGGTTTTATAACAGCTTTATTGAGATACAATTCACATATCATACAGTTTACCTACTTAAAGTGTACAATTCAGTTGTTTTTTGTGTTCACAGAGTTGTACAACCATCTGCAATTTCAAAACATTTAATTATGCCCAGAAGAAATTCTGTATCCCTTAGCAGTTACTCCTTATTTCCTCCTCTACTCATCTCCCAGCCCTAAGCAGCCCTTAATCTTCTTTTCTTTTTTTTTTTTCTTCTTCTTATCTTCTTTCTGTCTTTATAGATTTGCCTGTTCCGGATATTTCATGTCAGTTGAATCATGCAGTCTTTTGTAATTGGGTGCTTTGACTTAGTATAGTGTTTTCAAGGTTCACCCATATGGTAGCATAACATCTGTACTTCATTCCCAATAAATGCCAAGTAATAGTCCATTGTGTGGCTGTACCACATTTTATTTATTCACTAGTTGATGGACACTTTGAGTGATATTCTACTTTTTGGCTATGAAAAAAATGCTGCTGTGAACATTGATGTACAAACTTCCGTGAGGAAGGATGTGTGTTTGCATTTCTCTTGGGGTGACTTCTGAAGCCTAGGAGTGAAATTGTTGGGGCATATGGAACCTCTCTTTAACATTTTGAGGAACTGACAAACTGTTTTCCAAAATGGCTATATCATGTTACAATTTTACTAGCAGTATATGAACCTTGTAGTTTTTCCGCATCATCACTAATACTTATTATCTGTGTTTTGGATTATAGCCATTCTGATGGGTGTGAAATGGTATCTTATAGTTTTGATTTGCATTTCCCTAATGAGATTGAGCAACTATCTTGTGTTTATTGGCCCTTTGCTATCTTTTTTGGAACCTTTTGATCTTTTAAAAATAGAAATCTGGGTGTATTACTTCCCTGAGTTTTGCCTGTGGTGGTGAACATTCTCTTCTTTTTAGCCTGGTCAACTCTTTGGTTGACCAGAGCTGACCAGACTAAATAAATTTTTAAAAATATTTATTTATTTATTTATTTTGGGCTTCAATTTAGATGTAATTTCCTTCAAGGAGCCTTCCTTGAACCCTGGCTATTAGCACTCAGTCCACTCTGTTGTTGTGATTGTTCATCTGTACTTCCTTTCTAACCAGACATGGTTAAGAGAGATTGTAGTTGGCATGTGATTGACTCTTTTTTTTTTAAACGTTTAACTTAAAAAAAATTTCTGTCTCGGAGTTAATTGTACAGAAAGTAGTATTTCATGATTTTTGTGCGTTCCTTGTTTTCTCTCATTTTCCAGATGGCACTAAGGCACCAGGATAGGATCCTATAGAGAGCAATGCATTGCAGTTGCTCTCTGCATGGTATGCTTCCCCCAAGAGTCAGAGTCAGGGATGAGGCGAAACCTGTGTGTACTCTGAGGCCAGGGCTGAGTGTATAAGGAGCAGCTGCAACTTGCCCTGGTGATATTCTTTAACCTGGAGGAGGTAGGGATGCGGGAAAGGGAAGACTGAGCATGGGAACCATCTTGATAAGAAGTAGGGACTCTGAGAGAGAGCCTCCTAGGATTGGTACACCGCAGCTGGTGGCAGCTTGACCTTGAATTAGTTGTTTGGGTGAGAATAAATACACTCAGTCAACTAGCACCTTCACTTCTTGAATTATAGGATGGACTTTTTTTTTTTTTTTAAAGACCAAGTCTAGCTCTGTCGCTCAGCCTGGAGTGCAGTGGTGTGATCTTGGTTCACTGTAACCTCTGCCTCCCAGGGTCAAGTGATTCTCCTGCCTCAGTCTCCTAAGTAGCTGTGATTATAGGCGCTATTTGCCTTCTACATTATGACTTCACAGTATGATTTTACTGCAGAAGGCAAAATACTAATTCTCCATGGTCCCAGGTCATTACAGGCCCTTACCTCCATGTCTGGCTAATTTTTTTGTATTTTTAGTTGAGATAGGGTTTCATTATGTTGGTCAGGCTGGTCTCAAACTCCTGACCTCAATGATTCACATGCCTCAGCCTCCCAGAGTGCTGGGATTACAGGTGTGAGCCACCACCCCCAGCTGGACATTCATTTTTAATACTGCATGGAAACTCTGATTATGGAGATAGTTTTTTTCTTTTAGTTTTCAAGAAGTACCTCTTATTTTTTTTAGGACGTCTTATTTCTGAACTGAGAAGTGAATTACACTCTGATTTTTTACGGAGTTATACAACAACAAAGAGAATCTGGATTTGTTCCTATGGTTGTGACTTTACTGAGGTAAATATTATCTTTCTCCATCAGGATGTCTAGAAATAGTCTTCTGTTTTCATTTTTGTCCTCCAAACCTGCTACATATTGCAGATAAGAAATTTCTGGTTAATGTTTTCTTTTTTTAGCTCACTGGACCCTAACTTCTTTTAGTCTTCCATGCCTAGATTTTTGCCGATTGAGGGACTGTGGTAATGGTTTTTTTTTTCCTTTGCTCAGTAATATGACTTTATCATAGAAGGCAAAATATTAATTTTCCATGGTCCCAGGTTGTTCAGGCATTTTGAACTCCTAGTGTTCATGTGGAGTTTATGTGGCGTAGAATCATTTGTGTGGCGTAGATTCTCCATAAGCCTTGCCATAAGGGGGGAAAAAAAGGAGTTGACCTTATGGTAGAAACATCAGTGTTTGGAGAAATAGTCTTGGGAAATGAGGGGGTTGTTTTCAACTGAATGGTCGTCTTGAATCATTTAGTCCATTGTCAGGGGAAGGCCCTCCGGAGGCTTCAATTAGATGGTGCCTGGCCTAGCTAACTGGTGTCACTTTTTTTGTCTTCAAATAAGCACCTTTCCCTGGCTATTCTAGGAACCAAAAAGGGCTGGTTTCATGGGAATTATGATTAGTCTTCACATTTTGTATTTTTAAAAAAATTAAGTAAATGGACACAAATTCTTGTGCTAAAAAGCTTGTGTTATAACTGAGAAAGCTGATTTATAATTTTTTTATTCATTTGTCAACTATTTAAGTACCTACTATATGCAAGTATATTTTCACCAGAATTTGTGGGAGACCCATGGTTCAATTAGACACTGAACCTTCTCATAAGGTGCTTGTCTTCCAGTAGGGTGATGATGCTAGTATTTCAGTACAGGTTCTTGTAATATGAGGCTGAAATTGGTAAGAGTCAAGTGAGGTACTGCTGAAGGGCTATGAAGTTTAGAGGAGGAAGCAGTGACCTGTCCTTAGGGGAAGGAGATTATGCAAGCTTGCATGGAGGAGGCATTTGATCTGAATCTTGAAGAGTTGATTGGTGGGGAATGATCCTTCATGAAGGTTTTCTAGTAAAGGAGTGACATGATAAGAGTTGTGTTTTAGGAAAACTACTTCTAGTATGTGATGAAGAGAGTGAAGACTGGGTGAAAAGTAATGAGAATCTAACCTTTCTAACTGGTAGGGGAAATGAAGACATGCGACAGATGTGAGACATTATAGAGGTAGAATTAGTTGGATTTGGCAATTGTTAGAACAAGGCATATAATCTTAAATGTGAGGGAGGTGTGAAGCATAGGTAATTTGTATTATAGCTGTGGCATTAAAAAATTGGGAACACAGGAGAACAAACTGATTTGAGGAAGAAGATGCTAATAATACGGCTTTTCATTGAGGGGAGTGATTTTTTGTCATTAGGCAGATGGAAATATTTAATATCTGAGAAGTCACCAAGGTTAAGATGGAGATGCTGAGAGTGGAGTAGTTGAAGTCCTGAGGTGGAATAAAATTGCCAAAGGATTTAGTGTCAGATGTGTATTTTCCAAGTTTGTCACGTTGGGAAACCTGAAAATCCTCCACTTTTAGGACAGGAGTGCTCTGGTGTTGTTTAAAGAACTCAGATTCTTCGAGTTTTTATTTCTCTTTGGGGTTCTTTGATTTTGGTTCTCATTTTGGTAAGACAGTAAAGCATAATGGTTCCGAGTCTGAGCTTGAGAACAGAAGGACTGGGTTTGAATCCTTGTTCTGCCACCTCTCTGTCCTGTAACCTTGTTAGATTTATGGAATGTCTTTCTGCCTCCATTTCTTCGTCTATGTAATGGAGCTGATAATAGCTAACTGATAGGGTTGATTATACATTAGTGGGATAATGTATAAAAATAATTTAGCCTGGCACATGGAACATAAGAAGTAGCTAATGTTGCTCTGAGAGTCTTGCTGGCTCCACTCCTTCTAATCCTGAAGAGTGCAGAGTTTCTCTTTTTAAATATAAAATTATATAAAGTCTTTTGTTTTCATTTAGCATAGCTAACACTGGCTGGATTTTCAAAGAATTTAACTTAGTATTAATACTAGTATTCCAAGGGAATAATAATAGTAAATATATTTTAAAAACCAGCCTGGGTGAAAGAGGAAGACCCTGTCTCCAAAAGAAAACAAAAATCCTTAGAAAGGGGCTTAAAGCATCAAAGGCCTGTCCAAATTCAGTTACCTGTTCCTAGGCTTCCTGCTCCCCTCCCTATAACCTCCTGCCTTTCAAACTGAGGAACTGTCTTTCTCACCACCTCTGCGGGGTCCCTTCATGTACTTGCAACAAAGCTGTACTACTGACCCAGGACTCTTTTCTTTTTATTCATCTCAGATTTTGTTTGGCATCTTATCTAAGGCTGACTTTTCTGGACTGTGGTGATTAATGTAAATGATATATAAATGATAATCTTAACTATTACAGGCCTAGGGGCTGGGTGTGGTGGCTCATGCCTATAATCCGTGCACTTTGGGAGGCCAAGGCAAGTGGATTGCCTGAGGTCGGGAGTTCAAGACCAGCCTGACCAACATGATGAAACCCTGCCTCTACTAATAATACAAAAAATTAGCTGGATGTGGTGGCAGGTGCCTGTAATCCCAGCTACTCAGGAGGCTGAGGCAGGAGAATTGCTTGAAACTGGGAGGCAGAGGTTGCATGAGCCAAGATGGCACCATTGCACTCCAGCCTGGGCAACAAGAGTGAAACTCCATTTCAAAAACAAATAAAAACCAAAACGATTAAAGGCCTAGGTCTACTTACTTGGGGAGAATTTATTTTGAATTATTTCTCAGATAAATATTCCTTTTCCCATATGGGCAATTGAGCTTAATTAGAATTATACACTGTAATAGTGCTCTCTGATCATCAAGACATATTAGGTGTATATTTGTGTGTGTGTGTGTGTGTATATACATACATATAGAGTAAGAATTATGAGTTATATGTGTATCAGCAGGAAGATTGTCCCTCACATTTGAATTTGGTAGTGTTTTTCTTCACGTCTGTTGAATTTGTAGTTTTCTAAGTTCTTTACGGGTGTTTTGCAGTTGAGACTAGTGGGTCTACAGTTGCATACAACTTGCAATCAAATTATCAGAGCAACTTAGTTTACTGGGATGGGATTGGTACTCATATCTCCTGAGATTTTGATTTTTTAAAAAACTGCTAAACCATATTCTCCAAAGGGGAGAAGAAAGAATTTTTCAATTTCTATTCTGTTTTTTCCTTTGGTGAGAGTCTATTTAGAAGAATTTAACCTTCTTCTAAGGTAACTACAGAAGTCTTTTATTCCCCTTTTAAAAATACTTATAGTTTGTACCAACAAAGGCCTAACATGCACTGGCTTGTTTCACTTGCGTGCTTCTGGCCTTTTTCTTTCTAATTGTTGTTACTGTCTTCATCCCTGCTTTTTGAAAGGATGACGCTCTTTTCCATGTAACATCTAGCACATTCTGAGATGTGGTATCTGATTTAGTAATTTTCTCATGTAAAAGGATTCTACATTAATTAAAAAAAATTTTTCTTTTTGCTGGATAATTTTTTAATGAAGTGAGGTGTACATCACTGATATTTAAGAATAAGGATTCTACATTTAAATTAATGTGTCAGAGGGGGTAGTAATTGACAGTAAAATAGGAATTTTTTATTTTTCTAAAGGAAAAATATAACCTTTCAGTGGCTTAATACCTCCTTCCTTTCTTTGACAGTCACAATATCTTTTTACTTTTATTTATCTCTTTTTTGAGACAGAGTCGCTATGTTGCCCAGGCTTGTCTCCAACTCCTGGGCTTAGGCAGTTCTCTCGCTTCACCATCTGAGTAGCTGGGAAATATCTTTCTAGATAGTACCTCAATGTTAAGGTGAGAGAATAATCCCCCCTCTTTTTTTTGAGATGGAGTCTGCTCTGTGGCCAGGCTGGAGTGTAGTGGCATGGTCTCACTCACTGCAACTTCCACCTCCTGGCTTCAAGCAATTCCCCCGCCTCAGTTTCCTGAGTAGCTGGGACTATAGGTGAGTGCCACCACACCCAGCTAATTTTTTGTAGAGATGAGGTTTCACCATGTTGGCCAGGATGGTCTCGATTTCCTGACCTTGTGATCCGCCTGCCTTGGCCTCCCAAAGTCCTGGGATTACATGTGTGAGCCACCATGCCTGGCCATATAATCCCATTTATTAAATTGACAAAAATTGTACACATTTATTATATATAGCATGGTGTTTTGAAATATGTATACGTTGTGGAATGGCTACAATGAGCGTATGTATTACCTCACATCTGTTTATGGGTAGTTAGAATACTTACTCTATTCTTCTTTGCAGTTTTCAAGAATATAATACATTATTATTAATTATAGTCATTATGTCATACAGTTGATCTCTTGAACTTATTCCTTCTCACTGAAATTTTGTATCCTTTGGCTCACATTTTCCCAGCCCTCCCCTTAGCCCTTGGTAACTACCATTCTACTCTCTGCTTCTTCTTCAGCTTCAAAAAAAAAGGTTGATGAGGCAGGAGAATTCCTTGATCCCAGGAATTAGAGACCAACTTGGTAAGGCCTTGTCACTACAAAAATAAATAAATAAATAAAAAGTTAGCCAGGTGTGGTGGTGCACACCTGTAGTCCCAGCTACTTAGGAGGCTGAGGGAGGAGGATTGCTTGCACCTGAGAATTTGAGGTTACAGTGAGCTGTGATCATGCCACTGCACTCCAGCTTGGGCAACAGAGCAAGACCTTGTGTGTTTAAAAAAAAGATAGAGGGCTGGGTGTGGTGGCTCATGCCTGTAATCCCAGCATTTTGGGAGGTTGAGGCGGGTGGATCACAAGGTCAGGAGATCCAGACCAGCCTGGCCAAGGTGGTGAAACCCCACCTGTACTAAAAATACTAAAATTAGCTGGGTGTGGTGATGCAGGCCTGTAATCCCAGCTACTCAGGAGGCTGAGGCAGAAGAATCGCTTGAACCTGGGAGGCAGAGGTTGCAGTGAGCCGAGATCATGCCACTGCACTCCAGCCTGGGCAACAGAGCAAGACTCCATCTCAAAAAAATAAAAAAATAAGAAAAATTGAGTTTAACATTTTTTTTTTTTTTTTTGTAGAATACTTTTTATTTTTTTAAAATTTTTATTGCATTTTAGGTTTTGGGGTACATGAGCAGAACATGCATGACAGTTGTGTAGGTTACACACATGGCAGTGTGTTTTGCTTCCTTTCTCCCCTTCACCCACATTTGGCATTTCTCCCCAGGCTATCCCTCCCCACCTCCCCCTCCCACTGGCCCTCCCCTTTTCCCCCCAATTGACCCCCGTGTTTAGTACTCTCCTCTCTGTGTCCATGTGTTCTCATTTTTCATCACCCGCCTATGAGTGAGAATATGCGGTGTTTCATTTTCTGTTCTTGTGTCAGTTTGCTGAGAATGATGTTCTCCAGATTCATCCATGTCCCTACAAACGACACGAACTCATCATTTCTGATTGCTGCATAATATTCCATGGTGTATATGTGCCACGTTTTCCCAATCCAGTCTATCATCAATGGACATTTGGGTTGATTCCAGGTCTTTGCTATTTTAAAGAGTGCTGCAATGAACATTCGTGTGCATGTGTCCTTACAGTAGAACGATTTATAGTCCTTTGGATATATACCCAGTAATGGGATTGCTGGGTCAAATGGAATTTCTCTTTCTAAGGCCTTGAGGAATCGCCACACTGTCTTCCAAAATGGTTGAACTAATTTACACTCCCACCAACAGTGTAAAAGTGTTCCTTTTTCTCCACATCCTCTCCAGCATCTGTTGTCTCCAGATTTTTTAATGATCGCCATTCTAACTGGCATGAGATGGTATCTCAATGTGGTTTTGATTTGCATCTCTCTGATGACCAGTGACGATGAGCATTTTTTCATCTGATTGTTGGCCTCATATATGTCTTCTTTTGTAAAGTGTCTGTTCATATCCTTTGCCCACTTTTGAATGGGCTTGTTTGTTTTTTTCCTGTAAATCTGTTTGAGTTCTTTGTAAATTCTGGATATCAGCCCTTTGTCAGATGGGTAAACTGCAAAAATTTTTTCCCATTCTGTTGGTTGCCGATCCACTCTAGTGACTGTTTCTTTTGCCGTGCAGAAGTTGTGGAGTTTGATTAGGTCCCATTTGTCTATTTTGGCTTTTGTTGCCAATGCTTTTGGTGTTTTGTTCATGAAGTCCTTGCCTACTCCTATGTCCTGGATAGTTTTGCCTAGATTTCCTTCTAGGGTTTTTATCGTGCCAGGTCTTATGTTTAAGTCTTTAATCCATCTGGAGTTAATTTTAGTGTAAGGTGTCAGGAAGGGGTCCAGTTTCTGCTTTCTGCACATGGCTAGCCAGTTTTCCCAACACCATTTGTTAAACAGGGAATCCTTTCCCCATTGCTTGTTTTTGTCAGGTTTATCAAAGATTGTATGGTTGTAGATATGTTGTGTTGCCTCCGGTGCCTCTGTTTTGTTCCATTGGTCTATATCTCTGTTTTGGTACCAGAACCATGCTGTTTTGATTACTGTAGCCTTGTAGTATAGTTTGAAATCCGGTAGTGTGATGCCCCCCGCTGTGTTCTTTTTGCTTAGAATTGACTTGGCTATGCGGGCTCTCTTTTGGTTCCATATGAAGTTCATGGTGGTTTTTTCCAGTTCTGTGAAGAAAGTCAATGGTAGCTTGATGGGGTTAGTGTTGATTCTGTAAATTACTTTGGGCAGTATAGCCATTTTCACGATATTAATTCTTCCTAACCATGAACACGGAATGTTTCTCCATCTGTTTGTGTCCTCTCTGATTTCGTTGAGCAGTGGTTTGTAGTTCTCCTTGAAGAGGTCCCTTACGTTCCTTGTGAGTTGTATTCCAAGGTATTTTATTCTTTTTGTAGCAATTGTGAATGGCAGTTTGTTCTTGATTTGGCTTTCTTTAAGTCTGTTATTGGTGTAGACGAATGCTTGTGATTTTTGCACATTGATTTTATATCCTGAGACTTTGCTGAAGTTGCTTATCAGTTTCAGGAGTTTTTGGGCTGAGGTGATGGGGTCTTCTAGGTATACTATCATGTCGTCTGCAAATAGAGACAATTTGGCTTCCCCCTTTCCTATTTGAATACCCTTTATTTCTTTTTCTTGCCTGATTGCTCTGGCTAGAACTTCCAGTACTATATTGAACAGGAGTGGTGAGAGAGGGCATCCTTGTCTAGTGCCAGATTTTAAAGGGAATGCTTCCAGTATTTGCCCATTCAGTATGATATTGGCTGTTGGTTTGTCATAAATAGCTTTTATTACTTTGGGATACGTTCCATCGATACCGAGTTTATTGAGGGTTTTTAGCATAAAGGGCTGTTGAATTTTGTCAAATGCCTTCTCTGCGTCAATTGAGATAATCATGTGGTTTTTGCTTTTGGTTCTGTTTATGTGGTGAATTACGTTTATAGACTTGCGTATGTTGAACCAGCCTTGCATCCCTGGGATGAATCCTACTTGATCATGATGAATAAGTTTTTTGATTTGTTGTTGCAATCGGCTTGCCAATATTTTATTGAAGATTTTTGCATCTATGTTCATCATGGATATTGGCCTGAAGTTTTCTTTTCTTGTTGGGTCTCTGCTGGGTTTTGGTATCAGGATGATGTTGGTCTCGTAAAATGATTTGGGAAGGATTCCCTCTTTTTGGATTATTTGGAATAGTTTTAGAAGGAATGGTACCATCTCCTCTTTGTGTGTCTGGTAGAGAGTTTAACATTTTAAGATTCTACACATAAGTGGGATCATACAGTATCTGTCTTTCTATGCGTAACTTATTTCACTTAGTGTTCTCCAGGTTCATCCATGTTGTTGCAAATAACAGGATTTTCTTAGACCAGATAGTATTCTATTGCATGCGTGTGTGTGTGTGTGTGTATCTTTATCCATTCATCTGTTGATAGACACTTAAGTTGATTATGTTGGCTGTAGGAATGCCATTTTGTATCTTTATATGGATGATGCAATCTTTATGATGAGTGTTTTTGGTGAATAGACTGGATGTTTGGCTTTTTGGTTAAATTAATACTTTAGAATGAAAAAAGGCTGATGTTCAAATACGAAATTTTAGTGAAATAGTTTATACCAACTCCCCTAACAATGTTCCATCCACTGTGGGAGGAGTTGAGAATAACAAACCAGCAACAGTGAGCTTATCTAAATTTTCTTCCCATTGTCTTACATTTGTTCCTCTGATAAGATTATGGGAAATTATGTAAATTTTACGTCTTTTTAGATGGAGCATCACATTTAGTATTACATTAGTGATGCAGTAGAGAATTTGATTTTGGTAGCCCATGTGGTTCATTCATTTAGTCGTGACTAGAGAAAGGGAATTTCCAGTGGCATTTCTTTTGTGTAAACTTTAGAAAAATTGATTAGTCAAAGAGAAAGGGAGCAATAATTTGCTACGGAAAATAGCCAGAGTTTCAATCTTGTTGCCTAGGCTGGAGTGCAATGGTGCAATCTCGGCTGGCTGCAACCTCTGCCTCCCAGGTTCAAGTGATTTTCCCGCCTCAGCTAACTATTTGTATTTAGTAGAGATGGGGTTTCAATATGTGGGTCAGGCTGCTCTTGAACTCCTGACGTCGTGTAATCCACCTGCCTCAGCCTCCCAAAGTGCTGGGATTATAGGCATGAGCCACCACACCTGGCAAAGTAAGTGGCTTTATAATGAAGAAATAATTTTCTTTTTTTTTAAAGAGATGGGGTTTCTCCATGTTGGTCAGGCTAGTCTTGAACTCCTGACCTCAGGCGATCCACCCGCCTCAGCCTCCCAAAGTGCTGGGATTACAGGTGTGAGTCACCGCGCCCGGCCCATGAAGAAATAATTTTCAAAGTTTCAAACCCACTGAACCTAATAAGATTCAGTGCCAAATTAATATAATTGCATGTTTTCCCTCTAAGGTTAAAGTGATCCTGATTTTCAGAGAACTTTCAAAAAGATATACTAATACAGCAAAGCAGACTAATATTTTAGAAAGAATATTGCCAGTAATAAAAAGGATGGAATTATGATAGTTTGATGTATTAATTTTAATAACTTTTTTTTTTACAGCTCTAGCCAAGATGAATAAAGTTAAACAGAAATATGGTTCTCATTTCCATTGTACTGAATTTATTATATGACGTGCTCTCCTCCCTTCACATGCAGAGTCAGGGCTTTTAAGTCCTTTTTGTTTAAAAGAGTATGGATGAAGCTAATATTATATAGCACTAGAACTAAAAATTTTTTTCACTGAATATCCTTCAAAGCAATGTAATAAAAATGCAATAATTTGAATATTGCAGTTGAGGAAGTGACTACTTCAGTTATAAGTGGTGCACTGCCTTTTTAAAAATAACAAAATTTTAGCCATGATCTAATTCTGTTTTATGAATTAGTTGCTTGTAAGAATTACACATTTATTAAAACTGATAATTTGATTCTTTTTTACTTTATTTTAAAAATTTTTTATTTTTTTAGTTTGAGATGGAGTCTTGCTGTGTTGCCCAGGCTGGTCTTGAACTTCTGGGCTCAATCCTCCTGCATTGGCTTCCCAAAGTGCAGGGATTACAACTATAGCCACCACACTTGACTGATAATTTGGTTCTTTAATTGACTTTTTTCCTTTATAATTGTACTTTTGTTGTGGTAGCATGCTGTAGATTTGGGTTTTTAAGAATTCAATTTAATTTAATTTTTATTTTTTGTAGAGACAGAGTCTGACTATATTGCTCAGGCTGGTGGCCTTAAACTCCTCAGCTCCAGTGATCCTCCTTTCTTGACTTCCCAAAATGCTGGATATATAAGCCTGAGCCACTGAACCTGGCCCAATTTGGGGTTTTGCATTTTAGAAATATGTGTTATAAACAGATTCTGACATATAGTTTATTTTTGTTGATGTGCTTGCCTAGAAAGTCTTGTTTGCTCTTCTGTAGGTTGTCAGTTAAATTGTCTGCTTTTAAAATTTTTGTATTCTTTGTCCCAATTTCATGTGCCACTTGGTGTACTGTTTAGTTTTTACACTGCCTTTCAACCTCCTCAGAGGCGGATTGTCATGAAACTTAAACCAAAGAGACCATCACTTGAATGGCCCCCTTGACATTTTGTATACAAATTTTCCTAGTCTTTTTCTAAAAAGAAGGCCCCTAACTTGTATAAACAGCAGATCAACAAAACCTTCCTTTTCTAAAATAGAGGACTGCTAAGAGGAGATGAAAAACAAAAGCAAATGTGGATTTTTAGTTTTGTGGTTTAGGTAAAAGGGATATAAATAGAATATTGAATGGGTTTGTGTGTGATGTCAGATTTAATTTATCATGATAACCATCAGTGGTGCACCAGATGTTTTGACTGTATTTAGCCTCATATTAAATTAAGCATAGCCAGTGGCCTACCAGGTCCATCTGTACTGCTGCCAAAGGTAGCACTGAAGACAGCCAGCCGCCTTTCATGTCTGTTACCACTGCTAGCTGCTGTTTGCCTCTTGCCATGATATTTAAGCTTTGGAATTTTGCTCATGCAAAGGTGAACCTTTGTATTGAATTGAAATTTGTATTCTGTAAGTCAACTGTACTGAATGAGGAGGCTTGCCTTTCAGTAGATAGTCTATTCTTCTTTTTGCTTATCTATAAACCAGTGGAAATAAATAAGTAAGATTAGTTAGGGGTTTTTTGAGGCTTGACTTCAGGAGAGAGGGGAATTATTATACACAAGTGCCAGTTAAACACGTACTGATTTGAAAAGATTTTCTATACCTGCTAGTAATAATGGAAAACAATTAACTTATTGATTTTTGTTATATAAATATATATTAAGATCTGAAAATCTCGGCAGTTTCATTTACAATCAGAAAGACAAATATTGGCAATCACTCAAACCTTTATGTTTTAAAGGAATGCACCTTCACTTTTACTTGACTTGTACTTCATCAGCATAATCGGAGAACCCTAGATTGTTTCCCCATGAGTGAGGGCAAAACATACATCTGCGGTGTTCTTAGCATGAGGATCATTAAGATGGCAGACCTTCTAGATCAAACAATTTCCTGCCATATACCCTCATTCTTTCCTAGAAAAGCATTTAGACAGCTCTGAAATTAGACCTATAAAGCATGTGCTAAGGCAAGAACAAATATCCTGAAAATTTTATCATAATGTTGCTTTTTAAAGTCCTAAATGTCCTCTAAAATGAAATTCTTTTGTATTAACCTTCTTTCATATGCTGGCTTTCACCAGACTGCAGAATTGCCTGATTTGACTTTCTAATGTAACTGTAATGAATCTTCTGGGAAGCCGAAACGATTGAACACACATACTCTGCAACTCCATTGTAAAATATTCAGTCAGTACTGTCGATGTTGCTGATTAAAAAAGGACAGGAAAAAAAAAAAAGGAATTGGGAGTGGGAGAAAAAAAATGAAAAACTCTCTAACATGTATTAGGGGTTAAAACGAAACATATTCTCTCAGGGATTTCAACCTTTATGAGACATCGTGATGTGCAGTAATACCTTGATTAAATATATTCAGTAACTCCTTAATAAAAACATCAAGTTGGGTGAAGGTAGGGAAGCTTTGTAAAGCTAGAATTAGGGATATGCGATTACATTCAGTTTTGACACATTTATTCTGAAAAAGCATGGGAAAAAACTGGCCCGTTTGCACAAACAAATTGCTCTGTGCATTATGCATGAGGACTCAGTAGAGTTAAAGATTTGCCAGCCTGTGAATGTGGGACCTACATAGAGTGGAGCCCAAATGTTTAATGCTGGGTCTTTCAAATGTGTGTCCCTTATATACTTTGGGTCTTATTTAATAGCCAGAGAATAAAGAGGAATGCTTTTTCATGATGTAAGTAATTTATCTCAGGTATTTATAATTGTAGCAGTATGTGTTTGGCTTATTTATTCAAAAGAAATTGAACACCAGAATTTAATAATTAAGGATTTATTAGTTAAAACTGAGTGTTATAATGAGCCAGATGCTGCTGCGTTGAAACAGCCATTTTCATTAGCATTTTTAAATAGAAGAGAATTGAATTTAAATTTGGAGTGCCTTGACTTTGATGAGTTGACGTTTCAAAATCTTTTAAAATCCATCAACTAGAAGGCCGACTTATTTTAATTTCAATGAAAGACAACACTCACACTGAAATATTAAAATAGGTAGATGAATAAAAGTCTATCTTAAAAATCTGAAACCCTTATTTTGAATAGTATAAAATGATGTTAACTTAAAATGCTTATGAAAAGAAACAATTGCAAAAATGTGTGGAATATAAGAAATTAATTTTACCTTTGACTGATAAAGGTATACATCACTCAGATGGAAGAGGCATTGGTGAACAGGAATGGGGAAATGTGTTTATATTGTTTATTCTCTCCTTTTATCTCACGGAAGCATTTTTAATAATAGCTTGAGTGGTTTGATGAAACATCTGAAGGAAACTCCCAGGAGAGGAAGATTATACTGGAGAGAGATCTCTGTATGAATCATTTACGCTAACCTCTTGCTGAAGCACGGCTTGCATTTTTAATGAAGGATGATTGCATTTCATAAACAGACCTTTAAAAATTAAAATAATATTGATCCTTCCTCATTTAGGCCTATTAAAATAACATGCTATACATTTCTTTCTAATAGCTCAGGACAGATTATTATTATTATTGTTTTAAAACGCTATACAATTTAATAATGTCTAATCAAAAGTTTATTTAAATAGGACTTTGATTAAAATATTTCTGGAAAATTCTTCATAATGTAATCTGTTAAGAAAATTTAAAAATTATGAAATGGTTTAACATTTGGCACTTCAAATTATTTCCAACACAAACTATCTCTGGTAAGTTTCCTTTACTTCTTTTGATCATATCAGTTTCCTTCAAAGGAAATAACTTCATTTCTTGAAACATCTACTATAGTATAGGCAGAGGGACTCACTAGGTTTTAAGAAACCTTGCTTCACAAACTACAGCTTGTGCTGAGGACAAGTTACATTATCTCTCAGTTTGTCAGTGTTCTTTTAAAATATGTCCCTCAATGAGATAAAGATTAAGATAAAACTTAGACTTTTATGAATTATGACTTTGCTGTTGTTTATTATTTTGATAGGCTCTTTTCTGAACCTGAATTTCTCTTTGGATTGGATTATAGGAATAATGCAGTTTAATGCCTGCTGTATCTCTTATAACTACTAGATGTGTTTTTCCCTTTTCTGATATGAAAATGTTATTAAGCTATGCTTTAGTACAAGAATATGAAACTGCAGAGAAAGTGTTTTTTTTTTACATTGAAGGATTAGAAATAAAATGCAACCAGGCATGGTGGCTCATGCCTGCAATCTAAGCACTTTGGAGGCCAAGGCGGGCAAATCACCTGAGGTTGGGAGTTCAAGACCAGCCTGAACAACATGGTGAAACCCCGTCTTTAAAAAAAAAAAAGAAAAAGCAAAGTCAAAATTCATCATCATATGACAGTTTTCTGGGTGACAGTGATTTTCCCCCCCTCTGTTTGAAGAGTAGCAGCATGTAGAGTATAAGAAAACAGTTGCACAAGGCAAATCTTTTCTCTACCACTTCACTGTGTGGTGCATAGGCAGGTTACTTAGCCTTCATATCTTTTTGCTGTCTGTAAAGTGGGGCTAATAATAGTGGCCCTTGAATGGCTGTTGTGAAGGTTAAATGGGTTATTCTAGATTAGTGTCTGTCACATACATTAAGAGCTGTGTTGGCTGGGAGCAGTGGCTCATGCCTGTAATCCCAGCACTTTGGGAGGCCGAGGCAGGCAGATCACAAGACCAGCCTGGCCAACATGGTGAAACCCCATCTCTACTAAAAATACAGAAATTATCTGGGCATGGTGTGCCTGTGATCCCAGCTACTTGGGCAGCTGATGCAGGAGAATCACTTGAACCTGGGAGGCAGAGGTTGTTGTGAGCCAAGATCACACTATTGCACCCCAATCTGGGCAACAGAACGAGACTCAAAAAAAAAAAAAAAAAAAGAAAGAAAAAAGAAAACAACAAACTGGGCTTGGTGGCTCATGCCTGTAATCCCAGCACTTTGGGAGGCCAAGGCAGGTGGATCACCTGAGCTTGGGAGTTGGAGACCAGGCTGACCAACACGGAGAAATTCCATCTCTACTAAAAATACAAAATTAGCTGGGTGTTGCAAAACATGCCTGTAATCCCAGCTACTCAGGAGGCTGAGGCAGGAGAATTGCTTGAACCTGGGATGCAGAGGTTGTGGTGAGCCTAGATCAGCCATTGCACTACACTCCTGGGCAAAAAAAAAAAAAAAAAAAAAAAAAGAGCTGTGTTAAGTTTTAACTATTATTATATTGAATTGATCCTTTTTCCTTTCAATCTTAAAACAGATATTTGGGGAATGTTCCCATAATACTGTCAAGTGCTGAAAATTCTATTTTGACTTATTGAAATCAAGTCTTTTTCCATATTTACTTTGTTGTCTCTTTAGTGTCTTGCATCTGACTAGATGATGATAATGTAAGTCCTTTTTTTTTTCAAGTGAAAGGGATTCTGAGCTAAAGAGTTGATATAAAAAAGAATATAAAACTGCAAAGGAAGGGCTTCTCTGATGAGGTCTATGTATGGAACTAATACTGGGTCTCTGTAGCCTACTAGTTGCTATAGGAATAAGCACAGTATTTTGGACTTTTCAGAATAATAATCCATGTATGTTCTGCATGTTCTTTCACCTGTTAGTGCAGGTAGAACAAGTTTGACTTTGGTATAGTTTAGGAACTCTAAAAGAAATTGAGTTTGTTCCCTTTCAACCTCTTCTTAAATTCTTCCATCAGAGAGGTTTTCCCATAGGTGCCAGGTATTAAGAACTTGTTTCATGTAAGAATATTGCCTTTGTTACTATAGATTGCTATTTATTTGGAGATACTACACATATAGGGTGTAGTAAGGAGCAAATGAGAGACTAGATACAAAATGCTTGGCATAATCCCTGGCATGTCCTAAGTGTTTTTTCCAGTAGCAGGGCTGGCAGTTGCTGGATGTTTGTAAACAGGGGCTGCTTGAATAAGTATGTTTTAGAGTTATTGAGCGAGTGTCATGATGGACAATAGAACTCCACCTGTTTTGGGAACTGTGCTCCGATGTTTCATATTGTAGATAGATAGTTAAGGTTGATAATTGCTTTTGAAATGTTATGTTCACTATTAGAGTAGTTTGAACCTATGAAAGACAAAGCATGATTGAAAATTTTATTAACCCAGGGACTTTCTGTAGCTGATAAATAGTGGAGATTAATTTTAGAGAGAATAGAAGAAATAGAGATGGATTTTACATGTAGAAATATATATTTCAAATCATTTCTAGAGAAGGTGTTTCAGAATATTAAAAGCGGTTTTCAGGTAGTGATAGCGTCAGCTTTTTCAGTCTCCAGCTGAACAGTATTTAAAATATGTCTTTGCAGAAATCTTAAAATATCAGGCATTTCCCCAATATTCCATACAAGTGAAAGAACAACTTTTTATCAGAAAGTTTGGTAAAATATGTCTGGATACTTAAAAATTGCTGTAATTAGTTATAAAAGGGGATATATTAAGAAAACTTTAAGCTCTTAGTCTGTTAAAAATCAGAGCTAATAATTTGTGACTTCTTTTTTAAAAATAAAGATGATATTTTAAAAAACTCGTACAAATTAAATGAGACTTTAAAATCTTAATTGTTCATAGTTCTCAAGCATTTATTCAGATTTTTCTTTGGCGTATCTCTGATGCTCTTCCTGTTAATATAGCCACTAATTCTGAAAGCGTGGAGGATTTGTAGCATTTCTTTTGCAAACCTTAGTGGACACTGTAAAAGAGGCACACAGGAGAAATTATCTATAAAATGGCCAGGCGTGGTAGCTCACACCTGTAATTCCAGCACTTTGGTAGGCCGAGGGGGGCAGATCACCCAAGGCCAGACGTTCAAAACCAGCCTGGCCAAAATGGTGAAACCCCATCTCTACTAAAAATACAGAAATTAGCTGGGTGTCGTGGTGTGCACCTGTAATCCCAGCTCCTTGGGAAGCTAAGGCAAGAGAATCGCTTGAACCTGGGGGCTAGAGATTGTAGTAAGCTGAGTTTGCACCACTGTACTCCAGACGGCAACAGAGCAAGATTCCATCTCAAAAAAATATTACCTAAAAAATAAAATTAAATGTTTCTTTTCTACAATACAGTTTGCAGATCCTTTGCCAATTTTATTTTAGCTAGACAGCCTTGCTCTGTTGCCCAGGCTGGAGTCCAGTGGTATGATTTCAGCTCACTGAAACCTTTGCCTCATGGGACCAAGCTATTCTTGTGTCTCAGCCTCCTGAGTAGTAGCTGGAACAACAGGTGCCTACCACCACGCCTGGATAATTTTTAAATTCTTAGTTGAGATGGGGTTTCACCATGTTACCCAGGCTCATCTAGAACTCCCGAGCTCAGGTGATCTGCCTGCCTTGGCCTCCCAAAGAGCTGGGATTACAAGTGTGAGCCACCGTGCCTGGCCTAGAAAGGTCTTTTTATATATAGTCTTAAGAGTCAAAGGATTTGGCCTGGTTTGGTGACTCATGCCTGTAATCCCAGTATTTTGGGAGGCCCAAGGCAGGTGGATCGCTTGAGGTCCAGATTTTGAGACCAGTCTGGCCAACATGGCGAAACCCCGTGCCTACTAAAAATGCAAAAATTAGCCAAGCATGGTGGTGGGCGCCTGTAATCCTAGCTACGCAGGAGGCTGAGGCTGGAGAGTTGCTTGAACCCAGAAGATGGGGGCAGCAGTGTGCTGAGATCATGCCACTCCACTCCAGCCTGAGCAGCAGAGGGGGAGATGCCTTTGTGAAAAAGAGTCAAGGATTTTAATATATTTTTTGCTTCATTATATTGTACATGTAGTAGGGACTGAAAAGGCTAAACAGTTCTGATTAATATATGTATTAATAGAGGTATTTAAATTAATTTAGGAAAAAATTATTACTCGCTTTTTCAGGGAAAGTATCTTTTCAATGTGAAACCTTTGTTGGTAATTGCTATGGCATTTTCTTAGTGTTTTTTCTTCCTATCTACTGTGTGTAGCTTTTGAGCATTATGGAAGATGTCCACAGAATCCAGTCCTCCCAGGGAATTCCCTGGCGTGACTGACTTTGAAGGGTCCTTGTTGCTGCAGTTATACTGATCTGTGTGCTAGAGCGAGCTGCTGTGTGAAACCTGGAGGGTTCTGAGCCCATCACTATGTCCTCTGCTTCAAGCATTTCTCTACTCCTTTTCCTGGCAGTTTATTAAAAGGAATACTTAATATATTTACTGTCAGTTTGGTACCTGCATAACTTCAGCTGTCATATGACAGGAAAACAGTGTCCTAAAATTTTGTGCCTAACAACAGTGTTTGTTTGTAGTGACTTACAGGGTTTGATACAGAGAAATAATGTGATTCCTGCAGTAAAGTACATATTTGTTCTATTTCCTGTTTTAAAAAGACTACTGATGTTGTACAAATCTGTGATATTCAATATGGGCTAGTCGGTGGCAAGAGTATAATTATATTTGGTAGATAAAATTAAGAAGTTGTGGCAAAATACAAAATTGCCTTAATCAGAGGCAGAGCCTGATGCCAGGGATCATGACCCTTGACCCTTCCTCGATGACTACAGCAACCTTGAGGGAAGTCTTATTTTGGGAGTAGATATTTTAAAGGCACAGATGATAAAATGTTTTAGAGTTTATTTAATAAATTTATTTTTAATTTGTATTTTTAAATTTTTATTTTACTTTAGATTCAGGGACTACATGTGCGTGCTACATGGGTATAGTGTATATTAGTGGAGATTGGGCTTCTAGAATGCCTGTTACCTAAATTGCGAACATTGTACCATTAGGAATAATTTTTCAACTCCCTCCTTCCTCTCTACCTACCCTCTTTTGGAGTCCTCAGTGTCTATTATTTCCATCTTTATGTCCATATGTATTCATTGTTTAGTTATCACTTATACGTGAGAATGTGGGGTATTTGGTTTTCTGTTTCTGAGTTCGTTCACTTAGGATAATGGCTTCTAGCTCCATTCATGTTGCTGCAAAGGACATGATTTCATTCCCTTTTATGGCTCTGGAGTTAATTTTTAAAAACGATGTTTTTGAAGAGATGGGGTCTTGTTGTATTGCCCAGGCTGGCCTCAAGTGATCCTCCTCCTTTGGCCCCCAAAGTGTTGGGATTACAGGTGTGAGCCACCATGTGAGTTTAACTGGAATGTTGGAGTATTTAGTAGTTCTGAAAGGGACTGGAGTTGGTTATCATGGAAAGTTAAAAAAAAAAAAAATCTTGATATTATTCTGGAGAAAATTCAACACTGTACCTTCCCTGACAATACATTATAGGCATTGATAAACTGATCTTTATCAGTCAACTGCTGCAGAAAAGTTACCAAATATTAAGTATTAATGCTAAACACATGGTAGTGTGTATAAGAATGAGCTGCTTTGGTTAGGTCCTTTGCAGAGTGGTGCAGTTGAGAGTGGTACAAACTAAATCTACGCTGGTTGATTGCTCACAATTAGTAGGTTTGTTTTGGAGGTGTCAGTAGCATTTAATAGAGGAAAGGGAAGATGGCAGTAACAGAATGTTGAAAAGGCTGACAGGTAAGGAGGGGGAGTCATAGTGCACAGCATCAGTGGCTAGGACTACTGTGCTGCTGTAGCTGCTGCTGACACCGGTGGTTGCAGTGATATTAATGATGGTGATGAGGCAGCACTGAAAGGGTAGGTAACTTGCTGGTAAAGGATGGAATCAAGATCAGATCTGGGAAGTTCCATTCCAGAGTCAAGCCCTTACCAACAACCTGAACAAGTAAGAGGTTGCTGTAAGAACCTGGATGCTACTCAGAAAAAAATGCTACCGTTTTTTCTCCTCCCCCCCCACACCCAGTTTGAGAGCAGATACTGTTTATTAACCAACCAGCTTAGAAAAATAATCATGGTAGACACCTCAGTTCATTCTTCTAAGAAGCCTGTTGATCTGATCCTCCCTGTTGCCAGCATCTCCACCTTCTACAAAATGAATGGGTCTTTTTCTTCATTCCACCTTGTGGGGAAGATAATTTGAAGGACCACAGAAGTTACTTGCTTCTTTGAAGCATTTTCCAACAGTGTAGATCCCATGAATCAGATCCTCCGTGCAAATTTACCAAGAGGTCAAGCAATCAAAGCGTTATCTGTCAAAGCAATTTGCTTCTTACTGATTTTGCCATAACCACACTTGTAGATTAGTTCATTTACTGACTTCAGATTTGGGTCCCCCATGCAATATATGGTTCTACAATCCTCAGCATGTTAACTAAAGCCTTGCTGAGCTTCACAAAGGTTCCATTGAAGATTTGACGAAAGCAAAGAAGCCGCAACACCTTTCTGGCCTTTGGGCTCACGCCATTGATACCACTGATCCTGATGACAAAGGCCAATTTGGGTTCCGCAGGTACATAGAAGTTGCCAGCTTTTCTTTCCATCCTCGCCATTCGAATTTCAGTTCTGTACATCTGCCTATGTTGTTTGTGATAGGGCTTCACTTTTTCATAGATAAGCTTCCTTCTTGCCTTTCAAAGCATGTTTTAGGCAAACTTCTTTCTCAGGCAGTTGATCTTCAGCTCTCTCCTTCACTTTTTCTTAAGGGTTTCTGGCACAGCAGGAACCTTCTTCTTCTCTTCATCACCCTCCGTGGTTCCAGCTGGAAAAAGAGGCTACTGGTTATTAAAAGACTACTGGGTTTGTGACACTCACAGATGTTGAACGAGGCAGAATGTTTTCTACATGTAGCACTTTACCACCCAAGTCTTAGCCCTCATCTTCTCTTACCTTGACTATTGCAGCATTTATTTATTCAACACATTGACTACTATGTGCCAGGCATGGTCCTAGAACTAACAGCCTCCTAATTCCTGTCCCGTCTTTCACTTTTATCATTCTATAATCCATTCTTTTTTTTTTTTGGCAGAGTTTTGCTCTGTCACTCAGGCTGGAGTACAGTGTCATAATCTTGGCTCACTGTAACCTCAGCCTCTTGGGTTCAAGCGATTCTCATACCTCAGCCTCCCAAGTAGGTGCCCGCCACCACACCTGGGTAATTTTTGTAATTTTTTTTTTTTGAGATGGAGTTTTACTCTTGTTGCCCAGGAAAGTGCAGTGGCGCAATCTTGGCTCACCACAACCTCTTAATCCTGGGTTCAAGTGATTCTCCTGTCTCAGCCTCCGGAGTAGCTAGGATTACAGGCATGCAGCATCATGCCTGGCTAATTTTGTATTTTTAGTAGAGATGGGGTTTCTCCATGTTGGTCATGCTGGTCTCCAACTCCCAACCTTAGGTGATCTGTCGACCTCGGCCTCCCAAAGTGCTTGTGTTATAGGTGTGAGCTACTGCACCAAGCCGGAATTTTAAAAATATTTTTAATAAAGACGAGGTTTCGCTGTGTTGGCCAGCTTGGACTTCAACTTCTGGCTTCAAGTGACCCATCTTTCTCGGCCTTCCAAAGTGATGGGATTACAGGCATGAGCCACTGTGCCTAGCCTGTAGTTCATTCTTTACACAGAGTTGGAGGAGTGGGATTGCTTTTTCAGAAACACAGATCACCTCATTCTCTTACTTAAAACCCTTCAGATTCTCATTCCACTGGGAATAAAATAATAGCTTTTTCCCCTGCTATGGTTGTATGCCAGCATGGCTGACAACTTCTGAGGCTCTGATGTAACTCTGACCACCCTCACTTGCTCCCTTAGCATCAGTCACATTGGTCTCCTGTCCTTTCTGTTGTTGTAAGAACTGGCAAGATAACTCTCACCTAGGTTTATTGCATTTATCATAATGGCCTTAATGCTGTTCCATCAGATTTTTTTTCATTTGCTTCGTCTTGTAATTTAGATCTCATTTCAACATTATTCCTTAGGGAGGTTCTCCCTGGCTTCCAGTCTAAAGTAGCACATTACTCTACATCACCTTACCCTGTTTTATTTTTTTTCAGAGCAAAGCTGTGTTGTTTTTTCATTTTTACTTATGTATTATTTGATGCCTTTCTTGTGAGTTCCATAAAAGCATTATCTACAATTAAATTCCCAGTGGCAGGAATAATTCTCAGAATATAATAAACTCTCAAGAAACATTTTAAAAATGAATGAATAAGCTCACAGTGGTCTCCTTCACATATCTCTATTGGAGTCTACCATTATAGGAAGTTGTTAGTTATGAGATGGTTAGGAGCGCTGACACTGCTTACTGATTGGGTGACCTTGGACATGTTACTTAACTCCTTCAGCTTTTCTATTCCTTATCCAAAAATTGTGATAATAATAGTAATTATACCCACTTCATGGAGTGGTTTTGATGATTAAAAGAACAGATAATTAAATACTTGTAATGCAAGTAAAGCAGTACCTGGCACACAGCTTACTGAGATCTTGACAAATGTTAGCCTTTATTAGTACCGTCATCACTGTCCCTCATGCCTGTGAAGTGCCAGAATAGAGACCCACTTATTTAATTAGCTCCTCTTTATATATGTTCTGATACCTCATTTTGAAATACTCAAGACCTATTTGGGCTTTCTAGGAATGGCGGTTATGATTGGATAAGAAAAGAAAGGAGTAATTTAGTAAGGTGGGACTAGGTCTGATGAGGTCCTTGAAATGCTTAAAGTCCACACCTTTGGGGTTGGGAAGAAAGACAAAAGGAGAAACTGAGCAATCGCCAGATTTTTCATTCTTGACAATATTAATGTGAATCTTGAAGTTGGGTTGCTACCAAAAATTGCTTGGTAAGTTGCTGGTGCTGGAATTAATGCATGCATATTGATGAAGAAAGCTCTGACACTTTTGGCTCTGTTTCCATAATCTGTAGGATTCTTAACTGTATACTTATGTTGGAACACAAAGCTTGTGTTTGGAACTGAAGACTGTATCTGATGATAGTATGGAGAATGAATGGAAGGGGAGAGCTGTACAAGATATAGCAATGTAACCTCTGAGACTGTTGTGGTAACTGAGTTTAGAGATGGGGAACCTCTGAACTAAGGTCGTGATGGTGTGAGAGTGATTGAGAGAGGGCATCTGGCATTGGGCGGAGGGAAGAGTCTAAGGTAATTCCCAGGTTTCTGACTTAAGTGACTGTGGATGAGTTAGCCCACATTTGAGTCTCAGCTCCACTATTTAACAGCATAATAACTTTTGGCAAGTTACTTCATTTTTCTCAGCTTAGTTTCATTACCTGTAAAATGGTAGAGGTAAATAAGGGTGCTTCTCTCTCAGAATTGTCTTGAACTTCCGATGAAATTAGATGTAGTTGTATACAACTACTTTAGTAATATAGGAAGTTATGGCCAGGCATGGTGGCTCATGCTTATAATCCCAGCACTTTGGGAGGCTGAGGCAGGTAGATCACTTGAGGTCAGGAGTTCAAGACCAGCCTAGCCAACATGGTGAAACCCCATCTCTACCAAAAAAATACAAAAATTAGCCGAGTGTGGTGGCACACGGCTGTAGTCCTAGCTACTTGGGAGGCTGAGGCATGAGAATTGCTTGAAGCTGGGAGACGGAGGTTGCAGTGAGCCAAGATTGCACCATTGCACTTCAGCCTGGGCGACAGAGAGAAAATCCATCTGGAAAAAAAAAAGAAAATTATTAACAAATATACCTACTCTCTTATTATCTTTAGTAACAATTAGGATAGGAAATGATATTAATGAGATAATCAGATTAGCGAGTAAGGGAGGATCAGGTTTTAGGTGTAAAACGTATATGAGCTATCTAGTTAGATAATTCCAGTTCACTGGTTGCATATGGGCTTTAAGTTTAGGATGATAGTTCTGTACCTAATTAGAGTGTCTTAAATATAGTAGATACTCAGTAAATCAAGTACGAATACCATATGTTGGTTATCTGTCTTTTCAAAGTTGTAGTTGGTAGCAAAAAAGTCAGGACATTTACAAAAAAAAAATCGAACAAAATCTATTCTGAGCCTTCATCACCTCTGGCCTGGTTACCCTAGCAGGTTCTTAATAGGTCTTGTTCTCCCTGCCTACCTCCTGTTCCCATACCCACACCTATGCTAGTTGTTTCACAGCACAGCAAGCCTAAAGATCCTTTTAAAAGTTAAGTCAGATCCTGTCCCTCTTCTGCTTGGGACTTTGCAATGGCTTGACCTTTCTTTTACAATGCCATCTTGGGGGTCTTCTCTCTCTCTCTCTCTCTCACCCCCCCCATCTCCCTTGTCTCTCTCACCTCCCTCCCTACCTCCTTTTCTGTCTCTCCCTCCCCATCCTCCTTCTGCCTCTGCCTACCCCCTCGTCCTCTCTCTCGCATCCCCCACAACACACACCCCCACCTTGCTTGCCGCAGCCACACAGGCCTTCTTGTTTCTCTTACTGCTAGGTGTCTTCTTATAACTGTTTCTTTGTCCCTGAGTACAATTAATTATAATGTAAGCCAGACCACGATCATGGCTCATATTAGTCAGTACAATCTCTGACTTACAGTGGTTTGACTTACAATTTTTTTTAACTTTATGATGGTGTAAAAATGGTACAGTCAATAGAAGCCATACTTTGAGTACCATACAACCATTTTGTTTTTCACTTTCTGTACAGTATTCAATAGATTGCATGAGCTATTCCAGTTTATTATAAAATAGGCTTTGTTAGATGATTTTGCCCAATTACAGATTAATATAAGTGTTCTGAACATATATCACATAGGGTAGGCCAAGCTATGATGTTTGGTAAATTAGATGTATTAAATGCATTTTCAACTTACAACATTTTCAGCTTTTTCAATGGGTTTGTCAGGCTTTCCTCGTGTTATAGCAAAGATGGCTGCCTGCAGCTCTAGGCTTCATCCCTGTTGCTAGGGGATCTAGCAAAAAGGGATCCCCCCCTTTTTTTCCTGTTGGTTCTAGCAGAAGTTACGGGGAGGATTCTCAGTGGTTGTGCCTGAGACTTGGGCCCATTCTTGAACAAGTTGTGGTGGCCAAGAGGATTTAGTATGCTGAGCACCCCTGGATCCACCCAAACTACAGATTATTAGGTCCCCATAAGAAGTGGTTAGTTCCCTAGAATAAAGTGAGTGAGGAGGGTGCTTTGTTAATCAGACAAAAGCTATCATCAGACTATGATTTACATTAACATAGATACAATCTCTTTGATCAGAGATATAAACAGAGTACTTTGGCAATACCCTGAAGGCAACAAATAATTCTGATTTTGAGGATCAAAGAAATTTTCATAGAGGTTAGATTTAAACTGGGCCTTTTAAAAGAGGAATTTTATTTGGTTTTGTTTTGAGATAGGCTCTTGCTCAGTAGCCCAGGCTGCAGTGCGGTGGCAGGATCATGGCTCACTGCAACCTCAACTTCCTGGGTTCAAGTGATCCTGCTTCAGCCTCTGGAGTAGCTGGGACCACAGGCATGTGCCACCATGCTTGGCTAATTTTTAATTTTTATTTTTTTGTAAAGATGAGATCTCCCTGTGTTGCCTACGCTGGTCTTAAATTCCTGGGCTCAAGGGATCCATAGTTCTATCACAGCCTCCCAAAGTGCTAGTATTACAGGTGTAAGCCACTGTTCGCAGCCATTAAGAAAGAGGTTTTAAAACAGAAAAGAAAGGGAATATATATTAGGGGTGTAAAAGTACGTATCCTAAGTCACGGAGGTTGGAGCATGGAGGAGAAGGGGCTGAGGCCTGAGGTCCAACCCGTGTATTAGAGTATTAAGGAGTTTAGACTTCATTTAGTGAACAGTGGAATCTTGTAGAAGTTTTAAGCAGGAGTATAATCTCATCATACCTCCTTTTGCAGTAGTTTATCCAGATGATCATGACAGCTGAACCCAGTCCGAGGGTAGTCTGGAATGGAATGGGACAGATTGGAAAACATTTGGGAGATAGAAATGAAATTATAATAGCTGGACATGCCAAGTATCAGTAGTTGGGAGAAACGTAACCATGTATATTAGTCTGTGTTTGTATTGCTATAAAGAAATCCCCAAGGCTGGATAATTTATAAAGGAAAGAGGTTTAATTGACCCAGTTCTGTGTAGCTGAGAGCCTCAGGAAACTTAACAATCATGGTGAAAGGCTAAGCAGCTACCTTCTTTACAAGGCAGCAGGAGGGAATGAGGAGCAAAGCGGGAAGAGCCCCTTATAAATCCATCAGATCTCCTGAGCACTCACTATTATGAGAACAGCATGGGGGAAACCTCCCCCTGATGCAATCACTTCCTGCCATGTCTCTCCCTAGACATGTGGGGATTATGGGGATCACAATTCAAGATGAGATTTGGATGAGGATCCAGCCAAACCATATCACCATGGACATCACTAGAATGCCCTGGAGTGAAGTGGTGAGGAGGAGTGGTTTATACCTGAGAGTTTCTGTTCATGGACCCGCTTGACTGGAAGTAGAATAAACTGCATCTGTAGCGCCATGCATATCAGAGGAAAATCAGATTTTTCTTACATGTGATTTCTGTATTCTTGGGTTTAGGCGATTTAGAAGTTTTCCATTTTAGACTATGGGCATTTTTCTCCATTATCTTGTACATACCATTTATTTTGTCTTTATAGAGTTAAGAAGTCTTTTTGAATGGGGAACACATATTTTATCTCTTTTGTCTCAGCACAAAATAAATATAAAAGTTATACTCAGCAGTGTATAACTTTACATGTTTTAGCTGACTATTAACTGATTAACATCTCTCTTTCTGTGTTTTCTTATTTTATCACTAAAATTTGAAGATGATCTCTTCTGGACCACATTATGAGCTATTTAGATCAGTTCTGTGTTCCCTATTGTTTTAATGGTCACATGGCACACTGGATGGTATAATTTTTCTATCAGAATTACTTGATTTAGAATGTACCCATCAGTTATATTGCTGTGAATGTTTTAGCTGGTAGGAGTGTTTAAGAATGCAGCCAATGCAGTGTTTGTGAAGAGTTGTAGTATTAGAGGATGTGTATGTGGAGAAACAAATGTGAAACGGAATTTTCCCTGCAGTTAGTATGACCCTCATAATATTATGAGTGGTGTGGTGTGAAATCCTTACTACTCACATATGAAACTGAAGCAGTTTACATTTTCTTTTTTGAGACGGAGTCTCACTCTCGTCACCCAGGCTGGAGTGCAGTGGCACGATCTTGGCTCACTGCAGCTTCTGCTTCCCAAGTTCAAGCGATTCTCCTGCTTCAGGCTCTTGAGTAGCTGGGATTATAGGTGTGCACCACCATGCCTGGCTAATTTTTTGTATTTTTTGGGAGAGACAGGATTTAACCATGTTGGTCAGGCTGGTCTTGAACTCATGACCTTATGTGATCCACCTGGGATTACAAGCGTGAGCTACCGTGTCTGGCCAGCAGTTTACATTTTCTACGTCAGGGTTTTTCCATTGCTTTAGCAGGACGTAGAATTCCTTGCTTTTTGTTAAAATGTACGTGAGCACTTGCGCAACCTTAATGATTTTTGGGTATAGTTGGAATAGCACTTTCATTTTGAAAAGTCCTTTGGGCTCTAAGTTAAATGAAAGGGAATCATCTCTTAAACATATGTCCACTCCCCCTTGGGGAACATTTCATTTCACAGCCTCAGTGTTAAGATGAATTTCTGGGACTATCTATTTTCTTTCATTCAACCAATATTTTTTGAGTGCCTACTGTGCTTCAGTTCTAAGTGCTGAGGAAGCAGCAGTGAGTGAAACAAACCCCAGTATTTCTTAATTCATGGAGAAAATATTCTAGTGAGAGAAAACAGAATATTTGTATATTTCTCTAGTGAGAGAAAACAGAATATTTGTAATATACAAATAAGTAAAGACTTGATGGCAAAAAGTGCTATGGAGAAAAATCAAGCAGGCATGGGGGAAATGGCAAGCTGAGATTTGGCCGAGGGAGTGGTGAGCTTAAAGAATAACTGGGGAATGGTGACATTTTAGCAAATAACTGAGGGACTGGGCCCTGTAGAAGTAAAAGCAAGATCAGTCTTGGTAGAGAGAATATCCCTGAGATTTAGTTTCTTTTTATTGACAAGATTTTCTTCTTTGTTTTTTAGATGGAGTCTCGCACTGTCACCCAGGCTGGAGTGCAGTGCAGTGATGCGGTCTGAGCTCACTGCAATCTCCGTCTCCTGGGTTCAAGCAATTCTCCTACCTCAGCCTCCTGAGTAGCTGGGACTACAGGTGTGCGCCACCACACCCAGCTAATTTTTTCCTATTTTAAGTAGAGATGCAGTTTCACCATGTTGGCCAGGATGTTCTCGATCTCCTGACCTCGTGATCTGCCTGCCTCAGTCTCCCAAAGTGCTGGGATTACAGGTGTGAGAGCCACCGTGCTTGGCTCAAGATTTTCTTGATTAGACTATGCATGTGTGTACTAAGACATGTTGTATAAGATGAAATATGTATCAGTTAGAATAAAAATAGTTTAAAAATGGCTAGGTGTGGCTGAACACAGTGACTCATGCCTGTAATCCCAGCACTTTGGGAGGCCAAGGTATCCTTGAGGCCAAGAGTTTGGGACCAGCCTGGCCAACATGGCAAAAACCCATCTTTACTTAAAAAAAAAAAAAAAAAAAAAAGGCAAAAATTAGCCTGGTTTAGTGGCGTACGCCTGTAATCTCAGCTACTCGGGATGCTGAGGTGGGAGGATTGCTTGAGCCTGGGAGGTGGTGGTTACAGTGAGCCCAAATTCTGCCACTATGTTCCAGCCTGGATGACAGAATGAGACCTTGTCTCAAAAACAAAACAACGAAACAAAACAATATAGGACTACAGGCATGTACCACCACACCTGGCTCATTTTGAAAATTTTTTATAGAGATGGGGTCTTGCCTTGTTGCCCAGGTTGGTCTTAAACCCTGGCCTCAAGCAGTCCTCCCATGCTAGCCTCCCAAAATGCTGGGATTACAGGTGTGAGCCACTGTGCCCAGCTTGAATAAACTGCATACTTCTTACATCTTTTTTAAACAAGTGTGTAATAAACTGATACACTTTTAAGTTCTGTAATATAGTTGTCCCCAGTATGTTTTGAGGATTAAATAATTAATGTAAAATTATCGAATTGCTGAATAATGTCTATTTGTATCCTAAATTTTTTCTCCTTTTAGACTGTGAGAATGATATTAATAAACTGTAACAACAAAAATGCTTAAATATTCAAATTATACTTTTTTCCTTTTTTTTTTTTTTTTTTTTTGAGACAGGATCTCACTCAGTCACCCAGGCTGGAATGTAGTGGCATGATCACAGCTCACTGCAGTCTCAGCCTCCTGGGTTCAAGTGATCCTCTTACCTCAGCCTCCTGGGTAGCTGGGACTACAGGCACACCCCATCACACCTCGCTAATTTTTAGCCATCACATCTTTTTTGTGTATGTTTTGTAGAGACGGGTTTTGCCATGTTGCCCACGCTGGTCTCGAACTCCTGGGCTCAAGTCATCTGCCTGTCTTGGCCTCCCAAAGTGCTGGGATTACAGGCATGAACCAGCGACCCCGGTGGTTGTTCACTGTGTATGTTAGTGCTTTGGCTTGTGTGAGTTATAGAAGTTCTGAATATATTTCGCCTGCCCATTGAGTGGATGAGATTGCTACTGACTATTACGGATTTGGCTACATTTCCTCCCAGAGTGCAGAGTAACTTTATATACCAGTTCAACTCTACAATCTTTGCTCCATATATCCCTGAAAAAATTCCTAGAGTTAGCCAGAGAGATATTCCCTTTGGGAGTGTCAGAAAGGGCATAGTTTTTATTTCATATGGGTCAGAGTGCTTTAGAAGAGTGTTTGCATTGCATAATGATTCTAGAACTGTGGTTGGGTAAACAAGTTGCTGAAAACAAATATGATGTATTGATTTTCCACCATAGCAGCATGGTGTGCTATAGAATGTCATGTTGTAATATTTGATTTTCATTATTGGGTGTAAATAAACAGAATCCTTTGATATACGTTCTACACTAGGATAGCACTGTTCACCTTGAAAACTACCAGTCTTTTTCCTCATCTGCATGCAATATACTGAAATAATATAAATTCATATTGCCAGCTGGTTGAATTAGTTCTTTTTCTTTTGAAGAATAGACTATATTTTACTTAATTGTTAGGCATGAAACAAATTCGTTGTCTCCTTATCCTTAGAATTATAAATGTGTAATCATTTTGTTGCATGTATGCTAATCAACATATCAGTTACAGTGTCAAAGCCAAAATTTTGTCCTTTTAAGTTGTTATTCACTTCATAAAATGCTTCACCCCCACCCCCTCCCCCACCTGTATTAGTCCATTCTTGGGCTGCTATAAAGAACTGCCCAAGACCAGGTAATTTATAAAGGAAATTGATTTAGTTGACTCAGTTCCACGATGCTGGGGAGGCCCCAGGAAACTTACAATCATGGTAGAAGGCAAAGGGGAAGCAAGGCACCGTCTTTGCAGGGTGGCAGGACAGAGTGAGTGCTGAGCGAAGTGGGGAAGAGCCCCTTATAAAACCCTCAGATCTTATGAGAACTCACTCACTATCACGAGAACAGCATGGGGGAAACTGGCCCCATGATTCAGTTACCTCCACCTAGTCTCTCTTTTGATATGTGGGGATTATGGGGATTACAATTCAAGATGAGATTTGGGTGGTGACACAAAGCCTAACCATATCACCCCGCTTCATTCAACATCCATTAACTGGGCTGATACTGAGTGTCTGCTTGGTTCCAGACACCTTGCTAACTCTTTGGGATTCAGTGAAGAAATTTTTCTTGCCTTCATAGAGGTAAAAGTATGAATGATGAGAGTTAATAAGGAATTATGGTCATGTGCTGTGTAAAGACATTTTGGTTAATGGTGGACCACACCACATATATGACAGTGGTTCCATAAGATTATAATGGAGCTGAAAAATTCCTATTACTTAGTGACATTGTGTGTGGTATAAGGTTGTAACCCAGTATATTACTTGTGTGTGTGGTGATTCTTGTGTAAGCAGACCTAGTATGCTGCCAGTTTTATAAAAGTATAGCGCATTCAATCATGGACAGTACATAATAGTTGGTAGTGATTATAAATGATTGTTTTATGGGTTTATGTATTTACTATACCGTTTATCATTATTTTAGAGTGTGCTCCCTCTACTTACATACAAAATAAGTAACTGTAAAATAGCCTCCAGCTATTCTGGAAGAGGTATTCCAGAAGAAGGTATAGTTATTAAAGGGGATGACGGCTCCTTGTGTTTTGTCGCCCCTGGAGACCTTCCATTGGTCAAAGATGTGGAGGTGCAAGAGCAATATTGATGATCCTGCCCCTGTATATGTCTAGGCTGATATGCGTGTTTGTGTTAGTTTTCAACAAAACATTCAAAAATTAAAAAAGTTAAAAATGGGCTGGGCATGGTGGCTCAAGCCTGTAATCCCAGCACTTTGGGAAGCCGAGACGGGTGGATCACGAGGTCAAGAGATCAAGACCATTCTGGTCAACGTGGTGAAACCCCGTCTCTACTAAAAATACAAAAAATTAGCTGGGCATGGTGGTGCGTGCCTATAATCTCAGCTACTCAGGAGGCTGAGGCAGGAGAATTGCCTGAACCCAGGAGGCAGAGGTTGTGGTGAGCCGAGATCACGCCATTGCACTATAGCCTGGGTAACGAGCAAAACTCCATCTCAAAAAAAAAAAAAGTTAAAAACAAAATAAAGCTTACAGAGTAAGGATATGAAAAAAATATATCTTTATAGAGCTGCACAGTGTATTTGTGTTTTAAGCTGAGTTATTAAGAGTCAAAAGGTTTTAAACATCGTTTATAAAGTAAAAAAGTTACAGTAAACTAAGCCTGATTTATTATTGAAGAAAGAATAATATTTAAAAGATGAATTTAGTGTAACCTAAGCATCACAATGTTTGTAAAGTTCACAGTGGTGTACAGTAATATCCTAGGCCTTCACATTTACTCACTGTGGACTAACTGACTCACCCAGAGCAACTTCCAGTGCTGTGAACTCCATTCATGGTTAAGTGCCCTAAACAGATGCACCATTGTGTTACAGTTGTCTATATTGTTCAATACTGCAACATGCTGTACAGGTTTGCAGTCTAGGAGCAGCCGGCTATAGGTATCATCTAGGCTTGTGTAACTATACACTCTCATGTTCACACAAGGATGAACATGTGTCCATTGTTAAGCAACATATGATTGTACAATAATGTGTGGTAAGTGTTCTCATTGGGGAAGGAGAGGGTTTTATTGGGTGTACTTAGCAGGGGCAGCTGACTTGGAGCAAGAGACATCAAAGCTGAGAGCTGAAGGATGATGAAGAGTCAGCTAGCTGAAAAGTGGATATGGCAATAGGGGGAAGAAGGAAGGCTGTTCTGGGCAGAGGAAACCCATGTGCAGTGGCCCAGAGGCAAAACAAAATAACAAAAAGCAAGCAAGTAAAACAGACATCTTTGCACATGGCAAATAAGCACATAAGTTCCTAAGCCATTAAGAATTTTGGATCTTAACCTAAGGACACTTGAGAAATGCATGAGGAGGTTGTAAACTGTGGATTGACAGGATTGGATTTGTCAATCACAGAGATCACATTGATTACAGTTGAAGAAATGGGCATGTCTGAAGTAGGAAGTGTAAAGCTGTGATGGCAAAGTAAGAGATGTTGTGAGCCTGGATTGGGGCATTAACACTATTATTATTAACAAGAATACATTGTTATTATATAATTATATAATATAATTAGATGATAATATGTTACTATTTTTAATAATAATCATGGAGTAAAGTGGATGGAGTGAAGTAGATGGATTCAAGAAATGCTTACAAGATAAGACCTGTAGGACTTGATGATTGGAGGAAGAATCAAGGATGCCTCTAGGTTTTGAGCTTGGACAACTGATAGATGATGGTGTTTGTGTCAATTATTGGTTTATTGCCTCTCACCTCCAAGTATGTCCTTTATTGCTTGCTTTGTGAAAATAAATCTGGGCCTTTTACTTTCCCTCTGCCAGCTGGCATGTAGTTAAGTTTTGTCAGTAGAGGGTGCTGGAGAGACATTGAGGAGGAAAGAGTTTTATTTGCTGATTCTGATAGGCTGCTGTGGAACACGGAGTTTCTTCAGTGCTCAGGCTTTTGCAGCTCTTAGTGGCCAGCAGCACTCCTGCTGCCCAGGTAGCAGAGTGCCTTTACTGAGAGGCTTCCCCACAAACAACCTTCCTTGGCATTCTAGAGGACTGATTTCTGGCAAATTTCACAGAGTGGATCTCCTGAAGTTCTGTCAGGTATGAGCTCCCTCCAGCAAGGTCTTGATCTCAGTCCGAGAGTTTGGGGAATTCTTTCTTGGGGATTTTATCTCAACCTTAAGGGTGGTGGCAATTATATGTTGTGTTACATAATATCATATTTGCTACTATGTATTATGTCAGTTATTGCTGTGTTCTTTCAAGGTCTTTGTCTTATTTGCTAACTTTCCATTAATCTCTTGTTACTGCTGATTTTTAATCTTCTCTTGTTCAAATTACCATGTAGTTTCTCTCTCCTGATTGGACTTAGGCTCTGACTGGACATAGAGGGTTCTGATAGGATTAGAAAGAGAGAGGATATTTGGGGATAGAGATGGACAAAGTTTGAGACATGATCAATTTTAAGTACAGTACACTCACATGGCGATATCCAGGTGCTTGTCATATATGGGTTTAGAATGAGCTCTGAGGACCTGGATTGGAGGAGATTGCCCAGGAAGGGTGTGAGGAAAGATCACAATATGGCCAGGATAGAGTCCTTTAGGTTATAGCCTGTTCACATGAAGAGGAACCTCCTAAGGAGGCTGAGGAAGACTGATTGGTGGGATACTATAGTTTATTATTATGTTATTCACAGAATAACGTAAGGTGAAATGAGTTGATATTATATAAAGCACTGAGCATAATGTCTGGTACATAAGCCGTTAGTAAATATGACTACTGACTGGGCTGTTGTTTTCTGGGCACTCTGGTGGGTGACAGGAATAGAGGATGACCAGGCTCTTCCTTGAGGGGTGGGGAATGGGAAGAGGCTCGTTAAGTATATTGCAGTGAGTGGTAGATGTCAGAAAGGCATGAATACGCTGGGTGCAGTGGCTCATGCCTGTAATCCCAGTACTTTGGGAGGCTGAGGTAGGGATGATTGAGGTCAGGAGTTCAAGACCAGCCCAGCAGACCAGCCCAGGAGAATCACTTGAACCCAGGAGGCAGAGGTTGCAGTGAGCCAAGATCACGCCACTGCACTCCAGCCTGAGTGACAGAGCAAGAACTCCATCTCAAAAAAATGAAAGAACAACAAAGAAAGAAAGGCTTGAATAAAGCTCCCAACTTGTGCCTCGGGGATTCTGGTCAGGAGCTGTAGAGGAGGTGAAGTTGAAGTCTCAGCTGGATATTGGAGGAGGAATGCAGGTTTGCACCATGGAGAAAAAGCAGAGAGGGTCTTCTGAACAGAGGGAACAGCCTTAGCAGAGAAGGGAGAGTGCTTGATAGCCCAGTCCCACAGCAGGGGTCATGGTTTGCACCTTGAATTGGGGGTGGGACAAAAATTGGACACACTTTCTGAATGGCTGTTTATTCCACAGCGTGCTTTGCTCTCCTAGATTTATAATTAATTTAGTGACTTAAAATTTCTGCAGACATTTGCTAGGTAACAATCTAAAATGATTTAAAACTTTTATTTGTGCCAGCATTTTGCTTAATCTTTCATTGAGTATGAAATTGGAGTGTGTAGGCTGAAGTGTTTGAGAGGGGAAGTTGAAATGCACTGTGTGTTGTGCCACTTGATGAGTTTTACTCTCTGGATGAAAACATTTTTTCTGGCCACGTGTGGTGGCTCATGCCTGTTACCTTAGCACCTTGGGAGGCCAAGGCAGGAGGATTACTTGAGCCCAGGAGTTGGAGACCAGCCTAGGCAACATAAGGAGATCCTTAAAAAGTTTAAAAAGTTTCTGTTTCCTGAACATTGATAGAGCTCAGAACAGTTTCTGGGTCGTGTGAGTTCTCTTCAACTTGCAATTGCTTTTCAAAGGTTCAACAACCTGAAGAAATGGAAATTCCTGAAAAGTGTATGACTGTTCTCTCAATTTTTGGAGATTTAGGAAATAGGTGTGATAAACTTTTGATTCTTTTGGAGCGAAAATGTGGCAATTTAGCCTTAAAGCGCTCTGTGATTTATTCTTTGTGACTGGAGTGTTATTTTCCTTTTTCTCTGTCTAGCAAACTCCAAGTGAATGTACAGCTCACTTATTAGTTTTCTAGTCTTTTCTAAACTTTCTGAATTTGGTTTGCCAAAGCACTGCCCTAAGATAAGTCTGTTGTAATGCTTTCATTGAAGACCTTCAAACTGTTATAAATAAATAAATAAATAAATAAAACAATCCAACAAGCATTCATTAGAACGCGTTATCTTTGGACCCTGGTAGAGGAAATCTCTTGGCTGAAATGGCACATAGTAATCCAGAAATTCTCCTGAAAGGTCTGCTTCTGAGTCTTCAGTGGAAAGAGGAATATATTTTCTAAAGAAAAGTTAGGAGAATAATCATTATTTTTTTTTTTTTGAAAGAAGAGTTAAACCATTCTTCATTGGCTGGGACTCCTGGGAATTATATAAAGAAATAAGGTGAGAAGGAAGATGTCAAACTCTGACTCTCCAAAGGTTTTAGTTTTTTTTTTTTCCTCGCTTCTCTTAGAGGTAACAGACACCTCTAAGGGAACTCTTTGTTCTTGGTGAGGACCAAGTGTTTGCATAAAACAGTGTAGAGGCCGGGTGGCTCAAGCCTGTAATCCCAGCACTTTGGGAGGCCAAGGCAGGTGGATCATGAGGTCAGGAGGTCGAGACCATCCTGGTAAACATGGTGAAACCCCATCTCTATTAAAAATACAAAAAAAATTAGCTGGGCATGGTGGCGCGTGCCTGTAGTCCCAGCTACTCAGGAGGCTGAGGCAGGAGAATTGCCTGAACCCAGGAGGCGGAGGTTGCGGTGAGCTGAGATTGCACCATTGCACTCCAGCCTGGGTAACAAGAGCGAAACTCCGTCTCAAAAAAAAAAGAGTGTTGAGAGACCCAAGAAAGGAAGACTCACCTGACTTGACTATCCTTTGGATAAAGTGATGGAAGTTGAAGTGTGACTCTTCACACTTCAATAGAATAGTTGCCTCCCCTATTCTTTTATGATATAAACCAAGGGTAACAAACATTCCAAGATTATTATATTTTTGAAATTTGGGATTGTTTTGAAGTTGATAAAATATTCATATTAGCAATTTATTGAGAAGTTGAAAGAAAAACATGATGCTTACTCTAAGAACAAGCATAAATCTGTAGTTTAAATACAGAACAATTGCAGTGGTTATATAGTAAGAGCACCCCTTTACTCACCATCTAGATTCTGCAGTTACATTTTACTATATTTGCTATACTATATATATTTACTGTATTTACTGTAGAATCACGTATCCTTTATCCATTTCTTTATTTGTGTATAAGGATTTTTGCTTTAGTATTTTATATTACAACAAAAGGCTACAAACAATATAGGAGAATGGTTGAATATGGTAAATGTACTAGTCCGTTCTTACATTGCTATAGATACTGAAGACTGTAATTTATAAAGAAAAGAGGTTTAGTTAGCTCACAGTTCTGCAGGCTGTACAGGAAGCTTCTACTCATGGTGGAAGGCAAAGCTGGAGCAGGCATCTTCAAATGACTGGAGCAGGAGGAAGAGAGGGGAAGGTGCTATGCACTTTTAAACAATCAGATCTCTTGAGAACTTAGCACGGAAACTTAACACGAGGGGATGGTACTAAACTATTCATGAGAAACTGCCCCATGCTCCAGTCACCTCCCAGTATGCCCCACCTCCAACACTGGGAATTACAATTTGACATGAGATTTGGGTAGGGACACAAGTCCAAACCATATCAGGATGGAATATGATGGAATTCTATGCAGCAATGAAGAAGAATGGGGTGCTTTGTATGCACTGACACAGAACAATCTCAAAGATACAGGAAGTAAAAATGGGCTCAGAATGATATATGAAAAATACTATTTATGTAACAAAGAGATGTACATATATGTGTATGTGTGCTGTATATGAATGAAATATCTTCAGAAAGTATAAGCAAGAAGCTGATATGAGTAGGGGTGTGGGGTAACCCCCCTATAGTACCAGGTATATATATTATAAATTTTAGAACTATGTGCACTTGTGCTAACTGATGAAAAGTTTAATTGCCTCCTTGATATTTTCAGCATGTCAGAAATCTCAACCTCCTAGTCTTTAAATTTTAGATTGTAACAAACAAATTGTAGCCAAACAGCTAAGATTTGAATTCTTATTCTGTATTTATATGTGGTGTAGATTTTACTGTCAATAAAACCAGGATAATTATGAGTTACTAAGAAGTTTAAGTTAGATAGTCCATGTAAAGTGCTTAATATAAAACAGTAGCTAGCACACAGTACTTGACACAATAAATACAGTATTACTATCAAACATACAATTTTGTGGGAGAGACTTATGAATAATTTAAATATTCTCTATGGGTGTGTCTATGGGGGATGTAGCAAGTAAGAGGGAAATCAGCGAACGCTGTATAAGGAAGTTTAGAAGGATAATTGGAAGAGAAGTTAAGGAAGGCCATTCCAGACAGAGAAATTCCCTTTTATAAGGTGCAAAAGTATAAAACAGTGTAGGTGAATTTGAAAATTCCAGTAGTTCATAATGACTCAAAACAGTCTGGGTTATGAGAGATGAAACGGCAGATAATGATGATAGCTGACATTTATTGAGCACTTAGATGAGGTCCTGTTCTAAGTGTTTTTTATGTTTTAATGTTTTAAGTCCCTGTAGTAACTATCATATTGGTAGTATACTTACCTTCATTTTACCGTTGAGCAGAATGAGGCAGGGAGATTAAGTAACTTTTCCAAGGTCTTGCAAAGTCAGCCCATGTTTGTGTGCACCCCTTGTGCTGCCTGATGAGCCAGCTGGGTAGGAGTGGTACAGACCTTGAGCAGCATCTGGATGTAATACTTTGAGAAATGTGGAGGAGTTCTTTAAATTGACTCACCTTGTAATGAATTTGTACTTCTCCAGCTATATGGAAGTAAAGGCAAGAAGAGTCAACAATAACGATTCTATGATGTACATGTTTTAGATTAAGCTCCTGTATTATATATGTAACAAAATACCTCCAAACCGCTGCTTAAAACAACATTCCGCATTTGTCATCCCATATACTTATTGTGGGTCAGGAATTCGGGAGTGGCTTGAGTTTTCTTTTCAGGTTGCAGACAGGGCCTGGAGGATCCAGTTTCAACATAGCTTATTCACAGGGCTGGCAAATTTTGTGCTGGCTGTTGGCAGAAGCTTCAGTTCCTTGCCACAGGGAACCTCTTCATAGGGCTGTCTGAGTTCTTCATGATACTGCACCTGGCTTTGCAGAGGAAAGGACTCACATAAGAGCAAGGTGAAAGCTGCAGTGTCTTTTATGACCTAGCCTTGGAAGATACTATTGTCAAGAGTTTGAATACCAGAAAGCAGAGCTCACTGGGGGACATTTTGCAGTCTGGTTACCACATTTCTCACGAAAATATTAGTGACTAGAATAATAAAATTTAGAACTAAAAGGAGCCCTAGCCCAGTGGTTTCAAGATGAGGCCCTTGAACCAGCAGTATCACTTGTGAATTTGTTTAAAATGTCATTTATTGAGCCTGTTCCCAAACCTGAATTAAGATCTAGGAGTGACACCCAACACTCTTTTTTTTTTTTTTTAAATAAACTTTATAACACTTTTAGATTTATAGAAAAATAGAGCAGATAGTACAAGTAGTTATATACCCAACACACACACTCTCTCTCTCTCTCTCTCTCTCTCTCTCGCGCTGTCTCTCTGTCTCTATGTCTCTCTGTCTCCCCCCTGTTGTTAACATCTTGCATTAGTGTGGTTCACTCTTTGTGTTGTACATTCTGTGGGGTTTGGCAAAAACGTAAATGTCATGTGCTTACCCACAGTTATAATATCATGCAGAATAGTTTCACCACCATTAAAACTTCTGTATTCCATGTAATCATCTCTCCCTCCTCCCCCAGCCCCAGCAACCACTGATCCTTTTACTGTCTCTATAGTTTTGCCTTTTAAAGAAAGTTCTATGGTTGGAATCATATAGTGTGTATACTTTCAAATTGGCTTCTTGCACTTAACAGTATGCATTTAATGTTCCTCTTTTTTGTTCTTTAGAGCTCATTTCTTTTTATTGCTGAATGGCATTCCATTATATGGAATGAATACCACAGTTTGTGTATCCATTCATGAAGTACAGTTGAAGGACATCTTGGTTGCTTTCTGTCTTTGATTATAAATAAAGCTACTCTAAAATTTGTGCCGATTTTTGTATAGACATAAGTTTTTAAGTCAATTGGATGAATACTTAGGGGCACAGTTGTGGGATTGTATGGTAAGATTATGTTTAGCTTTTTGAGAAAATGCTATACTGTGTTTCATGTTTGCTGTGGGTGTAGATGCTGGATGTTTCAGTTTCCTATAGTTTTCTTATTTTTGTCCTCCCCTGGTTTCTTTGGGTTTCCCTAAGAACTGCTTCTTAAATAGAGTCTGTCTTGAAGCTCTGTCAGTTGTAATGCAGTTTTTTATACTGGAGCTCTGCCGATGTGGTGGAAAGGTGTTGGGGAGGGAGAGCATTCTGTAATCAAATAATAAATCTCAGTTTTTTAGTGGACCTACATCCCTAGGGCGTGATCTTCAGAAGAGTTTATTAGCTTTCCTCCCCTCACCCCTTCTGTGAGAAGGCCAGAGAGAATTGAGTAATTGTCCTATCCCCAGGTCTCAAAGCTCTGGCAAAGTAGTTTCTCTTAGCAGGTGGGCCTTTGTTATGGAAAATGCTCTGAGCGATTTCAAAATGGTTACTTTCCTTTCTCCCTGCCTAAAATACAAGGGGATTTTTTTCTTTAATGTTCTTATAAGAACCTGTTGAGGCTCCTGGAGGTAAAATCTTTAGGTCTCTCTAAGTCTGGACCCCCAGAAGTTTTAACTCTCCAGCTAGTCCACACTCAATCTTCTGCAGTTTGTCAAAATGACTTTTCAATTAATGATTACTGTATTGCTTCCCGGTTCCTGTAGTTTTGCTTCTGGTAATCTGATCTTGTCTGTGATTCTCTGTATTTTCTTGTGATTTATTTCTCCAAACTTTGTGGTAGCTGTTTGCCCTGTGACCCCAATTCTCTAATGGAGCTAAGAAAAGCCATTGATTTCAGTTTGTTTAGCTTTTTTCTTGCTGTGAGGATGGAAGTGATGACTTGTGAACTGAAAATGAAGCCTGGCTCAGCACCCCTTGCTTTAACAGATCCCTCCAGGTGATTCTGAGGCATGCGAATGGTTGAGAGCCACTGATGCAGCCTAAGTCCTTCAGTTCACAGATGAAGTTCAAAGGGCAAACTGGCTGCACTGTGGCTCAGACCTGTAATCTCAGCATTTTGGGAGCTTAGGAGGTAGAGGGTGCAGTGAGCTGTGATTGCACCACTATATACCAGCCTGGGTGACAGAGCAAGACTCTGTTAAAATACAAAACCAAAAACAAATGGGGGAAATAACTTCTCTATGTTACAATTAGAGTAGAAACCCAGACTAGAATCTGGGTCTTATTTTCAAGCTGTATTTTTGTATCTACATATAGTGACCTTCAAAGGGATTCATTATATTAATTACATTTCATATTGTATATTTTATGTTTTGACAAGTGTCTTTATATTGATGGTTCACTGATTTCAATCTTCAATATTTACCTCAGGTTCATTCTGGGATCTGGTTCTATTCATACACATTATCATAACTATTTGGAAACTCACTCGAAATCTTCTCTTTGAAAGAACTATCAGCCTACCTCAGGTGTGAGCTTCAGTGTAACATTGATGTGAGTGAAATAGTATGTTATGTCAAAAATTATATTTTCTCCTGCCATCCCTTACACAGGATTTTTAAAATGCCTGAAAGAAAACCTTAGAGCTCTTCATTCAGTCTTTGGAAAAGGTTGATGTGAACCATCATACGGGATGAATCAGCTCCCTCTGTCATTATTTCTTCCCATGAGTTTTCATAATTTCATTTTCTTAATATGTAGTATAGTGTGAAAAGCACCCTTTTTCATCTCAAGCCAGCTCCCACCCCTTAGCCTCATACACATGACATTCCTCTAAGTCGTGATCTGGAGAAGGCTGAGGATGTTTGCTATTAGCAGTCTTTTTCTGTAAAGGACCAGATATTTAGTCTTTTCAGGTTGTATGGTCTCTGTTTCAAGTATGGAACTCTGCCATTGTAGTGGGAAAACAAACAATCATAGGGAAAAAAAAAAAAAATATATATATATATATATATATATAAAACAGATGCAGCTGTGTTCTAATAAAACTTTATTTTCAAAAGCAGGTATAGTCACTTGGCCCTAGTTTGCTAGCCCCTGTTTCAGAGCCTGTGGAAATCTTATTTTCACTTTATTCCCCAAAGGATGCCATCATTTTTATCTTTTGGATGGGATCCCCAATATTACTTAGATTGCTTTCAGAAGTAATAACAGATATCTGGGTGTGGAGCAATAGCATCTTAGTTTTAGTTACTTTTTTGAGGGATGCTTTTTGATGTTATGGTATACCACAGATGCCTAGCGAATATTTCATTTTGGGTGCATTCCTGTTCTTTGAGGAAATACTGCTGACTTTGAATAACTGTGGGTAATTGAAATATACCTTTTAATAATGACTACTAATCCCTTTAAAAGAATATGGACTTTTTTCCCTCTAAACACGGTTTGAATAGGGTTGATTTTTTTTTTAAGTGGCTTCTTATGACTCTAGATTAAAACAAACAAGAAAATAACCCTACTTCTCTAGTTACTGTAACAGCTGAGGCAAGCTATACTAGCAGTGGTGCATAGTAAAGGATGTCTTTTAATAAGTTCTTAAGTATAAGGAATAATAGAAAGTCTCAAGTTATGGTATGTTATAGGTGCCTATGGAGTTATTAGGTTAGAGGGATGATTTTAATTTACTTGGAGTCCTAGCACATTGCTTATTGGATGCATGCTCAGTAAAAGTGGATATTGGTATTTGTGCTTTGCAACTACCGCAGGTCTTGGTTGTCATGGCTTCTCATTAGTGCCTTAAGATCCCTTCAGAGCTCTGATTGTCTGGCAAGAGAAAAGGCAGGAACTGCCAGGAGCTGAGAAGGCAGATGCATAGCTGCAGAAGTAGACTCTGGGGAGCATTGGCCATGTTAGCTGAGGTTTGTGTGCATGTGGTCAAATGTGTGAACTTGGGGTTTTGCTAGACAAAACTCTGGGCCGCATGGGTTAATCAATACATGCTATGTCTGGTCTATGTTTTAGAAACCTTTGCAGTTTGAACTACTTAAAACTTTTTAAAAATAAGCAAATTAAGAAAATTCTGTTTGGGGTGCATTCCTGTCCTTTGGGGAAGGACTGCTGACCTTTACGAACAGTGGGTAATTGAAATATCATACGTTTTAGGAATGACTACTAATCCATTGAAAAAAGGTCAGTTGGCTGGGCACGGTAGCTTACACCTGTAATCCTAGCACCTTGGGAGGCAGAGGTAGATGGATCACCTGAGGTCGGGAGTTCGAGACCAGCCTGGCCAACATGGTGAAACCCCATCTCTACTAAAAGTACAAAAATTAGCTGGGCGTGGTGGTGCACGCCTGTGATTACAGCTACTCGGGAGGCTGAAGCAGGGGAATTGCTTGAACTCAGGAGGTGGAGGTTGCAGTGAGCTGAGGTTGCCCCACTGCACTCTAGCCTGGGCAACAGAGCAAGACTCTTGTCTCAGAAAACCCCCCAAAAACCAAAACCCAAAACCCCCAAAAACAACAGCAACAACAAAAACAACAACAAAAATTTAAAAAGATCAGTTTACAATATTAGAATACTTAAAGCTTGACTAATTAGAAGAGTCTTATGATTAGAGTTTAATTATTTCAGGCTAAAAAATTTTAGAAGGAGACTCTAGAGGGCAGTGTAAGTCAGTGTGTTCATGCTTCTCCTGGCAGTGGAAAGTTAAATTTTATTTTGGAAAAATATTCCAGGTGTTCTGAACTCTTTTCCCACCACACAGTGTTCTGGTTTGGTAGAAATGTGAGTTTTGGAAAGAAGAGCTCTGGTTTGGCCTAGAAAGAGTAGCTAATATATCATAATTATTTGGCCCTAGAGAGTATCTTTGCTTGGTTTAAAACATACTCTCTTAGAAAAACTGGAATTCCCTTATTGATTCAACTAAATTGAATTGAGTTTGCTTTTCGGACATTTGTGGAACATTAAGTGAAAGGAAATGGTATATGTTTTGTTTTCAAATATTTTTCGGTAGGAAGTAAGTGTACCCTCTATTAAATTCAAACAAATGGGAAGAGTTTGACTTACTTTGACTTTTTTTAAACAACTTTTTAAAACAGTTGAAATCGGATGCCTGATTTGTGAATGTCTGTGTTAATCTTGAACCTTTCAGAACTTTAGAACATTTGCATTCAGCAAAACCCAGAGCCTATTATGCCTATCACTTTCTCTTCTAATTTTTAACCTTTTGTATATTTTCAGGAAAATCTAATCTGTTACTGACTCATCTGACACGTACGTTATTAAATATGGTTTGTAAAGAACTGTTTTGAAGCCTAAGGAGGCTCTACAAGGCAGAAAGTGGGGATTACCAAGGGCAAACTAATGAATCTCCTAGAAATTTAAATTTAAGATTTTAAATTATTAATTGCATTTTTTTTTTTTTTTTTTTTTTTTTTTTTGAGACAAAATCTCACTCTGTTTCCCAGGCTGAAGTGCAGCAGCATAATCAAACCTCACTGCAACCTTTGCCTCCTGGGTTCAAGCAGTTCTCCTGCCTCAGTCTCCTGAGTAGCTGGGACTACAGGTGAGCACCAGCATGCCCGGATAACTTTTGTATTTTTAGTAGAGATGGGGTTTTACCATGTTGGGCCGGCAGATCTTGAGCTTTGTACCTCAAGTGAACCAACCTACCTTGGCCTCCCAAAGTGCTGGGATTATAGGCATGAGGCACCACATCTGGCCAAAATAGTTATTTTGATGTAGTTACAACTATTTTTCCTTTGGAAATAAATCAGGAGTTTTAGAAAATATGGTAGAGGCCGGCCGAGGTAGCTCACAGCTATAATCCCAGCATTTTGGGAGGCCGAGGTAGGTGGATCACCTGAGGTCAGGAGTTTGAGACCAGTCTGACCAACATGGAGAAACTTCATCTCTACTAAAAATACAAAATTAGCCAGGCATGGTGGTGAGCACTTGTAATCTCAGCTACTCGGGAGGCTGAGGCAGGAGAATCACTTGAATCTGGGAGGCGGAGTTTGCAGAGAGCTGAGATCGTGCCATTGCCCATTGCACTCCAGCCTGGGTGACAAGAGCAAAACTCCGTCTTCAAAAAAAAGAAAGTATGATAGAATTTCCCACATCTTTCAGTAATGTTAAAACTCATGTGCGCTTGTGAGACAGGAATCAGTATCATGTATTGGCTTTGATTATTGGTACTGAGTATTGGGTTTACCCTGGCATCACTTGTACATCCATATTTCTTTCCATCCTAATCACAAAGAGTAATATGAAGTAAGTATTCGTGTTTACATAATATGCACTCCCCATCAGAACTTTCACCTGAAGTTGTGTATTTTTAATCTGTACAGAATTGGTGTGTAAACCAAAGGAGTTTTCTTAAAGAAACAAACAGAAAATTAGTAAGTTTCTGGGAAAGAAGCTTGAGTATATATATATATTTTTTACACAGTATCTAGAAATAGGAGGTAAAAGAAAAATATTTTTTGTTTTGAGATGGGAGTCTAGGTCTGTCACCCAGGCTGGAGTGCAGTGGTGCGATTTCGGCCCACTGCGATCTCTGCCTCCCAGGTTCAAGTGATTCTCCTATCTTACCCTCCTGAATAGCTGGGATTACAGGTGCCTGCCACCAGACCCAGCTAATTTTTGTATTTTTAGCAGAGATGGGGTGTCACTGTGTTGGCCAGGCTGGTTTCTAACTCCTGACCTCATGATCTGCCCGCCTCAGCCTCCCAAAGTGCTGGGATTACAAACGTGAGCCACCGTGCCCTGCCAGAAGGTCAGATTTTTAAGTAGCCATGTAATATGTAGAGAAAGTAACTAAGTCCTTGAGTTTACAAAGGATTTGGGATATTTGCTTAATTCTCAAACTTGAAACTTACAAACTTACTGAAGGTTTTCTTTATTCTGGCAAGTGACAGATCATTACTTTGATATAGATACTATTACTCATGTTTTGTTTTATTTGAATGTAAATCGGCAAAATCTCTTGGTGTCTTGAAATATACAGGATAAATTTTCCTTAATCTAAGGTTGAAATATTATTTAAATGTATAACACTGCACATGTGCCACTTAATTTATTTCTTGTACTTTGGAAAACTTCTCTATGTACAATAACCCCTCCTAGTCCTTTGGAGCAAATTTTAGTTACTATTTTTCCCAATTTATTCCAATTTACTTGGTTTCCCCAGTTTGAATATCTTGATTTTGTTTTTGTTTTTCTTGTTCACTTTGATGGCAATAGCTTCTTTTGCTCTAGAGAAAACATTGTCTCATGTTCTCGTTAAAGAATGTCTTATTTTATATGGATTTATGCCTTGGGTGTTACTTAAAAGGATCGCTTGTTATTGTTAAATGGCAGTTTTATATCCGGAATAATTCATGAAATGGAGATGTCATCTGATCAATGCTGGCAGGAATTTACTTTCTTGCTCCAGATTTGCCCACTAGAGGACATTTCCTTTCAGTCATTATAGGCTTTCCAGTCAAGTTGCTGTCCATAGCTCCTTACATGTTTTTTTTTTTAACTCCCTTGTAATAGCTGGAACAGGATTGGGCAAGCTTTTTCTGAAAAGGACCAGATAGTAAAGATGTTAGGTTCTGTGGGTCATCAGGTCTCTGTTGCAGTTATTGAATTTTACCTTTATGATACAAAAGCAGCCATAGGTGATACGTAAATCAACAGGCATGACCATTTCCAAAAAAATCTTTATTTATGGATGCTGAAATTGGAATTTCATGTAATTTTCATGTGTCATGCAATAGTTTTCTTCTTTTGATTCTTCACTCTTCAACCATTTACAAGTACAGAAACCAAAAGCAGGCAGTGGGCTGCGTTTACCCCATGGGCCATTTTTGCCAGCCTCTGAGCTAGAAACCCAAAGAAGGATACATACAGAAGTGGTTTCTTATTGACAGCTTTATGCAAATATCCAGGGTTGTTTTGTTACTACCAAAAATAAAATGAATGTATTTCTTAATATGTTAGATATCATTTTAAATAGTGACTTTAGAGTCTAGGGATAGTATACCTTTGGGTGGTAAAAGATAAAAGCTAGTTTTCTTTCTCAGATGTTAAAAGTCAAAAATTGCCAAGGGCTGTGGAACAAAATCTTTGATTTACAGATTGACATAATGCTGAAATACAGAGACTATGTAGATTCGTTTGATGTAAGAGCTTCATTTAAGGGAAACAATTCAAGGCTATTTCAGCTTATGATTTCTATTTTGGCATATTCTGTCCCCTCCTAATGATTTGTACAATGTAATGATGGTAATTCAGAGCTAGAAAGTAAGTTGTTTCTAGTTTCAGTCCTTCTTTTTATCTGAAATACTGAAAGAGCTGAACTGTATTCTGTACAGGTAGTGGTTATTTTTCTTCTGCTTAAACTTAAAAACATAGCCTGTTTGTTAGCTTTTGTTGGCACTAAATAGTACTTGGATACTATATATTTCACAGCAGACATATTTTTTTCTATCTAACATTAAGGAGTTGCTTAGTTTGAAGAACTGTTAATGTTGAGCTTGCCTAAGTCACAGTGTACACAGCACGGTCTGAATGAAAAGAACTCAAACTTAGTAGTCCATAAAAATGACTTAATCAACAGTGAACCCTTTAAAGACCTGGTCAGATAGTGTTCTAATACTGATTTTAGGAAAAAACAATGATTAGCGTTTAAAGATACGTTTTGTTTCAGAGTTTGTTTTCTTTTTTAAAGCCCTCTTGAATAACTTCTGGGGATGCTCCTATGTTCTGTTTAGAGAGGAAAAAATGCATTTGTATACTTTATATTGAGCCACAGCCATTCAGTCTAATTACTAATCTCTTCTTGGCAAAAGCCCTTTCAGACGGAATTGTTTATTCTTCCTTATTTCTAACCTCAGGGTATGTTGTTGCTGAATTGTTAGATTCTCTTCTTTGTTGTCATTCTGCAGTTTCCTTTCCCACCTCCCCCTCCCATTTTGGTGATGGATGACTGATCTGCTGTTTGTGAGGCATTCAGGATTTGATAGCTGTGTAAGAGAGACTGCATTTGAGACTCTGCATTCCTTTCTGAATACCTTCTCTTTTCTCTGATGAATGTTCTAAATTGTTTGTGATGTGATTAGTTTTTGATAGGTAGAGGGTCAAAAGGGATGACTATTGATTGATTAATTGAATTTTCATGTCAAATATATTTTATTTTGGGGTACAGGGCCTGAGTTTAAATGCAAGTTCTGAAACTTAACTACATAGTCCTCTCTCAGTATTCATGTGGGATTGGTTCCAGGACCACTGACAGGTACCAAAATCCACACACATTCAAGTTCTTTAAATATCATGATGTCGGCTGGGCGCAGTGGCTCACACCTGTAATCCAGCACTTTCAGAGACCGAGGTAGGTGGATCACCTGAGGTCAGGAGTTCGAGACCAGCCTGGCCAACATGGTGAAACCCTGCCACTACTAAAAATACAAAAATTAGCCAGGCATGGTGGCACACATCTGTAATCCCAGGGACATGGAGGTCTCAGTGAGCCAGGATTGCGCCATTACACTTCAGCCTGGTTGACACAGTGAGACTCCACTCCCCCCAAAAAATAAATAAATTAATTAAAAATAAATAAATAAATAAATAACAAGGTGTCGTATTTGCATGTAATCTCTGCGCATCTTCTGACAAATTTTAGACCGTCTCCTCCCTTACACTTTACATAATCTCCAGATTACTTTTAGTATTTAATGCAATGTAAATGCCATGTAGTTGTTATACTGTATTGTTTATGGAATAATGACAAAGTCTATAAATGTTTACTACAGCAGCAACCATCCTTTTTTTTTGTCCCCCCAAATATTTTCAGTCCATGGTTGGTTGAAACCACAGATGTGGAACCCAGGGATATGAAGGCCAACTCTGATTTTATTGAACAGATGTTGCTTAACACCCTTGTCTCTTGGTTTGGTCACTTATAAACGTGGAGTAGTAACGGTACCTATCCTGTAAGAATATTGTCATGTGTATAATACTTACAGCAGTACCTGGTGTACAGTTAGCACTCAATAAATATTAGTATCACTGTATTAAAGTTTTAATGAAAAAGCTAATTTGAGTTTTAAGTCGGAGAGGGATGTTACCAGAATTGAGTTTCAGAAACATTAGATTTGATAGCCAAGAGGAAGGTGAATGAGGGACTAGGTTAGCAAAGGTTGAAACACGAAGACCTGTGCTGTGGATTGAGTTGTATCTCTGTCAAAAGACAAAATTATAACAAATATAGTTTAAAGATTTCAGTTGACTTTATTTGTGGTTCTATAATTGGGCGATACTTTAGAATAAAGGTAAGCCTTCCAGTGAGTCCAGCAGAGGAGGTTGGCTTTATAGACAGGAAGAGGGCCGAAGAAAGGAGAAACAAAGAACAAAAAGCACCAGTAGACTTCCCTGATGTAGGGTTGCCAAAGCCTTCAGTTTGCTGGGGGAGAAAAAGCAGTATCTGCAAAGTGTAGCAAAGCAAATGAAATGAAATGAGATATGCTGGTAGGTGACTATTCAGCTCCCCGTTACTGCTCTCAAGACAGAGATAAGGGTTTATGTTATTAAGATTATTTAGTTTTGAGTTTTGAGATTAGCTAGCACTGAGGGACCCATCTCACATATTTAGCAGTCAGAAAGGAGAACATGTTCGCCAGATAATAATTAAAATTTCTTTTTTAAAATTTTGTTTTGGGGGAATGGAGTTTTGTTCTTCTTGCCCTGGCTGGAATGCATGACACGATCTCAGCTTACTGCAACCTCTGTCTCCCCGGTTCAAGCCATTCTCCTGCCTTAGCTTCCCGAGTAGCTGGGATTACAGGCACCCGACACCATGCTGGGCTAGTTTTTGTATTTTAGTTGGTCTCGAACTCCTGATTTCAGGTGATTCATGTGCTTCAGCCTCCTAAAGTACTGAGATTACAGGCATGAGCTACCACTCTTGGCCTAGTAATAAAAATTTCTAATAGAGGCCAGCAATCCTTCCAGCAGAGAGAAAGCAGGTATGAGATCAAGTCACCAAATCCCACTGGTCCTGGTCAGATGCCTCACTTCTCACCAGAAGAGGATTTAAGAATCTCTTGCCGGGCGTGGTGGCTCATGCCTGTGGTCCCAGCAATTTGGGAGGCCAAGGCAGGCAATTCACCTGAGGTCAGGAGTTTGAGACCAGCCTGACAAATATGGTGAAACCTTGTCTCCACTAAAAATACAAAAAGAATTAGCCGTGTGTGGTGGCGGGCACTTGTAATCTCAACTACTCAGGAGGCTGAGGCAGGATAATTGCTTGAACCCAGGGGACAGGTTGCAGTGAGCTTAGTTTGGGTCACTGCACTCCAGCCTGGGCAACAGAGTGAGACTCAGTCTCAAAAAAAAAAAAAAGAAAGACCGGGCACGGTGGCTCAAGCCTGTAATCCTAGCACTTTGGGAGGCTGAGGCGGGTGGATCACAAGGTCAAGAGATCGAGACCATTCTGGTCAACATGGTGAAACCCCGTCTCTACTAAAAATACAAAAAAAAAAAAAAAAAAAAGAATCTCTTGAGTGGTGAAATACAAAAACTCTTTCAGTTCAGTTCTTCCATTTCCTGGGATCTTATGTTCAGTCCTGCAGGGAAGTCCCAGGCTGTGTTGAGGGACCTAGGGAAGCAGACCTCTGTAGTGCTTCTAGTTGCTGAGGAATGCAGTTCTAACTTTCCAAGTTTTACCAGCAAGGGTAGTGTCTTCAAGGTGGGCTGCTTCTTCCCCCAGGAATAAAATGTGTAAGATGACCTATGGGGTACATGAGGAACACTAAAACAACTTTTGGTGTTTGCTTTCTTTTTTTCTTTTTGGAGATGGAGTCTTGCTCTGTTGCCCAGGCTGGAGTGCAGTGGCACGATCTCAGCTCACTGCAACCTTTGCCTCCTGGATTCAAGCAGTTCTCTTGCTTCAGCCTCCTGAGTAGCTGGGATTACAGGCATGTACCACCATATTTGGCTAATTTTTGTAATTTTAGTAGAGATGGGGTTACACCATGTTGGCCAGGCTGGTCTAAACTCTTGACCCCAAGTAATTTACCCTCCTCAGCCTCCCAAAGTGTTGGGATTATAGGCGGGAGCCACTTCACCTGGCCAGGTTTTTAATTTTAGGAGAGCCTAGATGTGCTTTATGCGCAAGTAATGTATTTTAGGATGTGTGCTTCTTGTCTACTCTTGGGGATATACAATTAGAAGAACACCCCTACATGGCCTATGAGGTCTACTCTGACCTTTGACTCATCTATTGATAGCACCCTCTACCCTCAGTTGTGTTCTAGCCCTGCTGTTCTCGCTCTCTCTTGCTTGCACGTGCTCTCTTTTCTTTCTTTCTTAGAGTCTTACTCTGTCTTTCAGGCCGGAATGCAGTGACACTCATGGGTCACTGTAGCCTTAACTTCCTGGGTTCAAATTATCCTCCCACCTCAGCCTCCCGAGTATCTGGAACTACAGGCATGTGCCACCAATGCCCAGCTAATTTTTAAATTTTTTATAGAGTTGAGGCCTCTCCGTGTTGCTTGGGCTAGTTTTAAAATCCTGGCCTCAAGTGATCCTCCTGCCTCAACTGGGACCGCAGTCTTGTGCCACCATGCCAGGCCTCATCTGTTTCTTAAACAAGCTTGCCCCCATGTCTCCTTCTGCCTAGAATGTCATTCCCCAGATGTTCATTTTCTGCTCTTGGCTAACTTCCTCACCTCCCTAAAGCATTTGTTTCTCACTGAGTCCTACTCAGACTACCCATTTTAATATTGCAGCTAGTACTTACCCTCTGCGTATGCTTAATCCTTCTTTTCTTGCTCTGCTTTTTCCTTAGCACTTTCTGCTTTTGAATATTGTGTGAAATTTAAAGAATAAAAAAAAATCTGTTGGTTATTGTTTGTTTCTCCCTGCAGAATGCAAACCTCTTGAGGTCAGGGGTGTCTTTTTACTTTGTTCATAGATGTAGTCTAAGTGCTTGTTCTGTATATTTTCGTTGAATGAAGAAAGCATCTGGCACATAGTAGGATTTGTAAGTTCCTTTAATGAGTGAGGAAATTATTTAGGAAGATTTGGGAATACACATATAAATAAAACGTGCTCCATGCCCTGAGTTGCTACATATAGCAGCGAAGACCAATTTATATGAAAATAATTTTAATACTGTGAGAAATGCAGCAGTAGAATTATATGGAAGGTAGAGAGGTGACAGTAATAAGGAGGTGATTAATTCCCTGGGGGTGGTGGTAGACACATAAGCATTTAAATAATTTAAATGTTTTGAAAATGTGACAGTTTTTAACTCATTAATTGTTAGTAGGCCTATTTTTGCTTGTCCAGAGAAAATGGAAATGAAAAAAATTATTTGAATACAGTGTGCCTGTGACTGTAGAAACCTCGTCTTTGGTAGACATCTATCTAAGTTGAATTAAGCAGATGGGAAATCTCCGCCATTTGTTCCTCTACCTTTCTGTTGTATAATTTGGTGTTATTTCAATCATTTCATGATTCCTGCTTTAGTAAATTTATAGTAGGGTGCCTATTGGAAGTGTATCAATGTTCCTCACCCCTCTTTAGTTTCTAATACACATTGAGCCCCTTTGGATATTTAATAATACCTTAAGGATGCTAATTTGGAACAAAATGAATCATTTGGGGATGGATTACTTTATTTTATCAAAATCATCGGACAGAGTGCTTGGACAATAATGTTTTGATGTTGCTCAACCGCTGTGTGGCTCCACTGCGCTCTCCCTAGTGGTGACTGGTGAAGGGGAGAGAGGAGACAGGAGAGGGGCTTGTTGCTGAGACAGACACTACCTTTAGTGATGGATGCTCTGCTTGCAGGACCCAGCTGAGCATCTGTTCAGAAACACTCCTTCCCAGTTCACATAAATAATGCAGCAGTGATAGTGGCAAGGATGAAAAGCAAAATGCCGATTTTGCTGTTTCCTGCCCCCTGCTTTTTTTTCTTTTTTTTAACGGGTTGATGTACTTCACAGACAAATAATGAATTACTAACCTTACTGTTGGGGTAATTTAGGCCCTGCCTTAATTATTTTAGTCAGGTTTTTACAATAGGTCAATGACAGAGTCCGAGATGACACTGCTAATGGTGTCTGGCATTCATTGAGCATTTCCTGTGTGCTGGGCACCCCATCCAAGGCCTTGCTTGAATTATTTCATCTCCATGATAACCTTGTGCAGTGGGTACTGTTATTAATCACATTGTATAGATGAGTGTATGGAGACTTGCCCAAGGTTACCCAGTGAGAAAATTGTAGATCAGGAGAGCCCTGGCCATCTGACTCCAGAGCCAGAGACCTTCACCATTAGGCTAAATTTGCTGAAGGCCTGAAGCTCAGTAGGTGCTGAGGATGAAATGTTGCAGCCTGCTTTTAGAGTACCAGATGAAGAGAATCACCCAGCATTTAAAATCACCCAGCAAAATATGTAGGACTAAACTTCACCATTGATAAAATTCAGCCACAGCTTTATTCCCAGAACGAAACAAAAAAATTCAGCAGTCCACTGCGTTGAGGTTGGTGATCCCATTGACTTGCACCATTTCTCTTTTCTCATGAAATATAAGGCATTTCTGCCTTTGCTGTGTAATTTGCTTGATTTTCTTCATTTTTGCCACACTTTGATGTAGAAACAGGCACACTACTTCAGCTGGTCGGGACTAACAACCAATAGGAAGAAAGGCAAAATTCTTATCTGTTTTTTAAAGAAAACTTGTCAAGTTCTAGAATAATAACTTTAGAATTTATGATTTTAGGAACTTCTATGAAAGTCCTAATGTTTTCTAAGGTAAATTGGCTGCTCACTTTCTTTCAAACATTGTACTTGCTCTTATTGTTACTCTCACATCTTCTTTAGTAAAGAAATGGCGGACATAACAGGGATACTATTGGTAAAACAGATGTTTCTTACTTGAAATTGCATGCACTTATGGTCTTGTGTGTTAACCACTCTTAACAACTGTGTTTACTATTGAAACTGGAAATACAGGCTTTGATTATAGTTTTTCTAGCTTGTCTTGTACTTCTCCTGTAAATGGATTATTTTTAGTTTAAATTTTTGCTGCAAGCCCTTTTCCTCTAGTTAATTGACTCTTCAGTCACCACTTGCAGTGCACATGTCAGCATTCTCATGGACATTAAATACACACAATATAGACAGCACAATGGCATTTTCTATGTGAATTACTGAACTCTTTTGATGACTTTTAATGCTGAAAATGGGATCTGTCCTGGTTACCTTCCAATCCTCTAATGAAATTTAGGGAATGTATTTCTATCTCTTTTCGGAGTTTCTCCTGATAGCTGTTGGTGGTCACTGTAAAATTATCCGTCTGAAACTCAGCAGATTGCAAATGAAATAGGAATCTCAGTATTTGTTTTGCTACTGCCTAATGATACCTCTGTTTGAGTCATTGAATACTTTTAAAGCATAACCTTTGAAGTGTGTTTCCACATCTTAATTTGCCACTTGGTACATTTAGTTCTAACAGACCATAACTAAAGCAAATTTTGTTTCATGAGAAACTGCTTGCCAAGCGTTAATTTAGGTCTTCTTAGAGGATTATTAATGAACTTGTGAAGTGTATATAAGCACTTTTTATTGACAAAACAATGGCATTAAAATTCAGCAGTATTTCAGTCAATGACAAGGCATTATTGTGTTTGAGAGATACTGAAAACTACCACTGTTGACCTAATGATTAACTTGGAATTTAGAATATCCTTGATTTTCCTTTCTCTATCCATCTTATTCTTACTCTCTTTTTCAAAAACCATTAGCTGACTATGAAACATAGCTATGAATAAACAAATAGGTAAAATGATAAAAATGATTTTAAAAATTCATGTTAAGTTCTTTGAAGCTGGATGATATATTTATACTTTTGCTTACTTCTATCTTTTAAAAGCTGTTACTTTAGTTAATGATATATTTCTCATTTATTCATACTAAAATCATAGTGATTGAGTTAATTATTTTTTAAAATTGTGATTGCATGTGTTTTTCCTTTCTTTTTTGTATAAGATTATTATTATTGAGGGACCAAATTTCAGGATTCTTACTAGCAGGTTGCAAAAGGTAGTACAACCTGCCCTCTGAAAAAAAATAAATTTCAGTCTGACACCTATGTCTAAAAAGATTGATTACTTCTTTGGCTAGGTTCCCCCACTTTCTTGTTTTTCATTTTGAAATTTTATTAATCTCTTAACCAGGTGATCAAAGTACATAGGTTGGTGATTTTTTTTTTTAAAAAGGTAGCTAAGAACTTCTGGGAACATTTTTGTTAATTTTTAATTTCATATTTTTTTTTCTACATGATATATGTGCATGGACTTAATCAAACGGTGGTGAACTGTCTATTTTTTTAATTTGTTTATTTTAGTAGTTCTAACCCTCTCATCCTTGAGTTCCACTTCTCAGAAGTAAACTGTTTTAACTTTAAAACAGTTTTTTGTCACTTATCTTACTATTGCTAAAGGACATGCTTATGTTTTATTTTTATTTTTTGAGACAGAGTCTTGCTCTCTGCCCAGGCTGGAGTGCAGTGGTGCAGTCTTGGGTCACTGCAGCCTTGACCCCACAGGCTGAAGTAGTCCTTCACCTTCCCAAATAGCTGAGACCACAGGTGTGTGCCCCAACACTTGGCTTATTAAAAAAAATTTTTTTGTAGAGATGAGATCTTGTAGTGTTGCCTAAGCCAGACTTAAACTCCTGAGCTCAAGTGATCCTGCCACCTTGGCTTCCCAAAGTGTTAGAATTATAGGCATGAGCCACCATGCCTGGCTTTTTTATCTTTTCTTTTGTCCTTTTATTTTATTTTATTTTTTTGAGACAGGACCTTACTCTGTTACCAGGAAGGAGTGCATTGGGTTGATCACAATTCACTGTAGCTTCAACCTCCATGGCTGTAGGGATCATCCTACCTCAGTCTCCTGAGTAGCTGGGACCACAGGTGTGAGCCACTGTGCCTGGCCTGTTTTTATTTTCTATGTTAGACATCACGTGCCGAGTTTACCCAATGAATAATGAGGATTTAGCTTTTTATGTTCCACCGCCCGCCACAGGTCTTACTTTGTCACCCAGCCTGGAATCTAGTGACATGATCATGGCTCACTGTAGCCTCTACTTTCTGGGCTCAAGCAATCCTCCAGCCTCAGCCTCCTCAGTAGCTGGAACTTAAGGGATGCAGCACTACACCTGGCTAATTTTTGTATTTTTTGTAGAGATGAGGTTTTGCCATGTTTTCCAGGCTGGTCATGAACTCTTGAGCTCTAGCAGTCTGCCTGCTGTGGCTTCCCAAAGTGCTGGGATTACAGACCTTAGCCACCTTGTCAGGCCTTCACCTTTTATATCTTCTACTTTCTTCTCCTCCTCCTTTAACTTCCCATTGTGGTAATATCACCATTTGTGGTTAAATTAGTACTGAATGTTTATATTATCATAGGCATGTATATGTTGTTACAGTTTGAAACAAATATTGTGGTATGATTTAATTCCATTTCTTGTATAACTTGTTTCTTTCCTGGAATTAATAATTGTATCTTTTGATTCTTTGTTTTGTTTTGTATATCCCTCTCTCTAAATCACCCTTACATTTTCCAATAGACCTATTTAAACTCCTCTCAATGTAATGGAAAACATTAATCTATAGATCACCCTTGGTGCTGTCCTCCTGGAACCCTTTGCCTCATTTTGGTGTCTAGATCTGCCACTGAGTTGTTGAAAGGAGTCTTCCCTTTCACGTGACTCTGAGATCATTTTTCATGGGTTCTTGGTTGGTTCCCTCTTCATTTGTGAAGTATTTTCCTGAGATGGGTACATGGGAAGTAAATGTTTTGAGGCTGTGTGTGTCTGAAAATGTACTCATCCTTGATTATCTCACAGTTTGTCCAGGTATAGAATTTTAAGTTGGCTGGGTGCAGTGGCTCATGCCTGCAATCCCAGCACTTTGGGAGGCTGAGGTGGGTGGATCATGAGGTCAAGAGATCGAGACTGTCATGGTGAAACCTCATCTCTACTAAAATCCAACAAACATTAGCTGGGTGTGGTGGTGCGCACCTGTAGTCCTAGCTACTCAGGAAGCTGAGACAGGCGAATTGCTTGAACCGGGAGGCCGGAGGTTGCAGTGAGCTGAGATTTCACCACTGAACCCCAGCCTGGTGACAGATTGAGACTCTGTCTCTCTCTCAAAAAAAAAAAAAGAATTTTAGGTTGGAGGCTATTATCCTCCACTCTATTGGCTTTTAATTTTCAGAAAAGAAGCTGAGCATAATACAGTGTACACGAAATGGAAAGCCATTTTAGGATGAGTTGGTATTTGAGTGATGCCCTTGGAAAGATTAAGTTATTAGAGTGATGTCTTCTGAACCGTAAGGGAAAAGATAAAGTTGAGAGAATTTCATTTTACTCCCATCTGTTAAATGGCAATAGTTCAATCCTCTCTAGGGATATTGGAAAATAAATATTTAAAAATTTAAAGGTAGCTATAAGTATCAAATGGAAAAATCACTTCTTGGGGTAAATGGCAAACTTTGTGGTGATAGCCATTTATGTTTGTATTTTTTTTATTTTTATTTTTTTTTAAAGATGGGGTTTCACCATGTTGGTCAAGCTGGTCTTGAACTCCCGACCTCAGGTGATCCGCCCACCCTGTCCTCCAAAGTGCTTGGATTACAGGCGTGAGCCCCGCCCCTGGTCTTATGTTTGTATTTTAAAGCACTTTATTATGATAGGATTTTTCCAGTCACTACCCTTTAAAAGCCAAATGAATTTTAAATTCATCTAATATGTGTATTTTAATATTAATTTTTATTTTATTTAATATGTAATATCTGATATTAGCCTTTTAATATTAATTTTTTGGATTAAAGTTTTCATAATATAACATTTAATTCCATTTAAAATGGAGTCCACAATGAAAAAGCCTCATTTTGATTGCCTGTGTAAGCTAAGTATAAAGAACGGAATCAGCAAATCATAATTTTTGAAATAAAATACCTTTAATGTTAGATATGTTGTGAATGTTGAGCACTGTACTTGAAGTTTGTAATTATTATTATTATTATTTTTGAGTTGGAGTTTCATTCTTGTTGTCCAGGCTGGAGTACAGTGGCACAATGTTGGCTCACTGCAGCCTCTGCCACTCAGGTTTAAGTGATTCTCCTGTCTCAGCCTCCTGAGTAGCTGGGACTACAGGTGCCCACCACCATGCCTGGCTAATTTTTATATTTTTAGTAGAGACAGGGTTTCATCATGTTGGTCAGGCTGGTCTCAAACTCCTGACCTCAGGTGATCCGTCTGCTTCAGCCTCACAAAGTGCTGGGATTACACAAAGGCATGAGCCACCGTGCCAGGCCAAAGTTTTAAATTATTAAAAAAATTTTCTTAAAAGCAGAAACCAACCATTTTGTAAGGGATACAATTTTTTTTTAAGTTAATCTGTCCTTTTTGGCAAGAATTTGCATTCCAGAAAGTGTCATTTTTAGGTTTGATTGTAATAATTAATATTAGTATAATGATTAAAATGGAGATAATCAATAGAAAACATGTACAAAATGGCAAGCATCAATTCTTAACCCACTGCTAATTGTTTCTAGGAGGTTGTCTTAGCATTGGTTACTATGGTTTTTTTCTTAGCCTTTATAAATTATCACAAAAGACAAACTGTTCCTCCTCCAGTTACTAAATTAGTTCCTATTTAATGTTGAAAGGTATCTTGCAAGATTTATGATTCAGATTTTATAACAAGTCTTGTTTTAGGATAATGCGTTTTTCTAGTTATATGGCTACCTTTTTGGCCTTTTCTCTAGGGACATTAATCCTTGGCTGGAAAGAATAAACTGTAGTTCCTCCGTAGCAGCTGACTACAGACTGCAACCATGACGCCTTAGGCTGTTAAAACAAACATTTCTCAACCTTATAGCACAGACTTCCTGTTTTTAAAGCTTTTCTGACCTTCCTAAGAAAAAGACCAATATAGCTATGGTTACATCCTGGTTTGTTTGTTTTTTTATTTAAAAAAACTATTGAATTTTTCTAAAACCCTTGAGTATAAAAGTGATTAATGCACCAAAAAATGTAAATAGCACAGGGCTCATGTCTGATCTTTGCTAGGCCTTCAATAAAAGATAATAGAACCAGGTTGGCTTTTAATGCATCTCTGTTTGTTCAATGTCTGCTACAATTGGAATGTCAGGAAAATCTCACATTAAAGGATCTGCCCTATTCTGGAGAGACTGTAAAGGAAGCATTTGGCAGTCATTTCCTTTCACTTATGAGAATGAACATGCTTTACATTATAATCGATTAAACATACCAGAGTCAGCTGATAGGGCTCTCATATTTTTCACTGTAGAGTCGGCTTGCTCTGAAGATTGGAGGGGCTGATCAGTGTTTAGATTTTATTGTTGGAATTAATCAGATGATGTAAACGTTAGAAGTTAGCCCGGATCTTCCTTTGTACTCAGTTGTTTCCTGCAGCCCAAGTATTTGCTCTTTGAGTTAAATTTAAACCCCAGAATGTATGTTCAGCATTTGTCTGTATGACAGTCTCACTCACCTCTAATCCCTTCAAAAGAAAACACAAGAAACCACCCTGTGTTGTGTAGGTTAAACATTCTTGAAACTGGCTTTTGTTTTTTATTTTAGTCAAAGTATTATACAGTGTTTGAGTGCATATGTATGTGTGTATATGTGTGTGTATATATATATATTTTTTTCTTTTTTTGAGACGTAGCCTCTTGATTTTTGTTTTCGCCAATGTATTATACAGTGTTTGAGTGTGCGTGTGTGTGCGTGTGTGTGTGTGTGTATGTGTGTATGTATATGTATATATATATTTTTTGAGATGTAGTCTCACTCTGTTGCCCAGGCTGGAGTGCAGTGGCGCGATCTTGGCTCACTGCAACCTCTGTCTCCTGGGTTTGAGTGATTCTCCTGCCTCAGCCTCCCGAGTAACTGGGACTACAGGCGCATGCCACCACGCCCAGCTGATTTTTTGTATTTTCAGTAGAGATGGGGTTTCACTGTATTAGCCAGGATGGTCTCGATTTCCTGACTTTGTGACCTACCCTCCTCAGCCTCCCAAAGTTCTGGGATTACAAGTGTGAGCCACTGCGCCCAGCCGAGTGTATATTTTTAACTGGAGTCTTCTGGCATTTTTTAGACAGCAGTTATTGGCTTTTAGGCAGACAGTTCCTGGATCAGTAATGATCACTAATGACCTCTGATGTTCAGACTGGCAGATGGTACTCAATTTAATTTTTTGAAACATTATTTTTCATGTATATACTTTTTCTGAAATACGTGTGTAATTTTATTTTAAAATATTTTCATTTATTGGAGATACAATACTAGAGAAAACATGTACCAATAATAATAAAGGGCAAAATGATATTTTGAATTTGTATACATTATTTTAGTCATACAAATATCTATCTGGTTAATATTTTGAATTCTTAGGACATTGATTCCAGTTGTGGTTTTGAGTTATCCTTAAGATTACTTCCAATACATTTGGCTGGATCTCCAAATTTATTTTATCATATATCATCAGTTCAAAATACACCAGGGGCCTCATTTTAAACATCCCATTGAGGCCCTGAGTCCCTGAGCTCTTTGTTCCACAAAACTTTTTGTTTTTTAAATCTGTAACACTTTTCCAAATGAGAAATTCCTCTTAACTCTGCTTTGCCTTTTCAAGGTATCACTCTATTGGAATTTAATAATTTAATTTATACAGTCTGAGATCTCTAGTGAGTTTTGAAACAGAAATGAAATTGTCCTTAAAAATATTTAAAGCATATGCTATCTAAGAGGTCTTGCTCTCTGTCTGAAGTTGGTTTAAGGCTTATTTTAGATCCTACATCCGAGATGGCTGCACACTTCCAAAAACTAAAACCTCCAGGCCTGACCTTTGATTGATGGCTAATGTCAGAATGGTTTGCTGTGATGCCCACAGGAGCCTGGTGCTTCTGTTCTCTGTTCTTGTAAAAGTGAATTTGGTACTGAAAGTTGTATTTTTTTATCTAATGTATTTTTATAATGCTTGTAATTTATTTCATGAAATAATACTTTAAATCTTAGCAGTTTATCGATCCTTTTTTTTTTTTTTTTTTTTGAGACAGTCACAGTCTGTCACGTAGGCTGGAGTGCAATGGCTGGATCTGGGGTCACTGCAACCTCCGCCTCCCAGGTTCAAGCGATTCTCTTGCCTCAGCCTCCTGAGTAGCTGGGATTATAGGCATGTGCCACCATGCCCAGCTAGTGTAATTTTAGTAAAAATGGGGTTTCACCATGTTGGTCAGGCTGGTTTTGAATTTACAGCCTCAAGTGATCCACCCGCCTTGGCCTCCCAAAGTGCTGGGATTACAGGCGTAAGCCACTGTGCCTGGCCTATCACTCATAAATATATGTTTGGGACTATGTTGAAAAGTAAAACATAAAGGAAAGTTGTACTTAATGCTCAACCTAATGTTTATACCTATGTTATTTCATAAAGTGTCCTATTCAGAGTTTTACTAAGGGCCAGTGTGTCTTGTTTTTTTGTTTCTTTTTAATAATCTGGTGTTATTTCTCATTATTTTCCAAGAGTATATTATGTAGATTGTAGCAGTATTTATTTAGAAATTAACTCATACATTTTATTACTAAATATTAAAGAGTAAATACTAAGATTATCCATTACCAGACATAAAAACTCAAGTGAGTTTATCTAATACTCATGGAGTATTTGACTAATCATTGTAACATTATTATAATGTGTTTATAGTTCTCTGTGTCTTTTCTGTGGATGTAATTCTCACCAACCTAATTGATTTAATATTTTATATTTCTGTGTAGCACTTTTACCTACAAAGAAGCATATGTGGAGAATAGATCATAAATATTGACTGAATGGAAAGTGATATAAATAATGGATAGGTAATTAGGAAGGTTATTTAAAAATGTATGTTAATATATGCCTGACCTTGATTTGCATTTAAGACTTGTGAACTATGGATTAGATGATAGTTACCTATTACCAAAATAAAATAATATGAATCATTCAGTAGTATTGAAAGCTAAGAGGTATTTGAAATTTTAATGTGCTGATTCTGATTTCACATATGTTTTAGAATGTAAGTCGTAATAGAAAGGGCATGCTCTTAATACTTACACCAGGGCAGCAGATGTATCCTGGGACTGTGCTGAGAAAACCAGAACATGGGGGAAGAACATTTTGATTTGGTTTGGGATTATTTAAGAGTGTCTGTGGAATGCCATTATGGAAGAACTCACAGGGCATTTGCAAATGTGGGCCTCTTGCTAAGAAGCAAGCTCAGCTGGAAAAATCAAATTTTGGAATGATAACACAGAAGCAGCTTGAGAGTGACTCTCTTCACTTATGAGAGATGACAGAGTGTGGTAAGAGGAGGCTTGACAGGGACTACCTGTACGTAGGAGTAGTCATGGAAAGAGAGAGAGAATGGCTGGCCAGAAAGGTAGGAGATCCAGGAGAGAGCATAATCCAAAACCAAACCAACAAAAAATGAGAATGAGAGTATGGGAATAGTGTAAGTTTAAGTTGTACGGCTTTTGGATGGCTCTTTGACTCTGTGAAAAAGTGCATATTCATTGAACTAGGGATTCCTTCACTGTAGAAATACATATATGCACAAAGAGGTTTGTTGTATCACTGTTTATAAGAGCAAAAAAAGAAAATGACTCAGTAAGGGGCTTGTTATATAATAATTATGGGACTCCTACATTGTTCTATGCAGCTATAAACAGGAATGGGATGTTAATGGTCTGCTGTAAAGTGAGAGAAGTGAGTTGCTGTGTAGCATAAATAGTAGGATTTCATCTTTGTGACATAAAATCAATAAGTGAACCCTCAAATGAATATATATGCTTTTATGTATGTGTGCATGCTTTTGTACATATGTTCTAGAGGAGAGCCTGGCAAACCTTCAGCCTATTACATGGAATTGCTGGATTCTTTTCTGTAGGAACATATACTTTAAAAAAAATCTAAAATGGGGCTGGGTGCGGTGGCTCACCTGTAATCTTAGCACTTTGGAAGGCCGAGGTGGGTAGATTGTTTGAGCTCAGGAGTTCAAGACCAACCTGGGCAACGTATTGAGATCCTGTCTCAATAAAAGAAAAAAAATTTTTTTAAATCTAAAAGTTTCAAAAACTTTATATTTTTCTTTTTTTTTTTTGAGACAGAGTGTCACTCTCTTCCCAGGCTGGAGTGCCCTGGCACAGTCTCAGCTCGATGCAACCTCTGCCTCCCAGATTCAAGCAGTTCTCCTGCCTCAGCCTCCTGAGTAGCTGAGATTACAGATGGGTGACACCACGCGCCCAGCGAATTTTTGTATTTTTAGTAGGTTGGTCAGGCTGGTCTTGAACTCCTGACCTCATGATCTGCCTGCCTTGGCCTTCCAAAGTGCTGGGATTACAGGTGTGAGGCACTTCACCTGGCCAAAAAATTGTATATTTTTCTTTTAAAAACTCTAGATTTTTTGTTGTCTAGTGATATTTGGTGAGTTGGACAAGGAAAAGAAGTAGATAGTTTGCTTAAAATTGAAATTCCATGTAGTGTAGTACGTTTTCATGCTGCTGATAAAGATATACCAGAAACTGGAAAGAAAAAGAGGTTTAATGGACTTACAGTTTCACTGGGGAGGCCTCACAATTATGGCGGAAGGCAAAGAAGAGCAAGTCACGTCTTCTGTGGATGACAGCAGGCAAAGAGATAGAGAGCTTGTGCAGGGAGATTCCCGTTTTTAAAATCATCAGATCGCCTGGGCTCAGTGGTTCACACCTGTAATTCTAGCATTTTGGGAGACCAAGGTGGGTGGGTCAGGAGTTTGAGACAAGCTGGCCAACATGGTGAAACACCATCTCTACTAAAAATACAAAAATTAGCTGGGCATGGTGGCATGTGCCTGTATTCCCAGCTACTCAGGAGGCTGAGGCAGGAGAATCACTTGAACCTGGGAGGCAGAGGTTGCCATGAGCTGAGATCATGCCACTGCACTCCAATCTGGGCTACAGAGTGAGTTTCTACCTCAAAACCAACAACATCATCAACAAAAACAAAACCATGAGATCTTGTGAGACTTAGTGTGAGGAGGACAGCATGGGAAAGACCCACCCCCATGATTCAGCTGACTCCAACTGGGTCCCTCCCATAACACATGGGAATTATGGGTGCCACAAGATGAGATTTCAGTGGGGACACAGAGCCAAAGCATATCATTCCATATTCTGTGTAGGACACTAGTTTCATCTTATCCTTGGAAGTATGTTCCAAGGCCCCAGTGGGTTCCTGAAACTGGATAGTACAGAATCCTGTTTTTACTATTTTCCTATACATACCTACCTGTGATAAAATTTAACTTGTAAGTTAGGAAAATTAAGAAATTAACAATAATTACAAATAAAATAGAGCAATTATAACAATACATTGTAATGAAAATTATATGAATGTGGCCTCTCAAAGTATCTTACTGTACCATATTCACCTATTTTTGAACCATGGTGGACAGTGAGTAACTGAAGCCTTGAAAAGTGAAATTGTGGATAAAAGGGGAGTACTATGATACAAATCAAATCCTCTCCACCCTAGCATCCTATGCAGACATAGCTAACTGATACTAATACAACCCTTGATTGAGTCACTGTTTGCTTGATAACTTTTGGGTGTACTTTTGACATTTCGACTCTGGAGTGAGCTAAATTACTTGGTCTGAGTAGTTGTACTGGATAATGCTATAGGAAAAAAGGTTGGTTGTCTCTAATTTGATAGTTATAATTTTGACACTTATTAGTGTTATTAAATGAGTGCTACTGTTTAAACTTTCATGTAAAAATGCAGTCTCTCTGCTGCCTCGGTGGTCTTGGGAATGCCTTGGTGGTCTTGGGAAGTGGTTCAGAGTTGCCATCTTTAGAAGATACAGCTAAGATTCTTCCGTTGCTGTGACAGAGCAGAGTGGTGGAGAGAGTACATGCAGGGTGGTTGCTCCAGGTTAAGGGTCTGGAATACTGTGTGTCCTGTTCAGCTAATGCTGAGGTTACATTTCACATTTCCCTTGTGTGCTGTTCCTGGTCATAGCTTTAATGTTAGTTTAACTAGACTTTCTATTTAATTATAACTGTTAGGATAAAGTCAGATGTCAGCTCACTTGGCTGCATGCTTCGGCCTGTAGAATATGGAGTGCTTTGCTTCCAGCCACATCTGTTGTCTCCTCTCATTATCTGTTAATGGTACTCAACTTGACAGGGTTGTTTTGATAAATGGTTGGTGTTATGGAAACCATGAGCTGGAATTTTTGTGGAGTGGAGCTTAGGACAAAAAGAAGCAATGACGCAGACCAGGTCAGGGAGATAACAAGGAATCCCTTGTGGAATGCTGACAGTAACAATGAGTATTAATTTGGGAGGGATATGGCATATCTAATATTTTTTCATTTATCTTGCATAATTTTTTCTTTTACTTTTTCATGTGCTCATGTGCAAAACACCTGAAAAATTGTAGTTCTTGTTGTAATAACTTTGATTTCTCCTCTTCACAAAGTAATTTACAAACTCATACTAATGAGGGTTAAAACAAATATTTCAGTTTGAGGAATAGAATGTGGGGTGTGCAGTGGTCAGCCACCATTGCGTTCCTTTTTGGCAAGATTCCATGTCAGAGAAATAGAGGTCTGTTATTTAGAGAAAAAAACCTGAAAATAAAGTAAGTTCAGTGTAAAAGGGAGATAAGAATGAATTCCCCTCATTCACAGCAGAATTTGATAGTACTTTTGCATTTTGAGAAGGTTTGAAGATAAACTAGTGTATAAAACACTTTCTAAGTTTTATATTCTGTTTATATAGCTCTGTGTATGTACAAGATTTAGTCCTCTGTCCAGTTTACCTGTGGCTGTTTGCATATCCCTTAATGGCCGGGTAATAGGAACAACTTGGCTTGAATAAACTAGCGATGGCTTCTATACTTCATTAACTCTTAAAAAAAATTGTAGCTTGGGAATAGGACCCTAGTTAGAATCTCTGTGTTTTTGAGTAACCCCAGGCACAATTATTTATATCTTTATGAAATAGGGATACAAATCCTCATTTTATTAGACTTTTTTCTTTTTCTGTGTATTTTTAGAGACTGGATCTTGATATGTTGCTAGACTCAAACTCCTGGGCCCAAAGGATCCTCCTGTCTCAGCCTCCTGAGTGGCTGGGGATAGAAGAGATTCTTATTTGCATAGGTGCTACTTATTTGAGATAGGCTTCTTTGTGCCAAGAAGTGTACAGAGAATATATGGAGTAAAAGCAGTGTTCTTGACCTCAGTTCATTTATTCATTGCACAGATTTGTGTAGCTGACACAAATCTATATGATGAACACACATATAGAACTTTCTCTGTAGAACTCTATGGAACTGTTTAGAAGGCGCTATAAGCGTTAATTTAAAAAAATCACACCAATGAATTACAAACTGGTATCAATGCTCTGAAGGAGGAACACAATTCTGTGAGAACTTATAACAAGGGAACTTGGCCTAGAATGGGGCCTCTGGGGAAGCTTTTCTGAAAATGTGATGTTTGACCTGAGATCTGAAGGATGCTTTAAACTATCTGTGAGTGGCTGCTGGGGGCTGCAGGGAGATTATTCCTGCTCTAGTGGGAAGAAGCATGCTGGCATGTGGTAGAAATCCCTATTTACCTGGGGGAAGTGGAAAAACTGGTGTAACTGGAAGGTTGGGGGCTGGGTGCAGGTTGGATTAGCATTGGGTGCAAGATAAGCACAAAAGAATTTAAGTGTCATAAAATGCTGTCAAAGCATTTAGAATCCCTGAGAGACTAGGTACAGTATGAATTCAGAATACAGCAGTTTGCTACTTCTCACCAGCCCTTTCCACCTCAGTGTAAACCAGCACTTTAAAAATGGTCTGTAGAAAAGAAAAAAATCCTTTCAGCCTGTGCCGTGTGTCTGGATGAAGCTGGTTAGAAAATTGAAGTGTGTCCAAGTACAGGAGTAGCTTTGTAGCAAGGCTTTAGGATCAATTTCATCTCTGACATATATGGAGTAATCTCATAGCCACTTGGTTATGAAGCAGATTTTCAAGTCACAGATCCCCCTAAGGATGGTTTTACTGAGGAATGGTGTTTAGTGGAGCTTATAGCAGTGCTACATTTACACTACAGACCACCTCTTATTTGTATTGATCACAGCCACCTTTCAGGGTGGCAAAGACATTGTGCCTCATCTTACTCTCAGTACATGTGCTGTGTTAGGAGTTTTAGACAGATATTTCTATCTCCTGTAGAATAACTTAATTTGTCTATTAAAAGAGATCAACCGAGTTATCTTTAAATAGCAAATGTGCATGTACATGTTTGTTTGGCTATCTGTGGCAACAAGGCAGGACCCCTGGTTTCTATTTAGCCTGGTCCCACCCCCATCTTATTGAGAGACTATAGGCAAATCACTTTAATGATTTCTAAATCATTAGTCTGTCTAAATTTCTCTGCTTATTAGAAAGAGGGTACCTGATTATACAGCCACTTTATGGGGCCTTGGAAAGTCTAATTAACATTTATGAAGCTATTTGAGAGTTCCATGAAACTTGCCTGGAAGGGGAAAGGTGTAATAGTGAAGATACCAGAAGTAATCATTTAAATTTTGAGCTTATACCTTTCTAATTTGGGTTGACACTGAGTGAACTTAATACTTAGAATTTGAAATTTATAGGAATACATTTTAAAAATTCCTATAGGATGTCTTATTTGCGAGTGCAAAATGATCTTAGCTATCACCACTAGAGATATGGTTTAAATGTAGTTGGATTTAATTTTAATAAAATTTAGGAAGTTGATATATATATTTTACTAGACTTAATTGGGGGTGGGTAAGTAACTAGTTTGAAATTAACAGTTGGTAATCTTAAAATGCACTTAAAAATTGAATTAATTAGGGAGTCTGGAATCTGGTAGCCGGTAGGTTACATATTTATTTAAAGCCACGTGGTAAGGAATGTGCATTTATTTTGTTTCCTTATTAGATGGATTTAAATCATGCACAGTTTAAGCTATATCTTGTCTAACAGATAGATCATTATTTACTTGTGGAAAAGGAATCGGTGAGATTTTTAAACAAATGACTTACAGAGAATTCTTAATGTGAAAGGAAAACTGGGGTCAGAAATGTTGTTTGACACCAAACAATGCTGCTTTCTCCCGGTGCATCTTTGAAGCAAGTGTTTAGCTTGTCTGTGATTGTTGGTTGTTTCATCTGCATTTGTTAGACGTCAGAGGTGGTTGGTATTAATATTCCTGGCAGAAGCAGAGGCAGCTCTAGGATGTGTGAAATGCTGATCACTCACAGGGATGCGCTGCCTCTTTAATATCTTGCTTGCAGATGCATTTTCTAGCTGACCATGCTATTAAGAGCTGCCATCAATCACACAGGCTCCCAGTTCCGGCTGTCGGAGGGGAGGGAGGACTGGAGAGGGTGGAGGGTGGCCAAGCAACGAAGGAGATAAAATTGCCGCTGGCATTGTGTGGGCGCGTGCCCGCAGCGGCGGCCAGCAGGGGCGCGCGCGGAGCGGGCTGGGCTCCAGCCCAGATTTTGCCGGCTGCCACAGTCTATAGAAGGCTGCTCTTTCTCTCCCAGTGTCTGGGTCACCGGCAAGTGGCAGTGCTGGCCCGGCTGCCCGGGCTGAAGGAGCACGAGCTGAGTGCTGCGGCTGCGGGCAGCAGGCGCGGGCCGCAGCGGCCCCATCCCTAGCCGCGGGCGGGGACCCGCGCGGCCACCGCCTCCCAGAGCCACCAAGACGCTGGGACCTGCGCCCCGCCCTGCCCTGTGGCCGTCCGGGCCTCCTTTTGTTTTAGCAAGTGTACTTCACTCCCCGAGCCCCCACCTGCCCGCCCGCGCTGCCCCTTCCTGCGGGCCGGGAGTTGGCGGGGCCCTGCACCGGAGGAGGAGGACCAGGCCGGCGGTCTCAGCTCCTGCCGCCAGCCGGCCGCAGGCAAGTGGCCGGCGGCCTCGTGCTGCGAGGGCGACGCGAGGCTTGGGCCAGAAAGTTGGACAAGTGGGGGTTGGGGGCTCTCGAGGTGGGTGCACGGAGCGTTCCAGCTGACCTTGGAAAGATGAACTCGGGTGTTCCTAAGAATGATGGTGGCTTTCCAGGAACGGGGATTCTGTATTTGCCGAGTCCCATTGCATTTCTGTTGGGCTCACTAGTTTTGAAATAGCTCCAAACTCTGGAAATCGCAAATAAATCGAACAGAAAACATTTTTTGGGAGGGGGCGGGGCAGAGAAAACACTATTTAAATATACACGTATATGTATGCATTTTTTTCTTGTGAAAGGAAAGCGCTTTTGAAGCTGAGTGAAGTATAATGCTGAAGTCGCTGTTTGATCAGAAACTTCATTGCTTCACTGTGAAATAAATTGAAGTTTAAAAATAAAATGAATTTGATGGACTTCATTTGAGGCTACTTAAGTGACAAATGAAATTTTCTTCTTGGACCAAACAACTGTTATTTTGCCTGAGTTGCGCTAACATGCAGAGATAGTCATGAAGAAGATTGTTTTTCGTTTAAATTGTTAAAAGAATTTTTTGGTGTGAGGTGCTGTCTTCCTTGTTTCTCTTCTCTTGTTTACTCAACTCTTTTTTTCTGAAACTAGAGAGAGACCTGCTTGACCGCTTTTTGTTTGCTTAGAAAGAAACTCCTGTAATAGGTTACTTTGTTTTACTCTCAGCCTTTAAGCTTCCCCGGCGCACATGTGCCCCGCGCTCTGTGGGCATTGTTTGGCTGGGGGCCACTCAGCCGCACGGAAAATCTAAAAAATGGTCTGTGAATGAACACGGGTGCCTACAAAGGAATTTCATTTTCCCTTTGAAATTGTGTGCCTCTGTGTTTTAAGATTGAGACGCTGAGTAAAAGTTGAAAACAGATTTTACAAAGTCCTTACAATTCTGTGCCAAAATTAATGTTTTGAGTTCTGCGCCCCACCCCCCTTTTCTGGAAACTCCAAGTTAAAGGTAGACATGATTTGAAACCTTGCAGATGGGAATAATATCCCTTGTGAGCACGTTGATCTGTGGACAATTATTTCCAGAAGCACAACCTACTCTACATTTTTATGCATGTGTTAGATTTGGGCTCTAAGAAGCAGTTGCCTTTCTGAATATTTACATTTCCTAGTAAATTACACAGGGCAGATTTTTAACTTAACAGCAATTTCACAATAGTGTGGGGGCAGCAGATTTGAGCTTGTATTTTTTTTTTTTCTAACTGTGATTTAGTAGTGTTTAAACTATTTGATAAAGATCCCTGGGACTAGGTTTTTCAGTCCAGAGCATTTGAGTGCTCATTGTACTCTGGCTTGGGCTGGCGCTTGGCAGGCTGCACTTGAAATGTTATTTGATCTGGTTGCATGATAGAATTGACCAAGATTACACTTTTTTCCTCCCCGTGGCTGTTGAAAGCAATGCATCAACGAGAAGTGTTCAATAACATATTTAAAGACAACCCACATTCATTCACTCTAAGGTTTCTAGAAAAAGGCCTATTAGATTTTTGTCTTGTTTTGTGGTTTTCGCATTTATGAATTGAGGCGAGAGCTGACGTAATGTAGCTGTACCACTTCCTTTGTGTGTGTGTTTTTATAGCCTATAGGATATGTTCCAATCTACATGGTTGTGATTATTTCTGAAATGCCTGTAAGAGTGGGGGTGGGTGGGGGGGGGGAGAGAGAGAGAGAGAGAGAGAGAGAGAGAGAGTGTGTGTGTGTGTGTGTGTGTGTGTGTGTGTGTTTATTCCCCTCACCCCCATCCCAGTACTTTCAGCTATATGGCAATTTATTTTTTTACATTGTAGGTTAGGGAAGGGAAGACTCTGATGGTAAACCCCGCCAACCTGTCAGTAAGGTTCAGTGAATGGTCTGTGTGTGATACAGACTAGCTTTTCATTTTAATTAGTGCAACTGTGTACAGCTGTTAGGTCAGAATGCATTGGCTGCTTCTGCAGGGTAGTTTTATCTTACACAGGAGGTTTTATGGACTTGACTGGCTGTGTTTCTTAACCCCCCTCCCATGCCACCGTGCTTGCTTTTAAGCAAGTGATAGAACAAGACAGGCTTTTGTTTACTTATTTAATAGTTTACTTGTGAGTGATTTATTTTTGGTTCTGAGGAAATTGGTAAACCATGTAACTTATTAGTAGGTGTTATATTTACCATGCTTTTCCAAGGTCAAAGGGTTTTGCTTGCTATTGTCTAGTCTGAGAAGCTGATGGAGCCATCCATTTTATAATGACATAGGAAGCCAATGTTTTGTGTCAAAATGGACAATAAAAAATGGGTTCTTTGTTTGCTAGTTTAGGATTAGTTTGTAAAACTGAAACAGAAATAAAGCTAGCATCATTGGAGATAAGGTGGCTAGAATGTTTCCCCCTTGTCTCACCTCTTGTTACATTGTACAAAAGGACCTGAACAAGCCAATGAGCAACAGCAGTTTGGCCGTGGACTAGGTGGTAAATAGAAGCTTTTAGAAATGTCTGCTCAGGGGCATCTATGGCCAACTTTATACTTCATAGTATCATTGGTTTTAAGTTATTAGAAAGTATTTATGAGTAGATTTGAGTGTTTGAATATAGGCATGTAACAAAGTCAGGCTTTTCAGGCTGTAAAATAGTAATGTGACTGACATGGGTTCTCAGTGGTCTGGTCTCTTTACTGTCTGCTTTCCTTTTGAGGAGACACTACTGTCTAGAGCTGTTACCATTCACTGCGTTTTTAAAAAGGAGCAAAAGTCATAGAAACAAACTTGACTGAAGTCTGTTTATAACTAAAGCTTATGTTATAAATGTGGTACCTTTTTCAGAGACCCGGGTTTGCTGATAGAAGATGGGGGCTGAGGGTTGTTAGGGGGTCAGACCTTGTGGGTGTGGTTGGGTAGAAAGAGAGCTTGTCTCAGACTAAGATATTTTTTAATTAATTGGAGAAATTGGTCCATCTTCAGACAACGTAGAATCAAGCAATAGAGTGCAATATCTTCTAGAAAACGTGATAATTTCATTGTAACTTATGTAGAAAATGTTTTATCTATTTAAAAGAAATTAAAACAGATTGGCAACAGACTGCTGAATCCAAGGAAAATGGAGGGAAAAAGGTATTCTACATCCAGTTCAAACAGGTTATATCGCAAGTTCATTTGTAAGTTTTTTCAGATCATGTTATCCAATTCTACATATTAATGATGATTGGGGTCTTAGACTTGTCCTCTAAAATTGAATTAATCCATGAAATAGTTGACATACTTAAACATTTATAATAAAAAAAAATGTTGATGCTTAGTGAGTAGGAATATTAGCATAATTTAACTCAATTTTTAATATATCATGGAACTCTGGTATAATTCATTAATTTCTTCAGTAGTGGTAAATAACTCGGCTGTCTGAGTTTGAGTTCTATTCCTAGTTTTGCCACTTACTCACTGTGACACCTGGGGTGAGTTTTTTTAGCCTCTGTGACTGTTTTCTCATACCACAAAATAATGAGTCTACCTAGAGGGTATATGAAATGCTTAGGACCATGCTTAGGATGGGAAAATAGTGAATATTGCATATAGTGAGCACTAATTATGTGCTAGGTACTATTTTAGTTGCTGAAGGTAAGATGAAGCCTCTGTTCTCATAGCATTTATTTTCCAGTGGAGGAAGACAAGACAAATAAAAATGAGTGTGATGATTTGTGAAACTTACAAAAGTAATTTCTGAGCATATCAGTGAGCCATGATTGCGCCACTGCACTCCAGCCTGAGCAACAGAGCAAGACCCTGTCTCACTGAGGGGGTGGGAAGTAGAAAACATTTAATTTTAGAATATTAATCAGAAGCTGCTTGTTAAGATATTAAGAATATGATGGGTAAGTATAGGAGACCATTATAAAAGTAAAGTGCTGAGGCGGGGTGCAGTGGCTAACATCTGTAATCCCAGCATTTTGAGAGGCTAGCCTGGGTAACATAGCGAGACCCTGTCTCTATCTATTAAATAAAATAAAAATAGTAAAAGTAAGGTGTTTATGCTGTTAATGATTTGAAATAATCACTTATTCTAAAGCTGAACAATTAGACTGTTTCTCATATGTTGTTTTCCACAAGATGCATGAGCTTTTGGAGTTGTAGTTCTAAGAAAGGTCCATTTATATGTGACTGATGGGCTTCAAAGGAATAAAAGGGTGTGAATATACTATGCATTTGAAAAATTGCTTAAGTCAAAAGCCTCCAGATGGTGTGTGCTGCTGTGTTCACAGCTGTATTTACCAGTAGCTCACCACATTATCTACCAATAATTTAAAAATAGCTGGGTAGAAACAGTAGTGTATTCAGGTCTATGCAGGTTTTGAATATCAACAACAGTAGCGACTTTACTTGTGTACTTAGCATGGGAAAATAGGAATATTGAATATAGTGAGCACTAATTATATACAAGGTACTACATATAAAGAGTAATAAAATGACAGTGAAGGTACCTACTTCTGCAGTTCTTAAGGATTTCTTAGTTGGGCCAATTTATATTGTACACAAACAACCTGAGTTTTATCTATAGAAGCAGATAACCAAGTTTTTTTTTAGTGTTGGCTGTGTCTCAGGAATGTGGCTAGAGAAATTCTGTTGATCTATCACTTAAAGATGTTTTTGTTGTTTTACTCACCAACTTTATTATTTTAAACATCTTAAAAAATGTTAAATACAGGCTGCTCTGCCTATGGAGTATCCATTCTTTATTCCTTTACTTTTTTTTTTGAGACACAGTCTCACTCTGTCATCAGGCTGGAGTGGAGTGGAGTGGAGTGGCGCAATCTTGGCTCACCACAACCTCTGACTCCCTAGTTCAAGCGATTCTCCTGTCTCAGGCTCTCAAGTAGCTGGGATTACAGGCATGTGCCACCATGCCCAGCTAATTTTTGTATTTTTAATAGAGATGGGGTTTCACCATATTGGCCAGGATGGTCTCTATCTCCTGACCTTGTGATACGCCCGCCTTGGCCTCCCAAAGTGCTGGGATTACAGGTGTGAGCTACTGTGCCCTGCCCATATCACAT